CAAGGCTCTGACCCGGGCAGTGGGTGGGGATGAGGACCTTGTTTCCTGTTTTCCTTTTGAACGTGTAAAGGTAAATACAAATAAAAGAGGAGGCTGAATTCTCGCAGTTGAAAATAGAAGCCAGGTATTCTCTCTTCTTTTTGGGGGGCATTTACTTCGGAGAGTTGTAATTACACAGACTTTTTCATCTCTCTGAAATGTGTTTACATTCTTTGAAAACTGGATAAGCTTTAGTATTTAACACCTAGGTCTTTGTCAAGGATTTAGGAATTGTCTCTTTGAGATATAAACATCAAGAACCTTATTAGGTATGGGGGTGCATGCTTATAGTCCTAGAATTCTACAAAACTGAGGCAGGAGGATTGCCAGCTAGAGCCCAGCCTGGGTAACTAGTGGTTTAGAGAGACCCTGTCTCAAAGCAAAAAAAAATTTTAAGAGGACCTAAAAGATTTTAAGATGTATTATGTACATGTACGCATCCTCCATGAGGAATGCCATCATGATGTGCTGCAAATAAGCACTAATAAAAATATATATATTTTAGAATGGGCCAGGAATGTAGCTCAGTGTAAAGGCCCTGGGTTCATTCCCCAGTAACACACACACACACACACACACACACACACACACACACACACTCAGCCTTAGTGTCAACACACCTTGGGTGGCTGTCCTGTGCCAGTTGTAAAACTACCTCCCTTCACAAAGCTTTGCGGATTTGTCTTTCCTGTCTTGCTGTCTTGCTGTCCCCCACATGACAGCAAGTCTTGGGGATAAGGCCACATTTGTCTTTTGTACTAGCCCATTAGCTAGCACAGTTGGCAGCGCCAATCACCAGATGAATGCAGACTGAAATAAGTCTGAGAAACACTGTGCTCAAGTCTTCTTCCTTGACAGTGAGTTATCATCTATCCTGAAACGAGTATGCACTGGGTGACAATTGCTTGGCGATGTAAAAGGATGAGGTGTCTTTCTCTATTTGCAATTTCTTAGGCTGCTTGTGATGCACATTGCATTCTGGCTCATAGTCACTTACAAATAAAACCTTCCCTCCTCTACTACCTTTGTGGAGAGGTTTCCTGTGTTGGAGAAGATTGCTAATAACAGGACCAGCTTGGATGTCCCTGGTGTTTCCCTGGCCCTCTGCTAGAGAGGAAAGTATTACACAGTGGGTAAGACCTAGGAATGTGAGAGCAGGCTGCTTGGGTTTGAATTCTGCCTTCTTTTGAATAGCTGTGAGACAAGTTATTCAACTTCTCTGTCCCTTATGTTCCTCATGTATAAAATGGATATTGACTGTGTGTGTGTGTGTTGTGGCTGTGTGTATTTATACACATCACATAGGGGTTTAATGGATAAATGAGTTAATATGCGCTACTAAGTGCTTATCAACAAAGTCCACCTAGATGAGAACAAACAGGTCATGGGGAGCTTGCTATTGAATGGGAGTCAGCTCCAGCACTCCTGTTTGGCTGAGACTCAAAGTCTTGCGGTAGGGGAAAGGGTGTCTTTTACCAAGGAAAGAGAAGAGACTGGTTCATCTTAACTGGTGGCTGTTGCTTAGGAACTGGAAGCGGCCAACTGTGTGATTGGTCAGGAAGTGTATGGGAAGCAGGGATGGGGCTGATGGCAGCAGAGGCTGTGGGTTGGTCCCTGGGACCATTGCAGGTCATCTGACCTTAGCTGTTTGGAGACTGCGTCCGCTGTCAGTTTGCAGCAGGGCTGTAGGTTATGGCCACACCAGAGCACTGGCTTCTCTGCACACTGAGGGCTGCTGGCTGCTTCTCTGGTCCTCCACATGACAGCAAGCCTTGGGGATAGGGCCATATCCTCCGCACCTCTCTCTCTCCCTGGCCCACCTCTACCACAGCCCTGCAGCCGAGGCGTCCTGTAACCACTGATCAAGTGAACAGCTGACGGGGCAAGACAGTAACTTATATTCAGAAGAGGAAACTTCACATGAAGAGAAGCAAACAGCTTTTCATGATAGCTCCTAGACCTGGTGAGCAAAGAGTCTGTAAGACAGGCCGTGAAAATCTGCCATCCTGGTCAGGCCATCAGGAGAGTCACTCATAAAGTGGTCGGAAGCATTTTGTCAGTGGCTCTGTTCTTCACCTTTTCTCACATTTACCGAAAGTTTAGCCCGTCTTAGTTATTTTTTTTTCATTGGTGATGCCCAACATGAAGGAAGGCAGTGTTTATTTTTTATAGTTTTGGAGATTTTAATCTATATTTAGCTGTCTCCCGGGCAGGGTGGTGCGGCGGGGTAGCCATTCATGGCCACCACAACAGCAAGTGTGAGGAGAGCAAAAGGGAGAAAACACACCTTGCTTCCCCCTTACACTGCATGCCGGCTCCACCCCTGGGCGGTGTAGCACTCACACCACCGTCCCAGTGTTAAACAATAACCCAGTCACAAATGCAGATTTAGCCACATCTATAATTACAGAAGGCTTGGGGGGCCACCTGGACACAAACCACAGCAGCCCCCACAGATTGGATCGGGTGTTGCTATGGGCTAGATGTTGACATATTTCAGGTTGGAGGAGACCCTGGTCTGGGGCCGGGGAAGGAGGTAGGAGTAGGGAGTGGTGAAAGTGCTGATTACCAGGCAAGGGCCTGAGCTGAATTCTGACTCTGAACACACCGCGTTCCGTAGATTCTGTATCATATGCATGACACAAGAGTGCCACAGGGGTACACTTTCGCTTTCCTATTTTTACAAGTGAAATAGCCAAGGGGCCATCAGCCGTCACTCCATTCCCCTTCTCCCAGCCTCTGGCAGCCACTGGCGTGTTTTGTAAGGACTGCCTCCCACCTGGACACTTCATCTGAAAGGAACTGAGCACTATGCGGTCTATCGTGACTGGCTTCTTTCATCTGGCTCCATCTCTTTCCTCTTCATAGCCGAATGATGTTTCACTGTGTGGACAGGCCACTATTTATCCACTCATCTCTGATGGACATGGGGTACATCTACTTTTAGGTATTGTGAACAGTGCTGCTGTGGACATTCCCCACATTGCTTTATTAAAGGTCACTGGGAATCTCTATGCAGTTAAATACAACGAGCATGTTTCAGTCACTTGTATAACCAGCCAGGAGCCCTTGTCACCATGACTCACCTGCCCTTCCCAAGAGTTGCCTCTCTGGCTTTCTGGTCCCAGCTCATCTTTATCATCATCTTGCTCCATCTTTGCTCTCCTCTCTCTCCTGCTCTGCCTGGACCCTCTCCTGCCCATTGTCTGCCCAGGTCCCTACCCAGGCTTCCCTTTGGGACTGAAATTAAACTCCGCAACCTCACTCACTGACTTGGTCTGAGGTGTGTGCTCCGTGGGAAATCCTCTTTCTCCTGTTTCTTCTTGACAGCTTGCTACTACCATTCTTCAGGTCTTGGCCACCTGCCTCACCACCATGTTCATGGAAGTCTTGTACTCGACACTTTTAATCCCACATTTGTTCCTCATTTGAAGCCCATGTTTGAAGTACTTTCTTCCTGGTGTGACTTGTGTGTGCCTTTGCACATGTGTGTCTATGTGTGGTTTTGACTTCAGCCTCTGAGCTTCATGGTCATGGAAGCCTTGTCTGTATTACATTTATTCCCAGGATCCACCATATAATAGCTGCTTAGTAAATATTTGTTGGATGAAGTGAAGAAATAAACAGAATCAAAAATGAAGAATCAGCTAAGGTCAAATGAAATAACAGAGGAGGTCTATACATAGTCGACCAACTCTAAGGCTCTAAATGTAACGGATGGCTGCTGTATAACTGTGCTGTATAATTACTGCTTATGTATTTGCAGAAACCAAAATCATGCCAAAAGTAAGGTCTTGGAAATCCTCATTTCCCAGCTTCACTGGACAGCTGGTGGCTGAGCAGCGGTGGCTGCCCTTCTGGGACTCCGCTCAGAGTGGACATTGCTCTTTTCACCTAGATAACACCTTTCAATGTTCTAAAAAACATCCTGCTTTGCTGTGCCTGACTGCTCAACTCAGCATCTTATTTCTCTCTGTCTCCAACCCTTGTCTGTGACGCATGCTCCCCACAACCCCTGTGAGGATCACAGCTGTCTGAGGGTATAGATGCCACGATTCCTTCATCTCTAAATCTCTCCACTCATCTAACAAATACTGTCTGAGATCCTGTTATGTGCTAAGTCCTGAAGCCCAGGCCTGCCCAGAGGCCGGTGTGTAGGGAGCCAGCCGATTAGGGGACCTTGAAGAATGAGCCAGGTGGGAGCTTTGGGCTCTTCACCAATCTTTTTAGTCAGAGAGGATTAAGTTGAGAATGGAAGAAAGAGAAAAACTCTCAGAAAACGTAATAAAAATGGACATCCTGGGGTCAGACCAGCAGCTGCCATTTACCTGGGAAGGTGCAGCTGGAACCCCTGCCTCACATGCGCCAGACCCAGCAGCAGAGAGAGCACCAGCACACAGCAAAGAGCCCACTGCGGGCCTCAGTGCCTGTGCTCAACCTCCCTGATCCCAGAGTCCTCCTCTCCAGAGCAGCAAAGAGGAAAAAGGAAGGAAAAAGAAACTTGATTCTCTGCGTCTGTGAAAGAAATTCCCACAAGGCACCTGGACAAGGTGACAGGGGGGCTCATCCTGTCAGTGCCCACTTGAAGCTTTAACAGCATGGATCAGTTTTAAACTGGGTCTCACATCTGAGGGTAAAAGAGCAGCTACCTGGAAACTGTACGACTCAGGACTGTCAGCATAATTTCAAGGAGTGCTGGAAAAATTAATGCCAGGAGCTAAGTATAGGCCAGAATGATTAACAAATAGCCTCCACACAGACAGCTATGAAATCACATGGGCTGAAATATGGAAGGCTTAATGCATTTATAAAGCTTTAAAAATCCATGCTCCTCCGTAGAACTTTGGCTTAAAGGGCTCTTAGTCACTTCAAAGCACTTTAACTTGGGTCCACAAAATGACTCACCGAAAGAGAACCGTGTCCTGACACCCCCTGGCCCACCTCCTTCAGCTGTCACTCACTGTGAGCTCTTTGCTTTTAGCAAAAGGCCACCAGCCACGCACGCGCTTTTGCTGGAATATAGAGATCTTGCTGTCTTCACTTGCATTTTCAAACTTGGAGAGATCACAGGCTTTGGCAGACTTGGCGGCTCGAGGGAAATTATTGAGGTTCATTTCCAGGGAGCCTGTGAAGGGAAACCCATGGGTCATGCAAAACATTTAAAAATCAGGGAAGTGCTTGGGAACCCTGTCCACACTCACCTGCTTACTCCCTGACATTCAGCTGCACGTCACCCGTGGGGTGTGCTGGGTGCTGGGAGCATAAGTGTAATCCGGGGTGTCTGATGACAGTGTGTCTGATTTCTCATTCATCACTGTCAAGCCTCAGCTTCAGCTACCATCACGGCGAAGCACCTTCTCTGCTCCCCAAGTGCAGCCCCTAGTCTGAAGGCTGTGCTTTGGCTTTCTCCTTCCTCAGCATTTAGCTCCCCGTAGGAGCCCTGCTCACCCTCTGCTGCCCCTCACACCCCCCATAGGGTCCACTGAACTCCTGGGAAGGGCCTGTCTTCCTGCCTTGGTGTCTGCTCTCCGGACAGGAGCAGAGCTCGGTGGGCTTCCTGCAGTGGATGTTCAGAGTGAGACAGTGCCGAGCTCCCTCTCTTGTTGGCCCGCTTCCTGTTTCCTGCTCCCACTCTCCTCTTTCCGTAGAAATAAACACATATTTTACAGAAACAAGGTCCCCTGTGCTCTTTGGCACTTAAATGTGTCTTTCACAACTTTCCAGCCACTGACTATTTCAATATTTTTAATGACCACAGGTTAGCACTTCCTGAGTGCTTGGTGTGAGAGAGGCCCTGTGTCCTGCTCTTTAATTGCACTGTCACATGTACAGATCCACCATCCCCATTTTACAAAGGAGGAAATGGGCACAGAGCTCAGTCAAAATTCTATTACTTCTTGGTGACACAGCAAAGATCACCTCAAGTTTCTTTGAGTCTAATACCGTATGCATGCACTAGGATTAATTTAGACAGTCCCATACTTAGGGCCTGTTTGGGCTGGTTCCAAAGTTTTCCCATCAGAATAGTCCTGAAGTTATTGCCCTTGTGACTGAATGACACTCAGCCCTCTAAAAGTGGGGACAGATCTTATCATTAATGTGTGCTTCAGGAAGCCACTGACTTACCCAGGAAGTCATCCGAGGACAGCCTTTCAAAATCCCAAACCTGGAGCACCAGCACCGCCGGCGTCTTGCACTCCGTCTTCTCCAAGGAGAAGATGTTCTCCCGCTTGGTGATGACCATCTGCTTCTCAGCTGGGAGGTACTGGAACGGAAACAGGAAGCGCCAGTTGAAGTTGCCCTCTCCGGTCAGCGAGTTGTAGTGGACGTCTGTCTCCTGCTTGTCATCTTCCAAACCCTTTAACCACCTGAGCAGAGATTTTTAAAAATTCAGACCCTCAGAGTACATTACAATCAGGCATCAGTATGATCAAAAGTGATTGAGCTAGTTCTAGCATGGTCACAGATCATAGTTTTAAATTCATTCTATGGTTAGATTTGGATGGAAGCTTACATTTCAATTTGGAGAGGGAGACTAGGGGTCAAAGGGGTCTGAATGGGGATAAGACCCATCCCAAGGCTCACGAAGTATTGCTCAGTGTCACTGAATAAGGTGAGTATTCCATATATGTGATATATACTAAATACTAGGAACATAAATATGACCGGGTTGGGCAGGTGTCTGCAAGTGTGTGAGCCAACTATAGCTCGGGCCATCAGGATGCTAAGTCCAGGAGACAGAAGGGGAGTGTAAGCAGAACCTCAGCCACTCTGCAAACTTCCTGAATATCAGGAATGGGCCCCCTCTGTGCCAGCTTACCCACTCCCTGGGCCTCTAGAGCTGGGCTTAGACTTGTGATGCTAGGCCTGGAACTCTCTCTTCTCTGGTTCTGGGTTCAAGAGCCCAGCAGGCCTGGATTGGTGAGGCAGGGAGGGTGGGGGCTGCCTTGGTCACCAAGGTTCCAATTCGGACTCTACCCCTGTTAGCGGTGCAACCACAGAAAAGCTCTTTAACTCTCTGTGTCTCCACTCCTCCTGTAAGCAGTTAGAGTGCCTGATTCATGGGGTTGCACAGAGGAATTACATAAGTAATGCCTACAAAGTGTTTCAAGCACTCCAAATTACCTACAGTGTTCTTTCATCTTAGAGTTAGTGGGTCTTTCTCTTCCATACCCAGAATAATGTAAGCTACATTTAACATATGTTTCCCCGGTACTTTATCATGGTAAATTAACAAATTCAGAAAATGAGTCATTTTATCCATGCTAACTGATAATCCAAATCACTTGCTTTTTGAAAGCAGACACAGCTCCTCCCCAGGGCAGAGTGAAGACCACCTTCTCTTCATAGAGCATGGTGCCTATAGACCCAATTATGTAGCTAATGAAACATGAGAGTGACAGATAAAATAGTGTGAGATATGAAAAGGGCCTAGGGCAGTGCCAGGGGCCATTTAACTTCTAGATGGGGTGGGGAGAATGATCACTGAGAAACACCAGCACAGAAGGATGGAACCCAGAGAGTGTTGCTAGAGGGCAGGCAAGAAAGCATTGCAAAACCTATTCACTGTGTCAAATGTTCCTAGCAAGGTCCTAAGCTGAAGACTTATTTAGGCAATAAAACCCAGACACTGGCAGCAGGAGGGCATGCTTCCATGAGACTGGCTCTGTGGGGTGCTGGGAAAGGAGCCGGATGGGAGCTGGGGAGCAGCGGAGGAGAAACCGAGGCAGTGGATACAAACATCTCTTTTCCTATATTCTAATGGGCCAGGGTTCTGGAAGCCTCAGCCTGAACTCCCCCAGAACCCTACATCTTGTGAGGTGTGGTAAGATATCTTTTCGTAAGGCAATCAGTCTTTCCTGACCTAGTGATCAGAAAGCAATTTCAGAGGATCTTAACTCTGCTTTTAAAACATTATTTGTTTTGGGCCACGCTGTCTCTGTGGATTCTTCTTTGTAATAACCTAACTCCTCCACTCTTCTCCTGAAAAATGAGAATTCTGCGAGAATGGATATGCTTGGATTGCCAAATGCATCACAGTCCTCATGCTTGGGAAATGCAAGGAGACATCACCATGAGGCCGGTACGAGTTCAGGACCTTGGAGATATGCTTTAGCTAAAACAGAGATTAAAATCACTGTTTCTTCTGACCTCTCTGACCCCTTCCCAGAGGCTAAAGGAAGCAGGGCCAACTTGTAAGACAGAGACATCAAATGTTTCACTTTGTGGATTAGGTTGGTATCTTTTTTTTTTTTTTTAATAGTAGCAGTCCCAAATGGGAATTTGCTAAATTTTAACTTTTACATTAGTTATATAATCTGCTAAAAAAGGTTAATCCTTTATTAATAGTATCATCACACTTTATTTTTTTTCAGTTTAAAGATAATCTTTAAAGATTAGAATGAGAGACAAGAAAGATGTTTAAGTGTCCCACATTTATTTAAGTGAAAGATGTTGATAGCATAAGATTTACTCACTAAAAATATTTTCACAAGATAACTCTCAGAAAAATGACAAAAAAAGACAAATATGTAACAAAGGGAAGATGGGGGGCTGGCATGGGTTGTGGGTGTAGCATCTTCCCCGGGGCATAGATTTGAGTGGAGATTAAAAATCCAGGGAAGGGAAGGGACACAAGGAGGGACCTGAAAATGACCTTACCCTTTAACATAAATGTCACTTGATTTTTGGCCTGTGAAGATGTTCTCGTCCTCTAAAATGACGTCTTCAGTGTTCCAGATGATTACCCTCAGCTCATACCTGGGGGGCAGGAGAGCAGCATTAGGACGGTGAGCTTGAAAATGGAGTCAGAAGGTGTTGCTTTTGGTTCTCCTCACATTGGTTGAGTTCATGAATATCAACACTCAAAATCTCGGTTGCATCAAAACCAAGTATCCCAGCAGAAATCTTAGACTCACCGAGGGCATGAATTACCCTGGGAGGATCTTCCTGTTACTCAGCATTTCTCAGAAGAGGAATTTCAAGCTCAGAAGCCCCCATTTGGACTGTCACCACTCCTGCTACTCACCTGCTGCTGTAACCAGCCAGGTGGAAGGGGAGGTTGGTCATCACGTGACCTCTCAGACACCAGATCAATTGATATAGTCCTCTAATCTCTATCGGAACACTGTACTTCAGGACAGGTGATGCCTGCCCACTTACCCTTTGGGCTTCCTCGGTGAAATGTCAACAGGAGGTCCTGGCTGAGGCATGTCCTTGGGGAACATGTCCACCCACATCTGAAGTCGGCCCTTATGGAGAAGAGGAGACGTCTTTTAGCTTTGGGAGAGGATAGGACGTGGGTAAATGACCACTCAGGATTTTAAAAGCTCTCTATACTAGAAAGGGGTCCTAGGTATAGCTTGGTACCTTTATATGTTAGTAGAATGTTTGGTAATAAAGACAGAAGTTACATTTTTATTAAAAATTAGTCAAAGCATAAGTGAAGAGTGGAGGAAGAGCATTATTGAGCAGTTATTGTGTGGTACATCCCAGGCGGTGTACTTGATTTGCATTAGCGGTAAATTCTCACCCCCTCCCCCATAGACACCACTGTTCCCACTTGGCAGAAGAGAGATCTTGCCTGCCATGGTTACCCAGACAAAATGTGACAGAGTCTGGATTCGACCCTTATCTGTTACCTCCAGAAGCTCTGCTCCTTCTACAAACTGCCAAGGAATAAAAAGATGGTGATACTGTCTGCTGGAAGAATCACACTTCGGTGCTTCTGTTATTTCTGTTAGTGGTCATCACCAGCCACGCACCCACCTTACACATAAAGAAACTACAGCTTGGAGGAGTCAAAGAAAGTATCTGAAGAGCTCAGCTGACCAGCCAAGAAAAGGGCTTCTCGCCCAGTGCCGTGAACTTCTGGCCATTGCAAGACTGAACAGGCACAGAGGGAGAAGGGGGCAGACCACACGCTCGTCTCTGTTGTCCAGGTTTAAGCACACGTCAGCTCAGACCAGGAGGTGAATGACTGACGGGGCTGTGACGGCCAAGGGAGACGTTATGAAAAAGACATAGATCCCCAGCAGAGTATAGAGGAAGGGCAGGACTAGGGTTAGAGGAGCTTTCAAAGCTAGAAAAAGTCAGTGGGGAGAGTTTTCAGAAGATAAGCAATGTAAGCAAAGGGTTGGCATTTGGGAAGAAAAAGCTGGCTCATGCAAAAGTGGGGTGGTTTATTCCCCAAAGGTGCATTAACATTTGTTCTTAACCAAAAGCCACGATCTGACAGGAAAAATGAAGGGTCCCAATAACCCAAAGACCCCAGATCTCCAGTAGAGACTGTGGAAATGGCTAGTAGTTCTCCAGTTCATAATGACTTAGTCTCTCGAGGGTCCCTTCACACTCCCCACTGCTAGGTCCACCCCGGCCTGCAGGAACAGCAGGGAAGGTGTCCTCACGTGCTTTGCCCAAGTTAAGTAAGTGAACCCAGAGCTGAGACAGGAGCCATCCTGGCGCTGTGGCCTGAGCACAGGCAGCCACGGGACTGCAGCGCCTGGATCAGATCCCAGTTCCTCAGCTTCCTGGCTGGCTGACTTTGAGCAAGTTGCTAAATTCTCTGAATCTCAATTTCCTAATCTTAAAAATGAATGTAAAACTCATTGAAAGGCTAGATTAAGGAACAGAGTAAGGTAACTTATGTGCCCCTGTAGCTCTAAGAAAATCATGGTATGTGTCTCTCTTGTCACATCATTAATTACTAGCAATCACCTTATTGACACGCAAAGAGGCCCCAGCTTGGCTCAACAATTCTGTGGTCAGCCTGAGGTAAGATGGTTTACACGAAGGCTTGAGTACTGCAAAGTCTCTTAACATAGTCTGTCTTCTTTCCCTTTGCATCTAAACTGAGTTATCTTTTTCACAGCTTCTTGCCAATTCTTCAACGTAAACTACTTTCTGCTGCTTCTCTGAGGAATCTCTCTGTCTCTGTCTCTCTCTCTCATTACAGATAAGATTTTGGATAAGGGCTTTGGCATATCATATAATTTTTAAAGTTTCTTAAATTTCAGAATTTATCAAAGAGTTTTATAATTCAAATCCAAAAGGAAAAAGTACAAAGTCCTTCACTGTCCCCAGGACAGAAAATGGCTAGCAGTTCCTCAGCTTCATCATGATTGATATTTTGGACCAGACGACATTTTGTCGCTATGAGTAGGAGACAGTACTGGGCATTATGGGATGTTTAATTTAGCAGCATTTCTGTCCTTTACCCACTAGATGCCAGTAGCTCCCCCACCCTTTTCTAACAACTAAAAATGTTTCCAGACATTGCTAAATATCTTTGAAGGAAAAGATCGAAATTGTCTTCAAATGAAAAATCATTACAGATGGGCACACAAGATTGATGTGTAAGGGCAAAGCCCCTTGGGGGCTCCTTGAGGACATACCCACCTATGAGCGCCAGAACCATCCTGCCTACTACCTGTTCCATTCCTGGCTTATCCTTGTGGTACAGCGGCCGAGTTTCTATGTGCTCGGGAACCAGCCTGCATCCGACCTCGGGAACCTCCTCCCAGGAGTGTAAGACCTTGAGGGCCAAGTGCTCATAAGACTCCACTGTCTCTTCTGCGATGGAAAGACAAAGACAGAGAGTTGTTAGACGCATCTACCTGCAAAGAGGCAGAGAGGGCTGCCAGACACATGTTCAAACACTTCCCTCAGAGGCTCCTTTAAAAAGTACGGAGACATAGAGGGAGAAAAACAGACAGAAAAGGGAACAAAGCAGATGGAGAAAGTGGTGGGAAAGAAAAAGAGATTGAAACTTTAGAGGTGGGGCAAATGAGGTGAGTTGATGGTGTTTCAGGCAACAGAGTTAAATAGAAATACTATAAGCGGTGAGACAGGGCTGGGTCCTCGAAGGAGCCAGTGCAGAAGTCCAGATACCTTGCAACAGACACTTCCACTGTGGGCCAGACCTCAAGACAAAGGATCAAACAAATGCACCCACATCCTAAGGACTGGTATTCTAACTAAGTCTCTGTCACCCTGAGGAATCCAGGAGTCACCATCCTAGCCCACTACAGGAAGAGTCCCTGCTCGTTGTAAGAAAAGAATGTCCGCTTGCTATGCGGCTGGCTTCCCCACTTGACCCCAATTAATCTTACCGGTGGACCACAGTTCTGTCCCACCTCATACCACCTGCCAGGTGAGTTCCCATGTTTTCCTCACCGTAACCCTGACTCACTTTGTGGTTTTACTCTATGAAAGTCCCTAGAAAAGGTAGGGTCTTGGCATCCACTCAAGACCCCTTCTGTCTCTCTCCCAGAGATAAGATTTCTTTCTTTCAAAAAATATATTCTGCTCTTAACCTCATTGTTCCTAAAATTCATTCTTTGATTTTAGAGAACGAACTTGTACATTTAATAGGTTGGAAGTTTCATTCCCCTATCAATAAGAAAACTGAGAGAGCAGTAGGGACCTTGGAATAGGAGTTCTGTTCACCCCTAAATCAGATTCCCAAAGAGTCCATCAGTTATTAGGTGGATTCCAAGCAGTAGCAAGGGTATGTCTGTGGAGAGATAGAACTATTTTCTATCACCACAGTGTGAGGTTCTGGGAATCAGGTAGCTCCAGCAATGTGGGGACTGTGTATCTGGGTGCCCTTGATCTTCTTGTTTTTGACTGGGACCTCCCTCCTGCCCACACCTGCCCCACTGGAAAGGCTCTGGGATGTCATTCTATTACAGGAGTTCATTAATGATAAAGTTACTGGAAGAATATGCACACAATAAGATGAAACTTTTTGAAAGAACAAAATGTTGATAAAGTTTAAAATGGCAAAATTCGGTATTAGAAAATTGAAAGTGTCTTTAATAAAGAGCTATTTTAAAAATCTCCCTGAAGTAATAATTATAATCAGTAAGCTTGATAGGGTTGAAAAGTAATCAGTAAATAAATATTTGTCACAAATTTTAGTCAATCAGGAATTGACCTTATGAACATAACTTCAGATTTCAGTAGGGAAAAAGAGTAATTGTTAAATATTGGATGTTACACTACTAACCAAAGAACTAAGAATACATTGTGAAAAAATACTTTTCTCAACAGAAAGGTATCAATATGTCATTAGTAGGTAATCTAAATAACAATAACCCTGCATGCAAGAACCATTGTTAAGTTCTTGGGGCTGGCAATGTACAAAGAAAACTTGGTAGCATGCTGTGAAAATATCCTGTACCGTAAGCTTTATAGAGCTCTTTGTATCAAAAGTACTGAGCCACTATAGAGAAATGTCAAATGCATGGATGTGACAGTACAAGAATCGTTCTACATCATTAAAGGAGAAGTGGCTCTTTCTCATCCTAAATTTACAGAACCCCTCTGGGCTCTTTGTGGTCTATCTTATGATGCTCATATGAAAACCTACTTCCTGGTGTTAAAATAGGACAGTTATTGGTGTAACATCTGCGGGAATAACTTGGGTGGTATCCAATTGTATAATATTTATCTTATACAGCTTACCTTCTGGCACAATTGCACATCTATGATCTATGCTTTAGACATTGAGAAAAATGAACAAAAATATGTACAAGGAAGGTTGTTGTGGCCGTGTTACTCCAAGAACTTGAACCGAATATAATTAAGTGGCACAACCATACAATGGAATGCTATCTATGAACATTTTGAAAAAAAATCAAGGAAAATCCTCATAATATATTGGATATAGAAAAAGCAGGACACACAAACACACAGACAGACAGATAGAAAGACAGACAGACACACACACATACTCTACAAGGAAATATACCAGCACACAGCACTGCTATCTCTGGACTGGGGTTTGTAAATGACTTCATTATCCTGCTTGCTTTTCCTTATTTTCTCCTGTAAGTACGCACTACTTTCATAATTAGATGCCCACTGCCACAAGCCATGGATACCCCCAGCCTCTCAGTAGAAGAGCAACATCGGCCGAACATTTTGCAGGAAGTTACCAGTGTCCTCTTCAGTGAAGACTGTTTTTCCGGAAAAGACCTTGCTTCCTATCTGTATTTGCCCAGGCCTGAAGTAGGGTCCATCCAGCTTATTGTCTTTGCAGAGCTTGGTGAGAATTTCTGTGGGTTTGGATGTGTCCCTCCAGGCGTTGTATCCTTCTCTGAAAAGTGAAGAAAGGGTGGATGGGGTGAGGCCTGCTGTTCCCTGGAAAACACACCTGAGACCCCTATTAAACGGGCAGCCTCGGGGTGACCTGAGCAGTTTTATGCAGGTTCACTTGCCATTCTACATATCTGCAGTGAGTGACCTTGTTCGTTTTCTCTCCTTTATATATGCACAGCGTTGCATATGTCCATGTAAGACAGGACTTGTAAGTAACTTAACATGAAAAGCCTTTGCAGATAATTTTGATTTTTTAAAGTAATGTACTTTTCTTTAAAAATTATTTGAAGTGAAATTCACATAAAAATTAATCATTTTAAAGTTGAGTAGTTCAGTGGCATTTAGTATATTCACAGTGACATGCAATTACTACCTCTATCTAGTTCTAAAAAGTTTTCATACCCCAAGAGAAAGCCTTGTACCCAAAAAGTGACTGCTTCTCCTTCCTCCCCAGAGCCTTTGGAATTTACCCCTCTGCTTTCTTTCTGTATGAAATTCTTGGCAGGTGATTTTTCTTTAGTTTTGTTATGTGCTGAATAGAATAGGCATTTGGCTGCTACTTATTCTAAGAGAAAAGCATTGCTTATTCTTTCAGTTTCTCTGCTTCTTTTTTCCCTTCTTTTCTCCCACAAAACATTATTATAGACTCAGGTTATAGCTAGATGTTCTTGAGATGTTGTCCCTATAAGCAATACTTGTCCTAGTGGTGATTTTCCACATTTTCCCAACTCCTTTTCCCTTAAAAAATAGCTATTTAGTTAAAGATTATCAACTTACAGTGCCCTGTTTTCCAGGGACCATAACAAGGATAAGATTGGATGTTTTTACACACTGAGGAAGAGTTCATCAGAATTCAGCTTACTCAGCACTGAAATAAGTTGAAATATGCCTCATGAAGCAGTGATACATGGTAGTTTTCCACATTATGCCAGAGAGGTGAGGATCTTAAAAAGATCACCCACATCAGCTTCAGCTCGGAGCTACACACTGGCCTTGCCAGAAACAAATGATTTTATCTTACATGAAACTTTTTTTAGTGAAAAAAGGTTTCATCTTCCTCAACCAATCAGTCTGGTCCCAGGCAGGTTCACTGTTCAGAAATACACTCACCAGGGGCTGGGAATTTAGCTCAGCGGAATAAGCGCCTGCCTTGCAAGCAGGCAGTCATGAGTTCGATCCCCGGTACCGATTTAAAAAAAAAAAAGAAATACACTGACCAAACCTTGACCACCTTCCCTGATTTCAGGGTAAGAATCAACCTGAACAGAGCCCTCCTAGCTAGTTGTAGAGCTGCGTAAATACCTCAGACGTCTTATGGATTCACTAAACTGGCTATCTAAGTTCAGAGAAGAGCAGACCAGGACAGAGAGAATGCCTGAAAATGTTGCCATGGAGGAAATAGGCCCTTCACTCTATTATTCCTGTAGGACATTACATTGGGTTACAACAACCCATCCCATGTTTTTCTGCTGTAAATTTGTACTTTAGCAGAATAGTACCTGGCTATGCATCTCAGCAGCTGCACCTGGAGGATACAGGAAGCAATCTTTGTTTACCCACTTGGTATAATGAATGGCAAGGTATATGCAAAGGAAGTGTCAAACCAGGAGTTTTACCCATGTAATGTTCTATCCAGCAGTTTTTGCATACGTTTATCTGAGCATCTCAGGGAGTAAAATATACCCACACCACTCTTCTGTTACATAAACATGTATTTTACCACAATGGAATGTGAGTGTGACTCACAATTCCTGGGCCTGGGAAAGCAAACTCCTCTCTGTGCATTCACCCACTTGACAGACAAATGGCAAGGTGTGTACAGGAGCTCCAAAACAGCAACAGGTGAGTTTTATCTCTGAAATGCTCACTGCTAAATTTCTGTGCATTTAGGAGTTTAAAAATTTTTTTTGTTTCAATTTTTCTGGTGGAAGTATCCTAATTCAGTACAATGGCACATGAAAAACTAGATTTGCAAATTTTGGAGGAAGTCAAAAGTGAGTCATGATTACTTGTGCAAGGATGATGAAGATGATAATGACTTTGATGTTGGCCATGTGAGCTAAAGTTCCTGTGACAGCAAAAGGAGAAAGAATCAACCAATACAGACATAGGAAATGTAGATTTCCTTCAATCAGATGACAAAGATACCAATAATGTATTTACTTGACTAGTTAGAATGGTGCAATATGGGCATGAAACTAAATGGAGTGATTCAATTGTAGAACTAGTTTAAAAAATATATTGAGAATCCTGCATTGCCATTCAATGTTGGAAATTGTAACGAATGAAATGCTACAAGATGTGAAATATAAGATATTGTGAAATACATAAATGATGAAATACAAGTAAAACATTCTGTGTCAACCATACTCAAAAATGTATTTATTGTGACATTTCACTAGGTGAATTGAATGCATTCATAGGTCTTCTATACTTAGTAGGGCTTTCCCATGGTAATCACAGGAATATAAAAGACTTATAGAGAAGCAGTGGGTGAGGACTTGAGGTTTGTAGAACAACAATAACACTGAAGAGATCTGGTTTCTTTCAAAACTGCTTGAGATTTGATGACAAAATCATTCACCAAGAAAGAAAAAGAACTGATAATCTGGCTGCTGTCCACTCATTGTTTGAGAGATTTGTGGGTAACTGTCAAACAATTTGCACACCATCTGGATACGTGAGTATTGATGAGCATCTTGCAGATTTTCATGGTTCCTGTAGCTTAAAGTAGTATATGCGCCCCCAAAAACCTTTCAAAATGTGGCATAAAGATGTATGCCCTTGTAGATTCAAAGATGTATTATGCTTCAACCCTCATGATAATGCACTTTTATAACAAAATTGGTGTTATTCTCTGAGTACTGGGAGTGTGAATTTAACCGGGCATGGGGGTGCACCCCTGTATCCCAGCACTCTGCAAGGTTAAGACAAAAGGATCATGACTCCAAGCCCAGGCTGGGCAACTTAGAGACTCAGTTTCAAAATTAAAAAGGTACGGAGGATGTAGCCCAATTTTAAAGGTCCCAAATTGAATACCCAGTACATAAAAGTATGAGTTGACATGACCTTTCTGGAGGACCATTTGGACATTTTGGATTGAGATATATTAAAAGTCCTTAAAATGTGCATTTTCTATAATGGTATAATCCACATTGACGGATGAATGCACTGGTACCTTGGCTCATGAACTTGATTGTTTTCACAACTCTGGTTGTATACTGAGTTGGAACCAACTCAGAACCAAATCAAGAACCAAATCAAATTAATCATTAGGTTCAATGCTGACCTTATAGGAAATTTGATTCAGTTTTCTTACAGTTTGGTTTGACTCCAAAATTGTGGAGCAAACTGAATTTGTGAACTGAGATACCACTGTATCTAGTGAGATATCAGAGGTAGGTAGAGGTAGAAGGTTCAGGAGTCAATGATATTTAGCAACACAGAGATTTTTTCCCCCCAGCTTTGCCTTTGGCCCACCTACTGTATAAATTCCCCAACTCAATGGCATTTGATTGAAAATGCCCCTAGCAGCAATATTTATAAAGTAATAAAAAATAGAAATGATGAAAACAAATTGCAATACTACTTCACAATAAATTCATATGATGGAATACTATAAAGCTATTAAATTAATAATTATTAAGAATATTAAATGGCATTTCAAAGTACTTAAGATATAAGGGTAAATACAATAAACAGGTTACAAACTGCAGTGGATATTATGCAGGGAAAACAGCATAGAAAAAAATACTAAAAGAAAATTTGCAGAAGCACTTATGCAAATTATTTCAGGAGAGAATAATTTGTGCTTACATTTTCTAAATTTTCTAGATTGAATACGTAATATTTTATATTTAGGAAAACATTTTACAATTATACCATGGAATGTCAGTTAATGTTTTTACATTTCTTAGTTGAAATATATGAGTTTTTAAAAACACATCGGTTGCAACCTACTTTAAAAAAATAAAGCTAGTAGTCTAAATTTTAAACATGGTAGAATACAAAATCTTTGCAAAGAGTAAATTTGAGTCTGTTCTTCCTTTATTGTAAAATGAGGTGAACACCTCAGTGGGTTGTTGAGAGAACTGGATGAAATACTGACGTGAGGCTCTCAGGACAGGGACTAGGGTATCACAAGCACTCAGAGCACTAGTTACAGAATATGGCACTTAGTTATATTCATCACCGTTCTTCTCCCATCATTTCCCACCTGGGGATGATGACCACCAAGCACAGGTGGTCCAGCAAGCACGTCATGATTTGACTCCAGAGAAGCTCCTTTGATTCTAAATCAAAGCTGCCTTCCCAGCCCCAAGGGTGCCAAATCACCCCACAGACACAGATCCCATCTGAGAGGTTAAAACGCAGCCTGACCTGGCCTCCTGAGAGATGGACTATAGGATTGAGAGCTCAGAGCTGTGGCGGCAGAACACTCACACTGTCTCCATAAGAAAAAGAACTTACACTTCATACTGGCTCTGCAGGCCACAGATGGCTCGGTGTTTGCTATAGAAGCGATTCTCCAGGTCAATCTTGGTCTCGCCAATGAGATCATCTGTCCCAATCATGTCATGGTCATAGATCAGGACGGTGAGCAGGGACTCCTTTGGGAAGGTAGCTTGGATCTCAAATGACCTGCAGTCCAGGCAGAGGGTTCGAGTCAATGATCTTTAACAATACAGAGATTTTTTCCCTCCAGCTTTGCCTTTGGCTCGCCTACTGTATAAATTCCCCAACTCAGCAATCTAGTTAAGACTTATTTATTTTATTTTTCACTGAGGTACAATGAACTTCCAACTCCTTTGTCAGTTTCTATTAGACAATGCTTTTCCCATTCATGGGTCTTATAGGTTTCAGCTAGGAATTTTGTCCTCAAACAGAAATGATTTTCAACTTCCTGGTTGTGAAACTTCCAGGAAGTTTTCCTTTTCTTTTGCTTTTTTTTTTTTTTCCGCTCTTTCAGTCTCCTGTGTAATGGAGATGAACAGGTCTTCTTTAGAGTGATGGCTGATACAATGGATTTTTCATGCTATTACTGAGTTTCTGCATTACAAGCAGATGCTTGCATGAAACCTTGCATTCCAGGGAAATGTCTTCCTAACAATAAAGGTGAGGACACCCCAGTGTTTCTCCAGGTATTGTATCCTATGTTCTCTTTGAGACAGGATGGACTGGAATTAAAGGACAGAAAGGAGGAAAGAGAAGGTGAGCCCTTTTCCCCTGCCTGTCCATAGGTCTTTCTGGGCTTGGTCAGATCCATTTAGCCTTGACAGTTGCTCTCTGGTGTGGCACTACAAGCACAGTCTGGATGCCAGTCTGCACAGGAGCCAAAGTAGCCTCTCAGAGAGCACAAGCAGAGATGCTCTACAGCTCTGTGGCTGACCCTAGCAGGTCAAGGGGGTGATTGCTGTGGGAGGAAACCAAATGCATCCTCCATGTGACTTCCATCAGGCACCATGTAGCCCCCTCTGGGTTCTAAGATGGGGATTTTAAGTTTTATTTATATTCCTGGAGATCTTATAAGGAAGCATCCAGCATCTGTCCTTGGGCTTTCCATCATCATGGTTGTCACTACAGAAGGTAGTGCTTAACTGCCTTGGTAACTGCTTAACTGCCTTGGTAACCCAGAGAATGTCTTGATTGCTTTGGTAACTTCCCCCACCTGTGCTCACAGATGAAACTTTCCTCAATTTTAACTGGAGCTCTCATTCAAAGAGTTACCAAAACCAGCCCACTGTAGCTAGAATTCAGTCACCCAAGACAAAGTAGGTGCATATCAGCTTGTAGGTCAACCACATACTGTTGTTAGATGCAATGATAGCTTGAAAAAAGACATAGAATCAAGATATGAGCAGAAGGACTTCTGGGAGAACATGGTGGACAGATAGCAGCAGCTATGGAGGCTCTCTGAGACACCCAGCTGAGAATCCAGGAATAGTGCAGAGTAAGGAATCCTAAGCAAGAGGAGATATACCCTGCTGACCCAAGAACGAACTGGGCTGAGAGAAACCAACTGGGAATGCAATCCTGGTGCTATAACAGGAACAGATAAAGCCTCAGTGTGGAAGCTGGAGCCCGTGCCATTGGAAGCCACGATTTGGGTTTTCTGCCGCTGCTGCTGCGTCTGAATTGGCTCGGCACAGAGAGAAACGCGCGAAAGCTCTGAGAACGGGAATCGGTGAATGGAGTTGAGAGCAGGACGGGTGGGGAGCCGTGCCTCGACTTGCGGTGAGTGAGGGAAACTGGGACTCTCCCACGGTCTAGGAGGCTCCAACTGAGGACATTCTGGGACCGGGCAGACTTGCCGGAACAGGACACTGTGGTGACTTCAGTCACATATCCCCCTTTCAAGCGGGATTAATGAGCAGTGCCTAACCTATGTGACACTGCTGGCTGAGACCCAGTAAGCTAGCACAACACAGGTCCCAGCGCCTGGAGGTGCACCTTAGCAGTGAAGCCTTTGGTAAGTTGACCTGGAGGGGTGGGCCCCGCATAGGCTGCCCAGTCCGTAACTCCCTGGTGCACTGCGGTGGGCAGGAACACGTAGCCGGTGCAATTCAATCAGACTGTGGCTGACAGGGAAAGAAGCTGGGCCTCCTATATATGCTTGCATATATAAGGAATAAGGAAGAGGGAGCAACAAGAAAGGCTCCTCAGCCCCCAATCCTGAGAAACAGGCAATAGCAGACACAGCACCAATAGACATAAAGCGCTATCTCCAGAGCCTCATAGATGAGTTCAGGAATGAAGTTATTAATGACCTGAAGCAAGACATAAGCAGAATAGTTAAAGAAATGCTAAGCACCACCCAAGAAAAAACAGATGGTGGAATGGAAGAACAGAAAAAGAAGGGAGAATTGTTTGATGGAGAAAATAGAGGAAACATAGAGTACATGAAGCAGGTTCAAAGAGATTATCAGGAAACTAAAAACTCTATTGAAAACTGGCATAATAGCTTGAAAGAAACTAAGGGTAGATTATCTGAACCAGAGGGCAGATTTGTAATATGGGATCATGAAATGAAAAACTTCTTAAAAATAACAAAGAAACAAGCAGCAATAATACAAAGACTAGAAGATGATAAGAGGATCTATAACTTAAGAATTAAGAACATAAAAGAAGAGGTAGGGACACAAACAAATGAACTACAAAAGCTACTCGCAGAAATAATCCAGGAGAATTTTCCTAATTTAGCAAAAGGTAAAGATACTCAGATGTATGAAGCATACAGGACTCTAGCCACCTACAACCCAAACAGAGCTACACCCAGGCATATAATAATCAAAATTCCAGAAATCTAATATAAGAACAGAATATTAAAAGCTGTCAGAGACAAGAAACAGACCACTTACAAGGGAACACTCATCAGAATTACAGCAGACTTCTCAGCACAAACCATCAAATCACGAAGAGCATGGGGGGAAATAATTCAAGCTTTGAAAGGTAATAACCTCCAGCAAAGATTGATATATCCTGCACAACTATCCCTGGACATTGATGGAAAAACAAGGTGCTTCCAGGATAAAGAGGAACTCGGGGAATTTGCAACCACCAATTCAACTCTACAGAGAATACTGCAGGATATTCTAAAAAAGAAAAATAAGAAGAATCCAGAAATAGTGGCAGAGAGGCTACAATGAGTGGAGCAGAAAACAAAATGAAGAAGACAAACTGACAACTAGTGACAGAAAAAGAGCTCAACAGAAATGAGGCAGAGAAGATTGGATGATAGGAACAGCTATTTCGGAGAAAACAACGTCATAATAGTACCAGGTTCAAAAGTTTAGGCAACAGCTGTGAAGATAGTGGGATTCATTATGACGCCCATTCTGGTTGACTATTATCTACTTTTGAAGACCTGTAATGTCTCCAATGTTTTGGTTTTGTTGGTTTCGTTCTTTACTGTTTTGTTCAATTTTATTATAACTGATGATATAGGCAATTCTATTAGAGATAGCGGGAGGCATTATGGAAACCATTGTTGATCACCTTGTATTATGCTTTTACATTATCTATTATGTCCACCCTATTGATTTGACTGACTCTGTTCTGTTATGTCACATTTGGTTTTACTCCCTTCCAAAAAAGTAATAAGAACTGTGGGAGCAACAAAACCCAAAATGTGTAATAGTCATTGTACAAAAGAGAGGAAAAGAAAGTGCTCTAAACGATATAACTGCATGTATATTTAAGTGTATAAGATAGACAATGATATTACTGAGTTTTGTTGGATCATCGAACAGAACTGTTTGCAGTCTCACTGTTTGAATGTCCACTTTATGTGCTTTAATTTTGTAACTTGAACAAATATTTCTAAGATGACAATATGTAATCCATTAACTAGTGATTTCCTACTGTTTATTTTTTTCTGAAATTCTGTATAACTTGTACTTTTTTTCTGCTTTTTTTTTCTTTTTATCCTTAAATAAAATTAGAAAAGAAAGATACGAGCAGAAACATCCCATCCCCTCTCCACTCTGGACTTCGCGTGGGTTGCTTTCTAGAATACCCATCTCTCACCCACCAACCTCAAGAGGTCCAGGTACTCAACCAGCGTTTGTGCAGGATTTCCTATACTCTGTAGAAACTTTACAAAGTATAGACTAGCAGAGAGTCAGAGACAAGGTAGATTCTCAACGATTGTGAGGAACCAACGCAGTCCTGCAGGTAAACCAAGAAAGGGAGGGTAGCACGCTAGGGGCGCAGCAAGGGTAAAGGACTGCAGAAATGAAGGAGCCAGAGGAGATGCACAGTGTCTTAGTAACCCACAGCCCAGCCCGTAGCGTTTCATTATTTTATTCACATTGATGCTTAAGGCAAGGGAGATGACAGGGGGCACTGGGGAAACCATGAGATCTGTGAGCAACTGCCAAACCCTGTGGACATGGACAACCTCAGGGTATGCAAAATGACACAGCTCTAGCCTTCTACCATGGAGGGGAAGCTGGTCAACAAACCCTTGAACACATCAACCTGTTCAAAGAGGCTATAAAGGCAAAAGCAAGCAGCACAAGGCCCCAGGGCGCTAGGATGGAGGCGGAGGCTTCCTTGCATGAATACCGCAGCACTAAGGGAGTAAGCCCGCGGCTCTCCCTGTGGGATCTCTGGAGCTGAGCTGGCAATCTGTCCCTGAGCAATAATTAAATACAACTCCAACAAAGCATCCGCACCTGGAGAAGTTCTGGGAGAAGCCCTGCAAAACCAAAGGCCGGCAGGAATATCCCACCACCCTGTTCTCTATTTTCTGTGGCCATATCAGGGGTAATAAGACCAGTATTAATTCATGGCACTGTAGCAAATGAAGCACATAAAAAGTGACACCAGGTACTTGGCAAAATGAAGTACTTGGTTTCATAAGTGGCAGGTAATGATAAAGGTCACCCTGGCTCAGGGGAAAAGAGTAAGTTTACCTGGCACTGTCATTTTAATCATTTGCATTAGTTTGGATCAGCAAGGTCATTTACTGCCTCATTTCCCCAGGAGCAATAAAATCTGAGGCAGATGCTGATCAAATGTCAGAGAATCCAAATTGATTGCAAATACATGGATTTAAATGACACCAACAGAGATTTCATCCTGTGGTCCTAGTTATTCAGGAAAAAAGAAATGAATATACTCAAGATGTGTGTTGCTACGATTCCCAAGGAGTAGGGGAAGAGGGCTGCTGTGCTTTCTTGCTAACCCAGCAGGCTGGATTCTTCACATAACCCCCCAAGAGAGACAGAGTCAAGAGTCGGAGTCTGTGTATCTCTACAGATGATGAAAGCTAGAATCAGAACCTCACCTACAGGAGGTTACACTGCTTATATGTAGCAGAGGGAAACCCACGTTACTTTGATTCCAAAGACAGCAGCAGCCAGGCATGCAAATTGAAGTACATTAGTGTCTGACCACTAGATCAATGAGAGAGGTAGGATCTACCTAAACACACACCAGTACGTGGGTTTTAACACTTTTCAGGCAGACAAAATAACTGGGGGGGGGGGGCAGTTCAACATTTTGATCTCAGTGGTCACCTTAAATAAGTAGCAGAATGATATGCTGGGAAAATCTCTCTAATAGAAAGCAAAAGACCAAACACCTAGCACTTTCTCTTTGAACTACGAGTTTTGTAGGCTTCGCAGGATTTTGGTTACCTTGTTTATGACAAGAAAGTCTGCTCTTTGTCCACAAGCTACATGGAACATCTGATGCTCCTTCAAGATGCCTCAAATTTAAGGTCTACGAAGTGATTACTAGAACGCTATGTGTTTGAGGATCACCAAGTCCCATCAAATTACTGAGGGGACCATAGAAATAAATCCTTTCTCTATGAATATGGATTTTATTGGCTGCTTTTAAAGATAGAAAATTCAGAGTTTGACCTCCTATTGTTAATTTACTCAAGATTCTCCAATCCCATCACACATGCACGCACCCTGCCTCCCACCCCACACGTAGCACAACCCTCTAAGAAATGCAGCAGCAATTCAGAAACCACAACAAACACACCCAGGCTGGCCACTGACCTTCCGAATACTGGGTTCAGCTGTTTGGGGATGTATTTGTCCCGGTCTTTGATTTCTGTCTTGCCAAGTCTGAGCACAATGTAGGGATCTGATTTGCCATCTGGATCGGCTGGGCTAAGATTAAAAGCCTGAAGGGGAAGAAGAAAATTCCTTTGTTCAGCAAGTCCACACTGGCTGCACATAGGGTAATCTGGTGCTTTCATAAATATATGCTTGAGGCCTAACTCCAGACGCTCTGATTCAACAGGCCCTGACCGTTCAGATTTCGAAAATCTCCCTAGTGTAGCCAAGATCAAGAACCACTGCTTTAGCACCCTTTTTATTCTTAAAATAAGAATTATCATGTTCCATATCATCTTTATCTTGTGTCATTTTCTCAGTAGAAAACAGTTTGACACAGAGTAATGAAAAACATGCAGGACCAGGAGATCCTGAGATGAAATCTAGTTCTAGATCTGTGAGATCTTGGATAAGTCATGCTATTTCTGGGATCTCTCTATGAGATTGTAGGTGCACCTGAGGGCCCTTTCCAGCACCAGTGCTCTCTGAACCCATGACCCCTTCAGTCTTGCATTTGACAACTGACTGATGGCCTATTCCCATTCGTGAACTCCAATTCCAGATCTGCTGGTTCTCAAGCTATGAACAGTGAATGCTTTGTAAGATAGGCCATGGTGGGAGGCTGGGGAGGATGGCATCAAAGAGAGGAATTCAGTGGTGATGAAAGCTCAGGGAGCGACAAGCCATTATTATGTGGGGCTTTATCCTGCAGACAAAATATCACAAACCTATAAAGCTAAATGTTCAAGAATGTTCTCTAGAACACTATTCATTGACCAAAACTGTAAGCAATTTTACCTGGGGGGGGGGAAATATGACCCCAAATAGATCCTCCTCTATTTCTTCTCACCATAGAAACAGTTTTCATTCCCTACATAGCAGTTACCTCTGACATCAATTATCTGTCTGCCCCTGTGTTTCTTCTAGTACTTTCTTATCCCCACACTACTCACACTTGCATGTAACTGCCACGAGAGCAAGGGCACAGCCCTGTTCATTGATTTATCTCTGTGACACAGAACTGGGTCTGCTTCACATTTGCTGAATAAGTCAATATAAATTCATTCACAAACACACTATGCAGTTACAGAAGATGGAAGGCCTACACATACCGATATGGAATAAGCTCTGAAGTACCCTGATAAGCAAGAAAAAGCAGAGGTGAGGTAATTTACTTCTTAACACAGTTTTAAGCAATCTTTTAAAACTTTCTTTTGTTTTATTAAAGTTTTTTTTAAAATTAACTGATTATATAGATAATTAACTACATATTATCGCAAGAGAGGCAACCCCACACAATCACCATGACTGGAACAGTTAGCAAAAAGCACTGACTATGCATAACCACAACAACTGCCTCACACCCCACACTCAGGTAGCCACCTCTGACTTTGTTCAAGTCCTCCAGCTCTGGCCCAAGCCTCATCCCACCCCTGCCCCCGCCTCCATGGCAGGACCCTGAGCTGCATTCCTGCCTTTTGTCTAGAGAACAGTAGACAGACACACAAAAAGGAATGCAACAGATAACTGCCGAATGAATAAATGAGTGGGGAACAGATCCTTCTCCAACCTCTGGAGATCCCAGAACTCTCTCCCTAACTTTCCTAATATCCCCACACTCTATTTCTGTATTCCTCTGTGTCCCAGAAAATCTTGGTTCTCTAGGCTTTTCAGGGTGGGGAGAGAATGTGCAAATGAGCTTTGTGAATTTCAGGAGCTAGAGAAAGGAAATGAATTATGAGATGCACTATTTCTCAAAATTACTTGAACACATGGTCTGTTTCTTGAGGAATGCATATTAAGTATCTTCTGCAACATGAATAACTTCCTGAATAATACCCTGTGGGTGGATGTTTAATATAGACTACACAGTGTTCCTGGTTCTTTATAAAGGCTCTGTTCTTTCCAGGTGGACTATGACTTCCTGGAGAGCAGAGACACTGCTCTTTTTACCACAATGCCCCTGACAGTCAGGGCAATGCCACTCAGATGCTGAAGGAGACCCAAGGACGGCTTGACAGAATGTTACTTCTTCCTTAACATTCCAGGATCATTCATTTTCATTTTGTGCTTCATTTACACTTCTTACAAGGAATATAGGCAATGTAAACAAAATTCACATATGACTACCACAAACACAATTATGAAAATCAAGTCCAAGGACAGAGGATGAAAAATCCATGAACTGTGAGAGTTCATACAATTGTTTTGAGCAAAACAATTTTACGGTACTTGGTCCTCCAGTTCCTGTCAACTAGGCCAAAAATTTCCATAATTAAAGTTTGGTGCTCTTATTAGCAGAAGGTGAGGAGCCTAGAGGAGGTTGTATTTTACTGGAATGTATTCACAGTGAGTGTCTGACAACAATGGTGCAGGGTCACAGCCATGGGGAGAATCTCCCAAGGGCAGCTGCCCTGTCTGCCCAGCCCTTTCCCTCTCACCAACAGCCTTCATCATGAGCTCCTTGCTTCAGCCCTACTTGATTCCCTTTCCTACTAGTAATCTACCCATGGGAGTAACTACTCAGGGAAGTCTGAGTATGTGGGAACTATTTTCTGAGTGAAAAGCCAGGAAATGTCCTTGTTACTGACCAAACTTCATAACCTATTGTGAGCTGAGCTGTGAGCCCCCAGTGCAGGAGGTGAAGCCCTAAGCCCCAGTATGACCTGGAGACATGGCATTATGCAGGTAATTACAATCAAATGAGGTTATCAGGGTAGGGCTCTAATCTGATAGAGCTCTGTCCCTATGAGGAAGAGAGATTCAAGAGCTCTCTCCTCCTCTTCACACACACACACACACACACACACACACACACACACACACACAAACACATCTGCATCTGCACAGAGGAAAGACCAGATGAGGACACACAAAGATGGCAGCCATCTGCAAGCCACCAAGAAAGGCCCCTGACAGCACCTTGATCATGGACTTACAGCCTGGAAACTTTGGGAACCAAATTTCTGCCACCAGCATCACGCCATCTGTGGTATTTTGTCGCGGAAACCCATGCACTATTAGACACCCCTAGGAACAAACAAGGATAGCTCACCGCAACAATGTACACCCTGATCAGGACCTGGACAGGGTGATTTGGTGGAATCCCTTGCTGGATTCTCAGCTGCCCCTTGTCCTCAGAGCTAGACTCCTCGAGGCTTTTGTAGATGCAGAAGGAGCCCTGGAACCACAAAGCAAACCCCATTGGAACAAGGTAGTCATAGGTTTCACTAAAAACCACAGAAAGCCTAGCACCAGGAAAGCAAGCCCAGCCTGGGTATCAGTGGGGCTGGGGCTGGGGCTGGGGCTGGGCTCCCCTTGTCAGATAAATGTGGATGCCTTGGGCAGTTTGTGCAAGCTGCTGGCAGCTGAGCTTCTTCCAGGTATGGTGGGTTGTGGTTGGTACATTGTCACCCTTGTCATAGCACTGTTAGGTGGGGAACACAGTGGATGAGATCTTGTGTGCCTTTATTCAGTGGAGTGCTATGCTTGTGCCTCCCCCTTACCTCATTCTATCCTGACTGCAGTATTCCCATCTCCAGAGGCAACTTGTGAGGCATGGAGAGGTTAAAGTTCACTGTTCCAGCTAGCAGCAGAACTTGAATTTAAATACAGACTGCAAAATATGACACCACTCCCAGCTCACCATGCTGCACACTAAAGGTGACAGGTGGTCAGCAAATGCTGGCTGCTACTTTGTGGTCTGACACTGTAAGCCAGCCAGATGAAGGGCTTGTGCTGTGTGATTAGTTTAGTTATCCAACTAGTGGAATTGCTTAAGTCCTGTGTTTAGTGGTAGGGGCTGATATGGCAGAGTTAAGTTCAAGGTCCTTTTAGGTAGACTCTGGTCCTACACATTGTACAGAATGAGCTCCAACCCACTGGCCTCCAACAAGATTGCAGCTAGGTCTGCGTACAGGTTAAGGATTTTCCTTACACATATGCTGCATTACAATATCACTACCACAACTGAGTCACAGCTGACACTTATAGCAAAAGTGAGCCAAGTAGCACAGTTCATGTGGGAACCTGCCTTAAACTTCCCAATGACTCGGTCCCCGTCCAGACTGTGGTCGTCTTCCATGGATTTGCCTCTGTAGAGCTCAAAAGTTTTCACCCAGTCTTCAAAGTTGTTAAATTCACTCTCAAGATCACCATCGAGTATCTTTAGGGAGAACAAAGAAGATTATGCTAAGAGAAAGGGAGGTTCCGGATTGACTTAATGAGGGATGTCAAAGTTCCCCCAAACCAACCTTTGTATGTACCGCTTGGAAAAATGGAAGCGGCCACTGTTAATTTATCTTTAACAAAACAAAGAAAATGGGCTGACTCAGCATTTCTGGAGCTATTACTCTGAATTTTATTAAATCTTTTTGGCAAATTTTTAAGTTCCAAGTACAAATATAGCTAAACCAAAAAAAAAAAATTTAAATACACAGGCATAAATGTGACAAGCTTTTTTATAGTTAATGGATATCACTGGCTATTAGACATAGATTGCAGTACTTTGAGAAAATTAAAATCTATGAGGTTCAGTAATTCTCAGCACATACAAAAGTGATGGGATATTTGTTTTATTATAAAGTATATAGACATGAATTTTCCAAGTAGAAAATGATATATACACTTTAGAAATGCAAAATGGAATTGAGTTTTAGATTTGGTAATATAGTGAAATTACTTATTCAAATTTTCTACCAAAATTATTTACCCTAAGTAGGCTATCTACATACATAATCTTCACACTCCAAACTTTCATCTCCATAAATACACCTCTAGCTAATACCCTCTGGCTAACGTTAAGATAGATCTAATGCAGCTGACTTTAATTGGAGAGAAATCTCCTGCTATTTTGAGTGTGTGCACATCTGCTTGATGATGTCAAGCTCTATGCAGTGGGCCTGGGAGAACTCAGACACAGTAAGTCACCCTGCCATTTCAAGCTAAACAAGCTAAATTATCTTCTTTCTTCACAGAGGGATACAGAATATAGAAAACGAGCAAGCTACCCTGGCTTGGTTTTACATACTTGTTCAAGCTTTCTTCTCTCGCAGCAGTGATTATAATGAAGGTAAAGTAAATTAGTTTGAGAAAGGCATCAGCAGAGTTGACTAAAGCATGAAGAAAACCCCACTGGTGAGGTCTCATCCATGGCAGAGCTCCTGTGTCCACGCACCTTCAAGACAGCCAGGTTGGGGATTCCATCCTTCCCACCATCTTTGGGTTTCTTCTTGAGTATTTTGTCTTTTTTCTTCTTTGGGCCATCTTCCATTTCTAATGCTACCTCATCTGGTTTGCTCTCTGTGGATATTCAATGGAAATTGTTAGATTTTTCATAACATTTGAGATGAGAAGGAACAAAGCCAACCTTGCTCTTTCCCTCCATTTGGAAGCGTCATGCCACTTCCTGAAAAACATCAAGTACCTTTGTACGGCAGGATTACAGAGCCCAGTGACAGTGCTTTTGGCACACAGAGGATGAGTAATCTGTGGAGCTATTAAAGAACAGACTCAGGATTTAGTTACATAGGCCCTCAAATGTCTTTAGGGACCAGAGATTCACCGAGTTCAACATGAGACTCAAGTATTTAAGGGTCTCAGGCAAAATCATGTTAGTGAGATTACTTAGTAAATTTTTAGCCAGCAAGTCCTGGGTGGAAGCTGCCAGAGATGGATTTCTAGCTGTGTGACTTGGACAGAACACGTGGCCTCTTTGTTTCTTGTTCATCATCTGCGAGGTGAGGCACTATCATTGTCTAAGACATGGGGCTGGCTGTAGAACTGCATGTGCTAATTGGGAGTGGTCTGAGGAACTGAGCCTGGCCTCCTTTCCCTGCTTCTACTGGTGTTATCTGAAACACCTGGGCTGCTTGGTGTTACTATGTATTCAGGATCTGATCCCCCATTGGCTTGAATTGAGACTGTGGTCATTCCAAATTCCAGGCTTCTTTCATTTGAGCTTCTGCCAAATTGTAAATACCCAATCCCTAGAAACCAACTTTTGGAATCTAAATCTAGATCTTTACCCTAAGTTCTACTAAAGAAGTTGGCTGTCATTCCAGCTCGCTCCTATTTTCACTCTGCTGTTTCTATGTGAAGACAGTTAGGGTAGGTTATGAGCCAAAGATCCAGTTCTGGCACTGAACTAGATTCAGAGTCTGAGAGCTTGGTTCAGCTCAGTTAGCTACACAGCCTTGAGCAAGTGTTGCCGTCCTCCTGAGATAGCTTCCGAATGTGGACTTGGGGCAGAATCAAGTTCTAATTCATGTTTTATGGCTTCATTGGGAAATTGCCCTACTATGATGGCCCTATTCTATGTCCCAGTGTCCTTAGCTACTTACCTGTATATTCTTTTTTCTCCTTAGGATTGCTCTCCTCCTTTGAAAAAGAAGGAGATAAGATTAAGGACAACTCTGTGTCTAATTTACTAATCCCGATCACTAATAATTCTAACTCTATTATCCCAATTTTCTGCACTCATAGGGATGTCACTTTAAAAGTATTCAAGCACTATTCCCATCCCAAAGAAGCTCCCAGATTGAAGCCTGGGAACCAGAGTGTGATGGGAGGCTGTGCCTGAGAGAAGAGGTGCTGTGAATCCAAGAAAAGTGCTATGGAGCTGTAGACATCCTCATTCCCTAAGAGCAGCCTCTTCTCAGCCACAGGAAAAGCAAACTCTACCGTCCCGACGTTTCCCTGGGGCAAACCATCAGCATGCACCATGGTTTCACCTGCTGATGTGTTGGATATTTAACCTGGACCTAGGGGTTGGGGAGGGCAGCAGAGGACTGCACACTCTCAGGAAGTGACAGCAACCATCACAGAAAAGGAGGGGATTAGAGACAGAGGTTAACATTTTTTGTTAATGTACTGCAACATCAGAATCTATGAGTAGCCCCAGGTGAAACTACTGTAGTTTTCCCAGACTAGTGAATCACTCTATTCAACTATATATGACAACAACATCTTGACTACTTTTCTTTCCTTTTAGTAAATCTTACTGAATGTAATTGCTGTGTTTTTACTGAATTTCCATACTCCAGCTTGGTGACTCAATCGTTGTCCTGCTCCTGCTCTGTAAACCACTGACTGTTGCCATTTGCTAAGATCAAGGGCTGCCTTGACTTTGATAATTTCCCATATGCAAGCGGAACCCTGCTGGAGCTGTGAGGCCACTGATCTGGGGAGCTCCATTTGTATCTAACACCACTATCACATACGGTCACCAATCAGGAATCTCCTTGCTGGGTACCTTTGAATCTCACTAGATTTTGCACTCAAATTTATGAGTTGGAAAAGTCAGCCAAGTCCTTGTTTTATGGTTCTTTGTGGACTTTTCCACTTTCCCTTCCAGAATCTCAGGTAACTGAGGATAAGGGTGCAACCATCCAGATGTTGTGCTGGACTGCGCATGCTTCTAGTGTTCATAGCAAAGCTGGTGTCCCGTGCAGCTCCAGCCAGAGGGTGGGCTTTTTTAATTCAGAATTTTTACCCTAGACTTTTTACTGTCAGGGACCCCAGCTGGAGTGGGGCCTATGTACACAGGAACTGAATGTGGGATTTAGGCAACAGAAAGTGCCATGTGCTCTCTCTGAGTCACGTGTCACAGGCAGGGGACACTCTACCTTTTGTGCTTTTTGCAGGGAAGCATAATACTTAGACCACCAGTCAATGACATTTTCAGCAGATTCATCCACTATAGTCCTCTTTTTCTTTTTAGTAGATCTCCGGGAAGGCTTCCTGACATCCTAACAAGGAAGGAGGAATGAACTATTAGTTGGGTCTCGTTTCATTGGTTAACTGAGGAAGAGAACACATCAGTACCCACTGGGAAGTGCATAGAGATATTTGCTCAGTTTGTGAATGCAGTTTTCTGCACCAGTTCATTAAATGAAACTTTAACCACTCAGCACTCATTCATCTCTTCAGCACCATTCATTCAGAGGATGTGACATACTGTGCTGGGCTGCAGGGGAGAGGGGGAACTGGGCAGAGCCCTGCATTGGGGAACTGCAGAGCTAGGTGGAGGAGGTAAGCACACAGTAAGGAAGTGCCAGCCTGTGACACAGCATGGTACAGCAGACAGGGCATCAGCTTCATACGGATCTGGCTACAAATCTTAGAGCAATCAGTATAAATTTTGTGATTCTCAGTTTCCTCAGTAAGGAACAGCAATACCCACCGACTTCACCGTCGTGAGTTATGTGTGGCACAGTGTAGGCAGTTTCCCTTTAGCTTCATTTCTGACTTTAATGGGTACAAATAAGACACCTACAGGTGATGAGGTAGGTGACCCTGGGATGCCCATAGGCAGAAAGAAGCACTGGGAGAAAGACTGTCATTGCGGTGGAGGCTGCCTATGCTCAACTCCTCATGCATCCATCATCCCACCTTCCCCAACACCTTCTTGAATACCTACTGTGTGCCATGCATGGAATGCAGGGCAGTGCAGAGATGTGACACCAAAACTCATCTCCGACCTTCTGTCTTCACAGTATCATGTTATCAACAAACACTCAAGCTGCGAATCTCAGCACAGAGGCAGGTGCAACCCTGGGACAATGCTGAGAGCCTGGTGAGGGCTCACAGGTGGCCCCTGGAGGGGTGAGCTGGGAGAGCCTGGTCCAATGTCCATTAGCCTGTCACATACTCTTTATTTCCACTCTTGCTGTTCACTGGGCAGGCACTTTTAAAAAGACTCTTAAAATAGTCTTAGATTTTGCACTCAGATTTATGACTTAGAAAAGACAGCCAAGTCCCTGTTTTATAGCTTTGTGTACTTTTCCACCTTCCCTTCCAGAATCTCAGGTAACTGAGGATAAGGAGTCTTACTCTGCTTTACGATCCAAAGGCACAGCTGTGTGGCCCCATATAGCCTCATACAAAATGGGCTCTAAATATGTGTGCAGTATTCCTGGGTACAGAAACCACTGTCTTTCCAAGATAATGACTTTAGAAGAGTTTCTTTTCCATTAAACATTACTGTCATTTGGGCTACCACTGTAATTCCACACACTTTCTGAGATGAATATCAGTTCCCTCATCTTTCATTTGAGGAAGTGGATGTTCTGGAACGGGGAGCTGCTGGCTCGAGGTGAGGTCACACAGCCAGCAGGTGGGAGGATTAGTGTCTAGATCCTCTGGTGCTAATTTCTGGGAGCCTTGTGCTATGAAAGGGAGTTACCGCCTGACCTTGGTTGGTCCCTGTTTAGGCACCTCCTGGGCTGCAGACTTGTGTTCAGACTCCAGCATCGGAGATGAATCAGGGATGTCAACCAGGATGGCAGCCTGAACCTGGGCAGAGTCGGGCACCACAGTGGCAGGAGGCTCAACGTCCACATAGATATGATCTTTGGGAGGATCCTGGGAGGAACTGGGGGGCTCAGGAGACTCCTCCTGTGTTAATGAATCCGAAGTATCTGGAATGAAAACATATTCAGTAAGGGGAGAGTCGGGTCATTCAATTCAGCACAGTCTGCACTCAAATCTGGCAAGTTCACAACAGTTTTGAACCTCATTTTCCTTATTTGACAGTAGAAATGCCCATTTCATGGGGGAATAAAATGAGGGATCTGGTGTATCACAGGGAACCCATAAATGGTTGCATTTTTTTTTTGTCTTTTTCGTTTTTATCGGTACCAGGGATCGAACTCACAACTGCCTGCTTGCAAGGCAGGTGCTTATGCCACTGAGCTAAATCCCCAGCCCCAATGGTTGCATTTTTTACTGGTCACTGAGAGAAACTGTAATCAGTCCTGGACACTGCAGTCATGAAAATCAAAACTTAGGACAAGGGCCTCTGGGCTGATTATTTCTCCCCAGTGCATTAGCTTGGGGAGCCTTTGAAGGTTGCAAGGAGTCATGAACCCCCCAATGTAGGCAGAACTCTGGACACATGGTTGAATTGTGTGGCAGGGAGCAGAGGTTTATCCATGGACTGTCTGAGTATCTTAGCTGGGCTAATTATGTCACTCTAGGGACACTGCACTCCTCTTTGCTGTCAAATGCCCTCTCTCTGCAGTTGTCGCTGTAGTGTTGAGTACCAAGGACAGTTCTCAGCCAGCATCCCTAGGCTGCCAAAGCCTCTAGGGGTTTTCCTTCCCGCAGTTGCTGAGCTTTTGATGGCAAATTCAGCCTAAAAACTCTTCTAGGTCTCTACCCTGCTAGACAGAGAGACAAGGAAACCAGTAGTACAGATGAGAGAGCTCAGAAATAGTCAGGAGATGCATGGAAACTTGATTCATGAGAAAGTGGGGGAATCAATGGGGAAGACGTGACTTGATCAGTCAGCAGGTCTTCAAGGGAAAATGGAGCACTGTACAGAGAACAGTGCAGCTGGATGCCTACCTAACATCATGTGCAAATGCAGGGGACTGAATATTTACATAGGAAACTAAAGTCATAAAGCTAACTGAGGAAAATATGACCAAGGGGGAGAGAAAAGGTCTTTTAAACCAGATTTTAAATGTATAAACCATAAACTCCAAAGCATGAGTGGACCTCATTGCATCAAAATTCAGGATTTCTACAGAGATGGAGACTGTAGGCAAGTTTGTAGCTGTCCTACTGGGAGGAAAAATATATATACATATACACTTACGGAATCCTAGCATCTAGAATACAAAAAGAACTTGGGAATCAAAAAGAAAACTCAAGGAACCACATATGATATAAGCAAAGGGTATGAACAGGCAAATCACAGAAGTAAAGATGAGGAAGGCAGCAAGATACTTTGAGAAGCACAAACCCAGTACAGATCAGAGAAATCTGAGCTCGTATAACAATGAGATGCCTCTTTCCATTCACAGAATAGCAAAAACCAAAAGCCAAACAAACCAACAGAAAAACCCAGAGGTTTGATAACAAGTGCTGTTGAGGGATGGTACCGTCCTGGTATTCAGTAAGGTCCTAATGCCTTCGGGTTGTACCCGCTGGAATTACACGGGCACATTCCCTGTCACCAGCTGTGCATCCCTGGGAAATTCCCACCCAGCATCTTCCCTTGGGAGCATGCAAAGCGATATGCATCACAGCACTGTTTGGGGAAGGAGCAAAGGCTGGCAGCAGAAGGAAAACCAAAACAGAAGGTAAAAGCAGTAATGAATGCATGTGCACACAGGCAGTGTGTGTCACACTCACCTCAGGCAGTGTGACAAACCTCAAAACCTAGTCTTGAGTTAAAAGAATAGGAAATGAATCAAAGGAAGATTACTACAGTATGTCATTTATGTAAATTTAAATGTGTTTGAGGGGTTTTTTTTTTTGTTGTTGTTTTTGGTACTAGGAATCAAACTCACGACCTCACATTTGCCAGGGAGGCGCTGCGCTGCTGAGCTGTATCTCAGGCCTGCATTTGAGTTTTATGAGGTGATAACATGGCACCTACAGTGTGAGGAGACTGGCCATGGAGCTAGGAATAAGGCACAGGAAGATGGTGGACATGATGACAGAGAAGCCTGGAACAGAGAATTTTGCAGCACAGAATTGAGAGGTCCAATTAATTCAACTCTGCACATCTGACATCCACAATGGAACAAACCAAAATAACATCAAGTATAAATCCAAGAAAAATATCAGAGAGTGGAGAGACAAGGGAGTTTAAATCACATCCCAAAGGTCTTCTAGGGGAGCTGACCCTGGTATGAGTCTTAGAAGCTTGGTATCCAGAGAAGGCAGAGGAGACTGCAGGAGCAAGCTCAGCAGAAGCCCCCCAGCCACTCAAAGGTGCCTGCAGGCCCAGACTCCAGATGCACAGCTCTGGAACGCAGGAGGCACTGTCTACCTGGCTCAGCTTGGGCTCCATCCATCTGTGAAGTCAAGGCCAGGGGCTCACTGGGTTTCCACAGAAACTGCTTCAAGCAGTTGATGGTGTAAGTGCCCACGAGTGTGCTCCTCCCAAAAGCTCTCCAGTCCACCACACAGATGCTCAGCGGCGGGTGCAGGAGCTCATTCTCAGGCAGCTCCTGCAGGAGAGGCCGGGAAGAAGCCAGGCTATCCTTGCCTGCTGACCTGTCCAGCCCAGGCCTGAAGCAAGTGGGCATCCCCCCTCCTGACCCCTGCCTTGCTGTTCTGCCCCTCAGTCCAGCCTTGCCACTGCCAAAACCCTGGAGCACTGTCTTCCCAAGCCAAAGAACAAGGGCCAAAGGTAGGAGTGATGTCTGCAGTGCATCGCAGGGGTTGAGTTACCCAAACCCCGATGGTGGTGTTTTCAGTCCTCCGCCAGCAGGACCATCATCTCCAATGGCATCTGCTTCACCCCAACACATAGAGCAGATGCAAGCTGAGCCCTTAAACACCGAAGGTGGGTGGGGGGACAGCCCTGACACCCTCACCGCCCCCCGGTGGCCCCTGTGGCTCCCTGCGACCCCACATGACGATGTGCACACCTTGTGAGGCCCTCGGATGCAGTCTTTGCTAACTGCAGCACATGTGTGGTGTGGGGCTGAATGAGTCCCACAGAGCAAACTTCTTCTGCATGGTTAATTCCCAATCAGAGAGCAAAAGGACAGTGAAATACTGAAATTAAAAGCAGCCCAGGTGCCAAAACCATCATTTGAGAAGCACAAGGGCACGTGCAAACGACAAGTGGCCTTTAAAAATCCAACCGGTTAAGTCAGTGCCACTAGGCTGTCTCCAGGCCAGTGGTTCACAGACTTCCCAGGTGTCAGCGTCTCCCGAGAACCCACCATTTAGGAATAAGAGATGCGGATGGCGTGGGGGATGTGCCCCTCTCTCAGGTCTCCAGGGATGCTGACATGATGGATTGGGAGCCACGGTCCTATGCAGAAGCTTTTCAACCTGTTTTGACTTTCTGTGTGGTCTACACTAGAAAACTTTGCAAACAATAATAATCCCTATTTTATCATCCTGAAACTCTGGCCTTTCACAGTGACGCTGCTCTTTCCTACAGCTGACACGCATCCACCAAGCCCAGCAGATGAGAGCACGGGGCCCTCTGGGAAGGGAGTGAGTAGGCAGGGAGTGAAGGGTTCCTACCACTTCAAAAGTATCTGCCTGGACGCTGAAGTTGGGGTTGTTCTTGTAGCTCTGGATCACACAGGACTTCACCCCTCGTCCCCCACACTCGATGAGAACCTGTGGCCGGTCCACGGACAGGAGCTGTACCTTCTTCATTTCTCTGACTCCCCAGAAGAGGACCTGAGGAGAGGACCCATGGAGATGTCACCTGCAGCCCGGAGGAGGAGCCTTGTGCAGCCCTATGGTGCAGGAAATCAGAGGTGCCCAAGGACTTCAGGGCACCTCTCCAATTTGTGGGGGCTCCCCTTGCCAACTGCAGCTGGGTGGGGTTCCCCTTGGCTCACCATCCAGTCCCACATCATGCTTCTCATGGTGGCCCCAAAGGATGACTTCCACCCTTTCCCCAAGCCGCACCTCCACACGGTATTTACTCAGCACTGGCCGGATGTTGGCAGGAACTGGGTAGATCTGAGTGACATCTGGCGGGTCGATGGGAGGGAGCGCTTGCAGCCCAGTGGAAGGGACCTGCCACACAATGGGTGCTAGTGAGGACAGGAGAGAGGGAGACGGCGGTGCCACCAGATCACCTGAGTAAGGTGTCATGGTCTTGTTAATTTAAAATGTGATAAGAGCCATGTAGTGTGCCATGTTTAGTTATTTACTAACTGGCAAATGTTCCACCTGTCAGAATGACCAGCACTTAGCGCTCAGACCAGTGTGGGTGAACCTACGGTGTGCACACCACAGCAAGCTGCTTCTTACACTGAAAGCTCTAAAGAGTTCGCCATCACCGATCAGGCCAGCGATGCTAGGACACGAGTTGGTAAGACATAGCTATCAGTGAGCTCACTGGGTCAGAGGAAGGTGAGGAAGAAGACAAAGAGATCAAGTGTCACAGTCTATGGAAGACATAGGCACGACAACACACAGCTGCTGATGAGAGGACACTGTGAGAGCTCTGGAAAAGCCAGAAAGCACTGCTCCAAGGGACCTGTGCTTAGTGACACAGAGTGTCACTTCTTCAGTGGGACAGAAAATGAATCCTTTCAAAGGCAGAACTCACATCCCTTCCTGTGCACTTGGGGCCACTGACCCGTGGGAGGGCAATCGTGCTGTGTTGCTGGAATCTCCCACGAAGGCCTCAGACCACACACTGAGGACAGGGCCCTTCTCCCACGTGGCTGCCCTCCCCAGCCAGTCGGACTTGCCACATACCTCTGCAGAAGCCTTCCCTACTTGAACTCAGTCACTGTGGCCCTTTTGAGCAGAGGGGTCACGTCCTTACATCTGAATGCAGTGTGTCCCCTCTCCAGACTCACTGAGGACATTAGGCTCTGACCTTTCACAAGTCACTTCCCCTTGCTGACCCTCAACTCTTGGGCCTGATGAACCTTCAAGCCTCTCGGGAATCGGCTGTCCCACAGAGCACTGCCAGGGAGCACTGGTTCTCTTTGCTCTATTTGCCCAAAATATTTGCATAACTTGTCTGGGAGGAGTCTTGTTTACTTCATTCTCCAGGCCCCTCAGGCAGCACTGCACACGCTGCAAGTTCTTGACAAATGCTTATTGGCCGACTGATACGTCAGCTCAACATGCTGGAAAAACCCCGCTGCTCATGGAAGCCCGCAGAGCGCAGACATCCTTCCCTTCCCCCAGACACATTCCGATCAGCAGCGGCAGATGTGGTTCAGCTCATTACAAGACAGCTCAGGAAAAAGAGAGCAGATACCGCAGATCCCAAATAGGCTCAAGATAGCGCAGCCGCAGCACAGAAGGAACCAGACGGAGAAGCCTCAATGAGGGTGACTGCCCAGTGTGGCCCTCAGTGATCACCTGAGCAGGGCAGTCCATGACACCCTTGCTGGAAGCAAATTGCTCCTGCGCCTCAAAGCTAAGGCCGCAGAACAGCTGGGCTGCTGCTGTGGAGCAGCGGCCCCTGGATGCGTCTTCATTCTCTTCCAAAACGTGCTATATAGTAATTGTACATACTGAGGGGTAAAGTGTGATGTCGCAATATACACAGACAATGAGCAAAGTCAGATCAGCGTAAGCAGCATCCCCTGAGACACCGATCACTTCCCTGTACTGCAAGCATTCGAAATCCCCTCTCATCACCCAGAAACCGTGCATTGCTCTCATTGTGATTTAGCCCACTATGCTGCGGGACTTTAGAATTCCCTCCTACCTGGTGGGTACCTTTCTACCCTTGAACCCTCTCGTCTGCATCCCTTCCCCTCCTTCCCACACAGCCTTGCCAGGGTCTGGAACCACCACTGTGTGCCTCTTAACAGGCATCATGGTTCCTTGTGCTGGGGCTGCCAAGGTGCCAGTCTGGGCAGTGCCCTGAAGAAGCTCAGAATCCTTTAGAGTTCTGACAGCCCTTGAGAGATCTTTAAAGCTAGCCTTCAGAGCTACATGGGGTGCAGGTAGTCAGTGCACAGGGCCCAGGAAAAGTAAGGATCATTATGAAGGTGAAATGGTGAGAGTCAGGGACGAATAGGTGAGCTCCTCAAAGGTCTCAGATGCGGGGCACAGCAAGGGCGGGCAAGTGGGACAGGAGAGCTAGCTGCTTAGAAACACTAAGGAGGCCCCTGCTCCTGGTGGCACAGGACCCTGCCCATCTGGAAGCCACTCTGGCTCCAGAGCCTGTCTCCCCTCTGCCTCTCCCTCAGTCCATCATTCGTCCTTTACATGCACAGCCAGCACAGTGGTGAGGGACGGTCCAGGGCTCCATTCCTTACTGTACACTTGGAGAAATTACTCAGCATCTCTGAGCTCAGATCTGTCCTTTGTGAAATGAAGCTAGCGCTGCCCAGTTCATGGATCTGCTGTGAAGAATTGCCGAGATGGTGTGCAGGCAGCTGGCCTACTTCCTGACACATAGCAGCACCCTAAGAGTAAAGGCAAACTGGAAATTTACTGACCTTTGCAAAGAATAAAGCTCAACCTCAAATCATCTGTAGTTGGATACAGATAGTCCAGGACTGCTGCTGGCCTCAAAACACCTCAGAAGTACATTTAAATGCTCTGGAAAGAAGCGATATCATCCTGGACTTACATTTTCTCCACATATTGTTATATACATTGTCTAGTGTGCATGGAAATATGCCACTATGACTAGAAGTAGAGAGAAACAGCAATCAGAAGAACAGGGCCCTGGAGGAGTCTGATAATGTGTAAACCAGATGTGAATTCTAACATAATAAGGCTAAATCTTGTCAGCAAGACCTAAGACTAAGATTCTCAATAGAGCAAAACTTATGACAAAAAGGAAGAAAGAGGAATTGTGAACTGAAAATGTGGTCACTGGAAAGAAGATCTTAGTGAGTGGGTAAAAATGAGAGCATCTCCTAAGACACAACCAGGACACTCATCTTTTCAGCAGACAGGGAATCCCAAACAATGGGCTGGTGCCTTCAGAATGCTGGGAGAGATTGTCACCAGGCCTGGCAAACAAAAAGATCCCAGGGGAAATTTGCTGAGCCCAAAGCAAAGAGTGAGTTTGCAGACCTGACCAGACCAGAAGAGACCTGAGCAGAGTCTGCGCAGAGACAGTGTTGCTTAGGTAACACGTCCCCGGGAGGACCTGGGGCAAGTGCCTGGGAATGCGCTGCCTTGCTGGTCACCAGAGGAGGCCAGTGAGGACCCTCTGGTCAGGCTGATGACTTGAGATTCTCTTCAGGTTTGCAGGACTTCTGATGGAAGTCCTTAACAATGCGTAAGATCTCAGCCTGCCTGCCCTGATCTCTGATTCGCTTTCTGATGAGCAGCTTCCATAAAGTCAAAATCAGTGGAGCATTCATTGATTGATAACATTACTTTTACAAAACAGGGAGAAAAATTGCATAGAAATGCCATCTGAAGGCAACCAAATCACCTCATTCAGACTGCTAATGAGATGATTAATGAGTTCTAATGAAATGATTAATGATTAAATAGCTCACTTTTCCAGCCAATGGAAAGAGGTGATAGAGAAGGGTATACAGTCACAAATTCTGCACCCTAGAGACACAGCTAAAAACATATGAGAACCTGGAGAAAGCTCCCATGGTGGCCAGGAGAAATTCCTAGGCAGTGGAATGAGAAGGAAGAATAGATTCTAAGAGGACAGAACTGACACACAGTACACCAAGGCTGCACACAGCACAACTCCAGGGGTTCCAGTCCCACAAACCAGATGCAAGTGGCTCATTTAGGGGTATGAAGCACACTAAATCATAAGAAGATTGAAGAGACAATTCTAGGAGTTGGGAAGTGTGGTAGGCAGAATACTAGCTCCCCAAAGATCCCTGCATACGAAAGCCCAGAGTCTACTGAATACATAACCTTCCATGGCAAATGTGACTTGGTAGACATGATGAAATGAAGGCTCCTGAGGTGGGGAGATTACCTGGATTACCTGGCTAGGTCCGGTGTAATCACAGGTCCTTATAAAATGGAACTGGGAGGGGTAGCATCAGAGAACATAGGCCATTGAAAGTAGAAGACAGACAAGTGAGACAGAGAGATTGGTTTGAAGCAGCTACGCTGCTGGCCTGAAGATGCAGGAAGAGACTGCTAGCCAAGGAATGCAGGTGGCCTCTAGAAGGATGAGAGCACAGACTCACCCCAGCATCTCCAGAAGGAACAGGGGGCTGCTGACATGTTGGTTTCAGTTCAGCCAGATCATTTAGAGACTGCTGAGTTCCAGAAGTGTGAGATAATAAATGCAGGCTATCTTTTTTTTTTTTTTTTTTGTCTTTTTCCTTTTTACTGGTACCAGGGATTGAACTCACGACTGCCTGCTTGCAAGGCAGGTGCTTATGCCACTGAGCTAAATCCCCAGCCCCAATGCAGGCTATCTTAAGTCACCAGGTTTGAAATAATTTATTGCACTAAACAGGAAAGTAACACAGACAGCAAAACATTCTCTGAGAGAACAGTAAATTTTCTGGGAGGAGAACATACAAACAGCAGGGAAGAGGAAAATTCTAAAAGGGGAGCAAGGATTCTGGAAAGAAGAAGAATATTACAAGTCCAGGGGAAACAGCTTTCTAAGAGTAGAGAAGGAGGACTGAGGGATAAGAAGGAAAAAGCACAAAAACCAAGGCTTTCCTGGACCTGCAGAAGGGCCAGTTGTGGGAGTGGTCCAGGAAGTAGCCTGGACCTCACACACAGAACTCGGTGAATACTTATTAATCAAATGAGTGACAAATTCATTTGAAACTATTTTGTTGAAAGTCTACTTTGTATAAAATATTATTGCTGGCTTCCATGTGTGACATGGAGATGAACCTCCCAATTCCACTTCAAATCCATCAGCCAGCCAGGTGGTCTCCTTAACATCTACTCAGAAAACATTGCTTTCCATGACCGCAGTCTTATCTCCAATCTGGACAGCCTCTGCATGAGTCCGCACCAGGCCTTTCAGAAAACGATCAATCTGGCACCCAGCATGTGTCATCTAAGTCCAACATCACGCTGAGGAGCCTCCCTGGGCTTCCCACCTCCCCTAGACACCACTGATCTTCCCTGTGGGTACTGAGTGTGAGCTCTGTACTTTCACTAGAAAGAGAAGCTGCCAATTAAGAGAGATGGTACAGACAGAAATACCAGACTCGATTTCCCTCCAAAAGTATCAGGAAGACCAACACAGGCAAACTCCCCACATACGGATTCAGTGTTATTTAATGCTGTATAGGTTTTGATCTAAAATCACTCACTGAAAGTCCAAAATACCCTGGACTCTCAGTTGAGTGTAGACTAAACCTGCTGGTTTGCAAGGCTGCCTTCATTTCTGGCCATCCGTATTTCTATGTGATTCACATCTACCTGGCTGCAGCTGATTCTATTGCAATCCACTTGGCTTATTATCCTAATATTCTTAGGAAAGTCCTCTTCTACCTTCCTAGACTGTAAGCACCATGCAGATGGAGCCAGTGCTTGAATTCTCACTACTCCATTGCCCTAAGAGTTCATCTAGACCCAGTTTCCCTGACAGAGAGCTCACACTTTCTGCAAAGCAGCCACTCCATCCTGGGTGGAGCAAAAAACAAATCACAGTCAAAGCCTTTGACAGGATGGATTTATGAACTTGTCACCTTGGCCAGTAAAAATTCCAGGCCGAAGAGGACAGCAGAGATTGTTTGAACACCAGTGTGTTCAACCCTAAATCTGTTCCTTTGAGAACATCTTAATGTTCTCTCACCACACAGCAATGAAAATCTGTCTACCTGGCATCTAGCTTCTGACCTGCCATTAGTAAGTTTTTCCTTCCCACGCAGCTCAGTGTCTAACATAAGTAGGCTATTTTGTTACCTGTTCAATATCCTGCCGTACTGAACTACCTATTGCCTTTATGTCCAAGTTTAATTTCTAAAATAAATAGGTGGGATCAAAATCACTTTAAAATCCTGTGGCATAGTATGATTAATAATAATAAAATAGTGCTTTTGGCTACTTATTCCATGCCAAGCATGTCAGGGAGATTAATGATCACCTTGTACTTCGCAGAAACTTAGAGTAAGCTGCCTACTAAAAGTGTCACAAACTGGTAAGTGGCGGGGCTGAGATACAAACCCAAAAATCCAGGTCTAACATCTTTTCTCTATCCATGTAAGGCTCACCTTCCAGTTTCTCTAGCACATGAGTCCTAAAGCCAAGTTTTCATATAGAAGATTTTGCAGACTGAATGCTAAACATGCATATGTTGAAATCTTAATTTTCAGTGTGATGATAGTTGGAAGTGAAGACTTTGGGATGTGACTAGCTCCTGTGGGCAGAACCTTCATGAAGGATATGAGTGTCCTAATAATCAATGAACCAAGCAAGATCACTTATTTCTCAGCCCACAAACGAGGATGAAGGTCCTCATTGGACACCAGATCTGCCAGTGCCTCTGCTGAGGATACCTGGCCTCCAGAACTGTGAGATACAAATATCTGTCAGTCAAAACAGCCAGGCTATGAAATTTGTTATAAGCACCCAAATTGAGTCAGACAGAAGCACTGGTCTGGTCCAGAAGAAAAGCATCACTAGTCCCCCCGATGCCTTCATGAGTGGGAGGTCCAGGGGAGAATCTGATCCCAGCCTACCCACATTTTCTCTGCCCTGTCCATGTCTTGTTTGGTTCTCTACAGGACAGACACTCAGGCTTCATGGTCTCAGCTTCCCTTCTTCCCTGTTTCCCAAAAGGGCCTTCCTAGACACAGGTTCATAAGCCCCTGAGGCTTCCTGGAAAGGACTGGGAGCCCTTTGTCTTCAGGAAACTGATACAGTGTTAGGAGCCAAGGTCAAGTTCAGATACCAGCTCAGCCACGACGGCTGCGTCGTGAGCAGGTGGCTAACTGCATTCGTTACCTGGGACATGAGAGCCATATGCCTTCTTAGCAGGCTTGAGGGAGGCAGCACATGCAGCCTAGGTGTGTGGTGAGTAGCACACAAATGTTTACCACCTGCTGCATTTGTATCTTTCCGTGGTCCGAACGGGGCTCAGTAATGCACACGGGGAGCTGTGCTGGCAGTGACGAGCAAGCCATGGGATCCTTCATTCTCAGACTCTGGATTGTCGTGGGAAGGCTCTAGCATTACTCCATGCCTCCTGTGTTCTTAAGTCCCCTCCCTGGTCTCCAGGAGATACTCCAGCCACGGTGGGGAGGCACCAGGTGCAGCTTCACTGCGGGGCCACTTCTCAGGCTGGGTGCCCCAGAGGGACATCTAGTATGACCCCTCTCCCCCGACTCCAGATCACTCACCTGCAGCAGCTCGAACACAGCAAGGAGGTCTCCTCCAGAGAGAGTCCCACAAAAGATAGGGTGATAGCACAGCTGGGGAGGCTCATAGTCCTGGTCACACAGGGTCACAACTGGGGCAGCCACTGTGGCGCCCAAATATTCCGGCTTCCCCTGGAGCATAAAGACATGAATTTCTGTCCTCCGATTGTCAGCTGCTTGGTTCTGACCCACATCATGTGATCTGACAAGGAATCTTCACAGCCCTGTAAGCACTGGCATTGCCCCATTTCCTCCTGATGCACCTCTCCCGCCGCCACCTCCTCTGCCCCATTCCCCAGGCCTGGGGAGCTGCGGCATCCACTCAGGCCCCCAGGGAGAGGTCAAGCCAAATGCGGAAGAGATGCAAGTACAAAGGCAGGTCAGCCCCAGCGCTGTCTTCTCCCTTCCAGGGAGGCCATGAAACCCTTACTAAGACACGGGATGCTGTCGCTGCACACAAGTGTCACTTCTCCAAGGAAGTGTGTGTCAGCTCGAGTCTGCTCACTGGGTCTGATTTTAATTACAACTCAAAGGAGACTCTAAAACAGAAACCCAGAGTAAAGCAAATAAATGTCCCTAATTTCCAGAGCCAGCTTTAGGCACATTAGGGTCCTGGCCACTCACAGCTCTAGGACTTTATTTATTTTAAGTTAGCCAGGTCAGGTGGTCCATGCCAGCTGATGAGGCTCAAATATAAAAATTACGGAAGGGCTGAGGATGAAGCTCAGTGGTAGAAAGCTTTGCTACAGTGCATGCAGCTCTGAGTTCAACCCTGGGCATCACAAGCACCACCACCACCACAAATGAAGAAGCTCAGGGGGGTGTGCCATAGTGAGGCACGGTGGGCAGGCCTGGCAGACGCTTACCACTGCGTCGCTGTCATACAGCTCCACCACCACGAGTGGTGGGGACTCCGCCAGCTCCTTCTCGTCCCCATGCAGTACCAGTTCATTGAACAGCAGCATCTGATTCCAGGTCGGGGACAGAGTCTGGGAAATGATCTGCAAAAAGAGACCAAAAGAACCATTCAGTTGTGCTGTCAGGGGCTCCAAGAGCCACTCAACAGATATAGACTGAGGGAAGAGAGAACCCATGGCCACCATCTAGGCTCGTTCATTCAGCATTCAAGCGACCATGTCAACCAAGCAGCGACTATGTGTTAAGTGCTTGGGGGATACCAAGGAGAAGCTTGCATTCTTCATATGTTCACAAGCAGGGTGAGGTCTGATACTTAGTTGCCTAAATTCTTCCAACTCTGTTCTCAGTAGTGCTGTGAAGACAGCACCGACTCCCCTTCTGGGCACTTCCTGTGTGCTCCTGGCTGCACTGGACCTGCTGGTCTCACTGAAACCCCTCAGGGATCCTGGGCACAGACATCCACACATAGAGTAAAAACCAGGTAGCTGAGGGTCACTCGTCCAGTGCGAGCTAGTGGTAGAACTACAATTTGATCTGGAGGCTCTGGCTCTAAAGCCCATCTATCTTCATGGAATAAATGCTAATAGTGTTCCATACTGTAGATGGAAACACTGAGGGCAGAGCTTCTAGTGACTCTCCATTTATGAACAAATAAAATGTTGTCACCAAACAACCTAAAGTTGAGCTTAAAACTCTAGTGTTCCTTATAGGAGCACTCCGTGGAAATTTACTGGCTGCCTGGAATAGGCCAGGATTGCCAGACAACACTGACCACTGTGTGTGACATTTTTCTTTTACAGGGTTTGCTATTGCAGTGGATTGTGTGCTGGTAGCTGCTGCACTCATTTTACAGACAGAGACACCATAGGTCAAGGAAGGACAGTGACTCTGTAACAGGTCCAGAACCAAGACTGAGTCGCCTAGGGCCAGTCACAGCCCCTTGCCAGCTATTTAAGATACTTGAGAAGAGAAAGCGTAATTGACTCTCATGCTGTTCTGTGTATATTACATGTCAGGCACATGCCAGTTTCATGGAGCTCGAGGCTAGAGATGTCTGCAGGATGGGCAGGCTCTGTGCTGGGCAGAGGCTGCCCCATTAATCTGTGAGGCCAGCCCTGGAGAGGGTCTACACCACAGCTCTGTCTCCCAGACTCTGCAGTCAAAGGGGCAACTTGGCCAGTGGATAGCCACAGCGGCCCTGCAGCCTGGCAGCTCTGCCCTGTACCTTTACACTGTGCCACAGCTCACCAGGCAGGGCAACAAGAAAGACCTGGCCTGGCGGCCGGACTTCAGGCTCTGGGGCTCACACAAAGCTCTCGGCTCCCGGTTTTAGCTGGAGCTGTCTCCAGTTACTGCATTAAGTTTATTTGGACTGTGGTCACGAAATAATACTTTTATGCCTCTTCTTTATGTGATTTGTATAATTATTGTGTTTGCATTTCCTTCCCTTCCTAGTTTTCTGAGTTTAGAATACCTCATACCTCTGATAAAACGAGGTGGGCTGCAGACCATTTCAGAGAAGATCTAACTTTCTGATGAGGAAGAATGGCAGTGAGCGGCAGTCACAGAGCTGCCCTACAAAATCAGCCTGCATCAGGATCCACAGCCCAGAGACGGGGTCTTCATGTTGCTTTGAAAATAGAAGCGATCGTAGAAGGCGATCCCCATCCAGAATCCAGCGCCACACGTGGGCCACTGCTGGAGTGGGGAGAGCCAGACCCACGCCTCCCTCTGTAAGTCAGCACCATTCATGGACTGTGGGGTGCAGGAGGTGATCCCCACCTGGAAACCATATCATTTTCATTGTTTTGTTGGGTTAGGTTTTATTCTCTCTCTCTCTCTCTTTTTTTTGGTCTTTTTCCTTTTTATCAGTACTGGGGATCAAACTCACGACTGCCTGCTTACAAGGCAGGTGCTAATGCCGCGGAGCTAAATCCCCAGCCCTCTGCAGCTATTTTGAAGACAACAAAAGGCATTATGGTGACTACTGTTGATTTTGTATGGTTTTGAAGTCCTGTATCACTTATACTGGTTTATTTGGATTAGCTTTATTCTGTTTTATTTTCCTTGAAAAGAAAATAGATTTGTGGTCCGCCTTGCAGTGTGCACTCCACATGGTTATACTAAAGCATTTGTGACCTTCTCAGCATCTTTCCTATGGAAACATGTTGATGTCTTCCTGGCACAGTAAACACCACTTGGAGGATCCATCCCTTCATTCAGCATGTATTTATTTATTTATCCAGGACCTACAGTGTGTAAGGCACAGTATTAGGCCCTGACCCACCACTCTGCATGTGGTGTAGCTTAGCATATAACTGATGCCATCTTGTGTCCTGTATTTGACCCAGAAGAGTGAAAAATTACCTAGAGTACAATCCGATAAGAAAAGCAAAATGAGCTGCACCCACAAGAGAAAAATTAACCTGCTCAACAAAGAAGCAAGATACAGGTGTCAACCAAAAATTAATGTAAGGTTCTGGCTGAATTGTTTCCAGCAGGATGTCTTTTTTGTGGTTTTCTGCTTTAAAAGCTCTGCAACTTTCCAGTTCAGCACCACTTGGTGAGACTCTGAAACAGGTCTATGTGAGTGGTTCCTGAGCTCAGCTAATAAAATTCCAAATTTATCAGTTAGGCTGCTTGGAATCTTGTTTATGAGCCCACATCACATGCAGCACGTACTCAACAGCTATTTGTGTGAATGGGCAAATGGGTACCGGCCAGTCTGCAGAATTGCTCCTGTGTGTAAAAGGCCACAGTCACCTTTGGGAGGTACAACAAAGCTCACTCAAATAAAAATACACTCTATGCTCCTCTGCCAAGGCTCAGCTTCCCTTCTTGGATGCTTCTGTAAAGAGTCACGCACTTAACTGGGTTAAACTATTATTTGGGAGGTCATGGTGACACTTAGCTAACACTGAGGAGGGAGGCAGACACCATGGCAGAAGAGAGCTGTGGAGTCAGATAACACTTTCCAGAATACTAGCTTTAATACCTAGCCAATGTCCAACTTGGGCAGGTGATTTCATTTCTCCAAACTTTAGCTTTCCCATTTAAATAAGACTAGCATCTACTTTATGGTGTCATTATGACCACTGTCTGAGATAGAGTATCACCTCCCTGGCATGCAGTAGCTATAAATGCACACACACACACACACACTCACATTCCATCTCAGCTATAAATGAGTAAACATTTTCAGCTAGGAGTGTAGCTTAGTGGAAAAGTGCTTTCCCAGCCCCACAAAATCAAAACAAATTAAAACATTTACCAGATATCTGCCCTATGCCATCCTGGGCACCCTGGTGTAATCCCTGCCAGCCAGCCACAGTCTCAGAACTGAGCACCATCTTGAGTACTGAGCTCAGGCCCCATGCCTCCCTCCTCTAAATCCCCTCCCCCTTCTCTCCCTAATGCTTCCTCTCAGCCCTGGTCCTTCTCCCCTCCCTCCCCAAAGCCTTTCTCCGAAGCATCCAGCTCCCTTTCCCATGATCCTTCAGCCACAAGATTTCCAAGACTTATTTCCCCAGTGACCCTGAAATAACTGGACTCCGCTCCGAAATTTCCCAGACCACTGAGCCACTTGGTGAAGGACTGTCTAGCAGGCCCAGCCCCATGCAGAGGCCAGCTATCTTGCACACCCCGTGGTCAGTACATGTGGGTGTCACCAGAAAACTTGGGTCCAGCTGTGCCTGAGGGGACCTGGGCTCAGCTTTCTCCATCACGGACAGTGTGAGAAGGACAACTGCCTCCAGCAGACTGGTCCCTCCATCACTCTAACGGGCAAGGAAATCGGGACCCTTTCTTCCCCAAATGCAAACAAGTGGTTAAGCAAAATAACTGTGGACTTGGCCAAATGTGGGCTTCGCCCTTGGCTCCACTGTCTCCTGGCTGGAGAGGCTCTGAGCAATACCTCTGTCACTTGCAGATGGGACCATGTCCTCCTGTGGGCTACTCTGGATGTACCCAACCCTACAGAGGAAACGCTTGGCATCATGCATGGCATGAAGGAGACTTTGCTAAATGACACCTAGCATCATTAACAAAAGCTAGGCACTTGGCTCCAAATTAGGGAGGCAAAGTCCAGGGTTCATGGGCAACCATTTTCCCTCTCCAATGGTTCTTTAAGAAAACCCATCTATTTCTTTTGAGACATAGAGCAAATCCAGCGAAGACAGCAATGGAGGTGCAAATAAGGGCACCTATGGCAGCCCAAGGAGCTCACCATTCCCCACACTGCCTCTGGACTCACCTGGTGGGCCTGGGCTCCATGGTGCTGTGGCATGGGAGATGCTCCCCCTTTGCAAATCACCTTGATTTGAGCGGGACCCTCAAAGAACCTCACAGAAATTGTATTAGCTGGGTGCAGTGTGGGGGGAGATTTCCGTTCTGGGAGCTTCACCCACCCATCATTGTCACCACTATTCAGACAAAGAAACTAGAGGCTGAAGGAGGTTTGCTTAGGATCACATAGCCGGTGAAGAAGAGCCTGGATTTGGACCTGAGCAACAGGGCTCAAGGTTGATGCTTATCATCACTGTGCTGTGTGCGACTACTCGAAAGCCAGGAAGGAAAAACGGCCTGCTGCTCTCTCCTCTCGTGCTCAGTCACAGCTTGAGGATGGAGTCACCTTCCTTTCAGGGTCTCTCCTGACTGCCCTCCAAGCAGAACAGACCCCTCTCCACCTGCTGTTGTGAGACTCTCTACAGCCCTGGATTGCACATGGAGGACCGTGCCCATGCCAGGGTCACACGTTGTGTGGGCATGGAGTCTGGTTCCCACATCCTCAGAGGCCCCCATGGCCAGCAGCTACAAGTGCTGGGCAAACACTGTGATGCTGGCTCCCATCTCGCTCTCAGTCTGGGCATTATAAATCAAATGCATCAAATCTATCAAACGGGCATAGACTATGCTTTTCACAAAAATGTTAGACTCCAGTGTCAGCCAATGTAGCGGCTGCCATTATTCAGTCACTCTCTATACTTAAAGATTCACATCTTCACAATAGCCCTGCTTCAAGATGACCATGCTGAGAGGTACTGAGTGGTGGCATTCACCTAAATACACCTAGCTGGAGTCAAAGGAGCTGACATGCGTGCAGCCCGGAGCCCTGTCTTACCTCCTGGTGACAGGCAGCAGTGTACCCCTCCATACGGCAAGCCAGAGGACACACTATGTCCTTGGAGCATAAGATCCCTTGAGAAACTGCCCTAAAGGGAGCCAGAACCAAGGAGCCAAACAGACGCCTGTCTCCTGCCACTCCCAGGACAGTTTCTAGAGAAAGGGGTGTAAAGTACAAAGGTGTTAAAAGTGTGCGAAGATCCCTGGCTGGGCAGTAGAGCCTACGGCTTTCTGGCTATAGTGAGAGTGCTCCTCCCCACCAGGCCCCGGGGATGCCAGGCTCTCCTGCTGTTCTCTCCTTCATGGCCCCTCTGCTCTCATGTCTGGCTCTTTCCGCAGGCTCCTCGGGGGTGTCCTGCTTCCCCACATTCCTCTTTTCCTCCATGGGCCCTCTACCTCAGGACAGCAGTGCTCAGGGACAGCAGACCTTCCCCACCTAGCACCTTCCTGGCTCAGGCTGTCCGCAGGTCCCAAACACCTACACATGCAAAGACGCAGCTGTGTGCCTTCACCCCAGTCTCTTCTTCCCAGGCCCAGGGGGAGCAACTGCAGGATACAGCAAGACAGTGCTGCTCTCCGCTTACCTTTGTGGTCTGGCACTGGGACAGGAATGTGACCTTGGCAAAGGGGTCGGAAAGCCCGTTGCTGTCTGCGGCAATGAGGCCGCGGGCCTGGTACATGTGTGCCCGCAGCTGGAAGATGTGTCGGGCTGTGGAAAAACCACAGGGAGGGCAGGCGTTAGCACTTGGGGGCACAGCACGTGTGAGTGTAAGTGCTGTGATGTGCGCTGCACATCTGCACACAGGACAGGAGCCAGGGGCACAGCTGTGGCTTGGTGGAAGCCCCCAAGAGAGGGACAGGGTACCCTGCATGGAGAAGTGGGGCTCGACACTCTCCATGGAACTTGCATATGATGTGTGTCTTCACCTTCACAACCACCTGTGAGACACACATGCTCACCACCCCACACACTTTATAGCTGAGGAAAATGGCCTGCGTGTGACTAAAATACTTTCCCAGCTTCACAGAGCCTGGATTTCACTTTCGTCTGCTTCCAAAATCCACTTCTTTTTCTCAAGTGTCATATTTTACTCCCCAGTAATTTTACTTTGATGGTGCATGCGTGCGTGCATGTGTGTGTGTGTGTGTGTGTGTGTGTGTGTGTGTGTTTGAAGGCTATTCCCCAAATAGTTTTCACTTCAATAAACCCAATAAATGTCCTAAGGCATCTGTTCCCTTCCTCCATTCTCCAGCCAATGACACTTCCAGGGCAGATCCCTAAAGGGTGGGAACATTTGACAGCTAAGGCTTGTGGCCTCAGCTGGCTGTAGCAGGATGAAGCAAATAGAAACAAACCCCAGGGGTGGGGCAATGGAGAATTGAGGGGTGTCATGTACCCCTCAAGGAATGTAATCCTCGTGTACTGCCAAGATATACTAATAAAAATTAAACATAAAAAAAAATAATCTGGCCACGTGATGCAGAGGCCAGAAGGTGGCAGAACCTGGCCAGTATGAAAGGTGCCTGGAAGGAGTGGTCACCTTGCCGAGGGCCTTGAGGACCTGAATGAGGGAGGAATGCCTGGCCGTGTGTGCACAGGAGAGGAAAACATCAGAGCAGAGCACCAGGAGAGCATAACTGAGTCAAGCTTGCAATGGCCTGAAGGATGCCAGGGAGGTGACACGGCCTATTTGGGGTCTCACACACTGTGGAGAGACTGGCTGGAGGGTGGAGATCCACCACAGCTGTGGGTGCCACCGGACTTGGCCCCTGACTGGCGGGAGAGGAGGGGCAGACGAGTAGGGCTCCTGAAGGCAGATCATTCTTTGACTGTCATGAGACCCGAGGACATCCCTGTCCCTCCACCCCACACTGTTATCTGGCTGCAATGGAGACCACCCGTCCTCACTCTGATCCTGCAAAGAATTAGGAAATGTAAACCCTGAATCTTTCCCAAGTGAGCCCAGCTACTTGCAGCATCAAGTCAGGGGGATGAGAAGTGATTCCTTTCACCTCAGTTTTAAAGACTCCTGATTGTATCGATAACCCAGTGGTTTAATTCACCTATGAATGCAGCATGCCATGATCCAATCCCCTTCCAATAGCCCCACCTCTGAACGGAGAGGCACTGGAGGGAGAATTTAGATCTAAACCACAGCACACAGTTGAAAAATGATGCAGCAAACCATCTCCCAAACCTGCTTTCCACGGGCTTCCACCCTGCCTTTAAAGTATTTGTTTCTGTGGACCTGTGTGATATATGCCTAGAGGGGATTGAGTGCACATGGCAGGAGTATTTGTTTTGCAGCCTTGCTGGCAAGAGAGCCCCTTAAAATGACAGCAGTTAGCAATGAAATGCTCAGTAGATGATGCAGGGGTTTTTCTGGCAGGAATGTGTTAGGAGCTGGCCCACGAGCTCCTTAGCGTGCTACATGGTCCGGCAAATTTCTCAGCTGGAAATGGACTCTGGAGGGTCTCATTCCTTGTGAATGCCCACCAGCTCCCCCTGAAATGACTAATCCTGGAAGTTCAGCAGAGTCCTCAACAAGCAGCACAACGAACAACTTTGGGGAGAGGAGGAGGATTACCTACTCCAAGTTTTTGTGTTTTGAAGCCTTGAGTTCTACCAGCTTTTGTCACTGGGACTAAACCAGCCCAGTGCTCACCTCCAGGTGCCCTTGTTCTGTGCTGTGGCTCACTCTCCCTGTAGTTAGGAGAGCTGTGAGACTCTGCCCTGCCGAGGGTCAGCGTCACCTCTTACTCATCTATGTTCCTCCTCACTTTTTCCTCTGTGCCTTCCATACATAGATGCAAACTAATTATCTGCTGCATGGGTATTTTCTGGGGTGTGAAACCCTGCAGCAGGTATGTAAGGCAACCAAAATCATCAATAACAGGGCACAACATAAGAGGTTTATCAGGCCACCCCAAGAAAGCGACGTGCTGCAGGGAATTGGAAAGCACCAGGAAAAGACTCTCCTTACTCCTAAATTTTTAGCAGCTACAACAGCAAACGCATCGTGGTCCTTGGGTCTCTAGAAACAGTGTCTACAGAAATAAGAAGACAACTTGACGTGGCTGTCATTTACCTCAATGCAAAAACTCTTGAAAGGCAGGATGGGAAATAGTGGGAAGAGCACAGGACTTGGAGATGATTTGCTCCATCATTTGTTAGCTGTGTTTAGATCTAAATTGTTCCACCAAAGCCTGATGCACTCTGAGGTAGGGCTTTTGGAAGGTGAGGGTGCCATATTCATCACTGCATTTACTCATTGGTAAGTTTATCTCTCAGTGTGCCTTTGTGCGGGGGAACTGGTCAGAAGAGGTGGTCACTCCCAGGTCCCCCCTCCTTCCCCTGCTTCCTGATTTCCACACCGTAAGCAGCTTCCCTCCACCCAGGCCCTTCCACCAGGTCCTTCTTTCTCTCTTGAAGTCAGCTTATTACAAACTGAAACCTCTGAAAGCCATGAACCCAAATAAACTTCTCCTCCTTTAAGTTTGGGTCTTGAGTAGTCTGTCCCTTCGATAAGAAAGTGACTAAGACATTGTGTGATATTAGGCAGTTTTTAAAGCATCTCTGATACACACTCTCTCCATCTGTAAAATAAAGAAACCTAGCAGGGACGCTGTGACAAATAAATAGATTCTACTGCAAGAACAGGGTGCTGTGCTCCGTCACTGTTAGGTGTTACGCATCAACGCTCCCTCCAAAAACCAAGTGTTCTTGTGCATTCACATCGGTGCAGACATCGCGACTGGGGCACCACAAGTCCACCCCGGGATGCTGTCTTCTGACTCCTGGTCCATTTAGATTCCATGGCAGTCAAGGTTAATCCACGTTGGAGGAACTTTGCGAATGAGGACGGGGTGGTGTGTGTGTGTGTGTGTGTGCATGCGTGCGTGCGTGTGTATGTGCATGTGCATGTGGACTGCTCTCCAGGCTTTCCATTATTGACTGTGCTCAGAACTCAGCTTCAGTAGCCATGTAGGTAAAATTATATCTGCTGTATCTGAATCCAACAGCAAAAACTACGGAAATTAAAGCCATCTGGAAATGGAACACAAAGTGTACTTGTTGGGCTTTAATATTTATGCTAAAATTTGAAACTGTATGGAAAGGTAAGCTTGATGACACTCATAAAAATAACTACATGGAAGAAAGCATTCCTTTGAGTGTGCTGAGTTTGTAAACCCAACCAAGATCTGAGCTGAAGAAATACAACCAGGACTCATGCCCAGTTGGGACTTGGGAAGGGCCAAAACCCTCATGCACATACAAAGGAAAGGCTGCCTCAGTGCCACAGCTGTACAGGACAAGCAAACTCAGCCTATGTATCCGTCCTACAGAGAAACTCCGACTGGTTTCTCTCCTTCAACAGGGAACCATAAACGTTTATTCCAGATGTGTTTAAAGACGCCTTTATACTTTTAAATGGAACATTTGAAGCTAAGAAGGAACACTTCAAAACTGTCATGAAGAAGGTAAACAAGCTGACCCAACATGTGCAAACAACTCAGGTTGGCTGCTCGCCTCATGTTTTCACACGCACTCCCCAGAGACACCTCACCCATTGCCCGGCAGGCCCATACCTTGGTAGAGCAGATTGGAAGGGGCGTAAGGAGGGCCAGCTGCTGTGGAGGGCATTTCTGCTTCGTAGCCCGCTGGCAGGTTGTCCAACATGGCACTGGCGAATCTGGTGGAGCCCAGCCACAGGTACACATCGACCTTGGCCTGCACAGCCCACCCAGCCGGACGCTTCCCAGGGAGCTGAGGAAAGGTGACAAGGGTGACTGCTTGACACACCTAGAGGTTTGTTCAGAGACCCTCAAACGCTCTGCTTATATCACAACAAGAGAAATGACCTGGTTCCCACAATGCACAACTTCAGAGGGGATCCAGGTTTGGGGGGCCTGAGGCTCACATGCACTTTGCGGAGCACTTCTGAGCCCTGGGTCCACTGCTGGACAGTCAGGTATGACTACTGCCCTTGTTTCATAGACAAGGGAACTTGGGCTCAGGCTTAGCAAATTGTGCAGGATCCCTCCATTTTTAAGTGACAGAGCCGAGACTCCAAGCCTAGAAGAGAGGACCCCAAATCTCCTCCTCTGAGCCCCAGTGCCTACTTCTTCATCACACGGAGTGAAATCGCCAAAGCCTAGAGCTCTAAACTCAGTTTCCACCTCTTTGCTTCCCTCAGATCTCCACACTCTTTCCTGCATCGGACCTCTGAGCCCTTGAAGGCCGCTACCACTGCACCCTTCGAGCCTGGCTGGGACCTTCTTCCTGCTCTGGGATTCTGGTTCCCTGACCACGCTGCTGCTTCTCTGTAGAATGTGCTAAGATTTGTGGGTGTGTTTGGTTTTCACGTTTGTGTCCGTGTGTGGGGGAAGTGCACACGCTCTTGGACCTGGCTCTGAAGGATGCTGCTCAGGCAGACAGTGTGACTCCTTCGCTTCGCAGCAGCAGCAGCTTTAGAGAACTCCCTCCCCATGTGGCTATGGAATCCAAGGCCGAAGGCTGGCTTGCTTGGGATTGCTGGCACGACCACTGAGCTGTGAGGAGCCGGTGGCCCTGAGGACGTTGCTGCCTCTCCAGCTTCTGCTGACTCTTCTAAGCACCCTTCAGAACTTTCCACTAGTCACTTCTTTCTTCTACACTACTTCCCTTCCATGGAGATTCACAAAACCCCATTAGGACAGACAGAACTTGCCTGACAATTTCCACGGCCCCCATGGTGAGCCTCTGACTCCATATTGAACATGACTGTTTGCCTTCCCATTGTGCTCAGTGGGTTCCATAATCAAATTTGGAGCAACTCAGTTCAGCACTACTGCAAGTGCTGGTGAGCTTCTGCTGAGGGCATGGGGCCAGAGGACCATCACAGTACAGAGATGCCTGGCCTTTGAAGAGCTCATGCATAGACGAGGAGTGTGACCTGCCCTCACCACGAACACAGAAACAGAGAAATCCTAAGGGATCAGAGGAGGAGCTGCAGGCATTTCTATCCTCTTCAGATTCATTTCTCTCTCTCCCTCCCCTTCCTCTTCTCTCCTTTTCCCCTCCCTCTCTCTCCATGCTGGAGACTGATCCCAGGCTTTACTTGCCAGGCAGGTGCTCTACTGCTGAGCTAGTCTCCAGCCCCTCCATCCTTTTCTTCTAGTTTCAAATACAGGAGTCTCCCTTTACCCACAGTCTTGTTTTAAGCTGCAATTCCAGTTACCACAGTCATGAAAATATTAATGAGAAATGTGAGAACTTAGTGATTCATGAGTTTTATCCATCAGCATATTGTTATAATTATTCTCTTGTTTGGATAATGGGTTGGGCTGGGTTCTGCAAATTCTGCTTCGTTGCTTTTATCAGCAACATGAATGTTCTTAAGTTAGAGGAAAGAGGAGAATCATAGAACCAGGAATGCTGAGCCTGATGACAGTCACAGCTCAGCTGATGCTCAGCCATGAGCCTCCAGGTGACAACCTCTGTCCCCTCTACCCACACTGGGCCCCGAAGAACAGAGGCTTCCTAAAATTCTAAGTCGCTTATCTGGGGAAATAGGTTTGGTGAACGTGTATGCTTGAAAAGTTCAGATGATTTCCTGCGGCCAGACCCCTGGGCCTCCTACCTGGTGGGTGGGTACCCTGAACCTCCAGTTTCCAAAGCCACACCTGCCACTTCCAAAAGACTTTTAGACACGGTACATTTATGGAACCATTTAAAAGACATCTGGCAACAGACTAAACACTGAGGGATCTCTGGCCTAAAGATGTCTAGAGATTTATATTCGGTGCCTTTCCCCCACCTTCTAATTCTTCACCAAGAAATGGGAATGCGAGGCAGCTGTGGAACGATCTGGCCTCCCTGGCCCAGCCCTTGCTTTTTTAGACCCAGCAATTTCAGGAGGAGAAAGGCGTAGAAGGAGGCAGTGCTGGGAGGGAGTTAAAATCGGGGTGGCAATCAAGGGGAATAAAAATAGTTTTGCTGGATCATCTTATCAAGAGGCTTCATCACAGAACATAACTGAATTCAGCACGACACAGAAAGTTGCTGCCCAAAGCAACCCCAGGGGCAAAATGACAGCACAGATAAAAAAGGGCGCAGGGCTTCATGTTCATATTGATAAAGATAATGTACACATAAGGAGCACCATGGGCGGAAGTTCTGTGTCTCAGTTACACCTCTCCTCCGGCCTTATTTGATAGCTGTTCTTTGCTCTAATACAAATAGTGCCAGGATACATAAAAATATTTAGGAGACTTTATACCATTTTCTAGTATTTTTAGCACTGGGCTTTTTGTAACAATTTGCTATTTTTAAGACAAACCTATTTTGCCTGCAGAGCATTCCTAAAATGGAGAAATTTAAAGAAAATATCTGATGTTTGTGATGAAATACTTGGAGAAATTATTTTTGTTCATAAATATATATATATATACTTTCTTTTTCTTGAGTACCAGGAATCAAATGCAAGACCCTGTACTTGCCAGGCCAGCACTTGTGTCCCCGAGTTATATCCACAGCCTCATTTATAGTTTCATGAGAGTGAGTTTAAGAAATATCTTATACACCTCACAAAAACTAACTTGAAGAAGCACAAACAACTGAGTGGATGTGAAGAGAGCTCACGGTGACAGCAATGCTCCCGGGGTGCTGGGTGTTTGCACCTTTGTGTTTACGAGGTGATTATGTGGTGACGGATGTGCTCTTTGCTCAGATTTATTCCTCACAACCACGGATAAAATGGGATGAATGCTCTCGTCCAAGACCTTCCAGTCAGTAAGTGCTGACCCTGGAATTCCGGCATGGGCTGCATGACGCTCTGTCAAACTTCATGAGTTAATGTCCCAGTTCTTCATAGGCAGAATGCTACCTTGTTTGGAAACAAGGTCACTGTGATGTAATTAGCCTAGTTAATTAGCTTGGTTAAAGTAGCATTGTACCAGAGCAGGGTGGGCCTGGAAGCCAGCTTGAGGAGATGGTCACACAGACACAGAAAGAACGCCAGGTAACTACATGGGCACAAGCCAAGCAACTGCCTCAACAGTACCCAGACTGGGCCTCAAAGAACCCCAGTTTCCTGAAAGCGTAGGAGCTCTTCTGGTTTGGGCACTGCAAAACTCCATAATTTCCAAAGCTATACCTGAAACCCCTGCACGTGCCTTCCCTGACACTTTCAGAGCAAAGATGGCCCTGTCAACATCTCGGTCTGAGATTTCCTGTCTTTGGAATTGTTCTGCTGTTAAGCCAGTCAATGTATCAGATGGGTACGAATTCCAGTTCAGAGTCACTGGTTGCAAAGCCCCTGCTCTAAACCACAGCCCATTACTGCATCTCATCTCATCTCAGGGACACAGTCACACTGATAGTGGCCTCTTCTAGCTGGACAGCACCTGTAAGCCACTAATATAGCTGCCCACTGCCAGCTGACACTTGGAAGGATGAGGGACACAGTGTGGCAGTGACTTCCCTGCCATGCCACTTGTGTTTCGTGGGCCTGGTTTCAACCTCTGGTCTCTCTCCTTTCCTCCTCTCTCTTCCCCTTTCCCTCTCCTTCCCTCCTTCTCTCTCTCTTCCATCCTCACCCACTGGCAGAGTTTCTCACATTATCAAGGCTTCTCTTCCCTGTGAAGCACTGCCCTCTTATCTTGTCCCTCCTATATCAGAGTCCCAGGCTTTCTCACCCGCCCTCTGGGGGCAGCAAGGAACCAGACCCGCAGCTGGCAGGACCACGGGAACCATTCATCAGCAGAGTCCCACTCTTGCTGCTCATCACCACTTTTCTTCCCATGTGCTCACTTCTACATGCTGAGATACACATGTGTTTGCAGTAGGGGTAAAATACCCAGATACCACGCCTGCAAGGACCCACTGATACGGAACCTGGGGACCTTCTCGTGGTAAAGCATGCATTGCCCTTAAGTTGATAAGGCTATCGTTTTTTTGTTTTTTGTTTTTTTTTACTAGTAACCAAAGAAATAAAAATCAAAGCCACCTCAAGATGCAGGCATTAGATTAAAACAAAAAGACTATGTATCTGGTGGCATGGTGGAAAATCAGAAGGGCCTTGGCCCCAAGGTGGTCTCTCGAGGTGCAATTTGATCAAGACAACAGATGCTCTAGCTGTCTTCCTGCTTTGAAAACCCTGGGGAAGAGTCAGAGATAAGGATGCACACTAGAAATTAATTCTGTTTTTTTTCCTTTTTTAATCGGTACCGGGGATCGAACCGTGTGCTTGCAAGGCAGGAGCTTATGTCGCTGAGCTAAATTCCCAGTCCCATACACTAGAAGTTCTGAGCCACCCAAGAAAAACTGAACCCTCTCACCTCCCAGCGGGAAACAGTGAGGACTTACTTTGAGGAAGTGAGTCTTGATCTTCCCGCAGTGTTTGCCCATCTGCTCCCTGGAGGGGGAGTAGAGCAGGTCCCTGGCGGCCACGCGGGCGTAGGCCACTCTCTTGTTGCTGCTCAGCATCCAGATGAAGACGTCAGGGATAGTGTGCTGCGGCTGTGTGGGGAGGGACCGGGACTGGAAGGGCTGGCGCTGAACGCAGGCCTCCCCCCTGCATTCTCCCGCCTTGAAAGAGCCCCTTTAGTGCGAAAGTGTCTGTGTTCTAGGCCACTAGGTCCTCTAACATCTGGGCAATCAAACAAGCTTAGTGCAGCTTCCTCACTAGAGAGAAAACTAGGTCATGAATGGGAGGTACAGGTAAACCCCGGCAGCCCCACTGTGTGCTGGGCTCCAGGTCACGCGTGGCCTGTGACTTGGTGTCTTTGATGACCTACTGCTCTCCATCTGTAGAGCAATATTTTCAGCAACTTCACTTGGATTTGTTTTTCCAATGCAGTAAGAAGGTTCAGCTGCAAAGTACTAGACCTCTTCAGAGTCGGGCAACATTCCCGAAATATTCAAATGAAAAGACAAAACCAAACACACGATGTCCTCCAATGGTTTTCCACTTGCTCTTAAGAAAGGGAAAGCAAACCTACAAGGAACTTTATATGCAAAATACAATTGCCAGGTGTGCTGGCTCCACTTTAGATAGTCATTTAGGATAAACCCAACAATGCACGGAATAACAGAATTTAAAGTTGTGCTAATCGAGATAAGAAATGCAGAAATCTGTATCAAGTTTTCTCCTTATGCTATGAGTGCTGAAATGCCCATTTGTGAACCAATATAACTACCCAGACAGAAAGGAGGGAGTCCGTTAGAAAATAGGCTTTGCCGGGCCCAGGCTGGAGGCAGCTGATCTGTCTTGCTCAGCCTTGGCACTCAAATATAACTGGCCTCAGAAGTGGGCACTCATAACTTCTCTCTGATCTGGCAGTGGAGACAGGACGGTTTTCCTGGCCCACTGCCAGTCATCACAGAGCTGAGGGCTTCCGGTCTGGGTTAAACCCTCTGGCTTCTCACTAAAATTCCCATGTTTCCTGATTGCCTGGCCCTCTTCCTAATGTGTCTCCAGGAATGACTGATTTTAGGGACCAGTTATAACTTTCAAGAACAATAGCAGTAGTAAATCTTTACTTCCCCGAGACCTTCCCCATAAAACCTAATTAAGAAAGTTTCTACCCATTTTCAGGCTTCAAAAAAGAGCTTCAGTACCTGACAGAAGCAAATATAAGGGTCCCAGTAACAGCACTGTAGAAGATATTGCTTACAACTAGCTTTAAAATGAGATGTTGTGTAACTTTTAAATTAGGACCAGGTTATAAACTCGTAAAGCTGAACCTGTTCAAAGTTCCAATAATTGCAGTGATTGTTTTGGTTTTTCTTGCATTTAAGAGGGAGAACGCTTTTTGTTTTGGGGAATAGGCAGATTTTATAAAAAGCAATAAAGTCACACATTTTAATTTAAAAAATCTCCCCTCTCATTCCTGAGCTTGTAGTGCCTGAAGGCTGTGGGGAAAACACCAATCCATCTTTTATGTTTGGTCGCATCATCCCTTATGAGGGTGACGTTTGATCTAATATCAAGAGGTTTGGAGTTAATTACCTCATCAACCAGAAAGCGGATGTTCCCCACAAAGTTCTGGGCTTCCTGGATCATTTCATCAAGAGAGAACTTTTTCTTCTGCTGCTGAGTGATCCCCTTGGCTTCCTTGGCCATTGCCTCCTAAAACAACACAAGAGTCAGTATAGATCTTTCTAGAAGTCTGGACCACAGACACTGCCTTGGTGCTGCCAAGCCTTCCAGAGGCCGGCAAGCTCACTTCAAGCCCCTGGTGGGCATCTCCTGCTGTGTGTGCTGCTGGTTTAATATCAGTTTTGCAGGGATATGGAGACAGGGAATACCATCTCCCCCAGGGCAGACAGATGACAAGCAAAGGCCCAAAGGGGCGGAGGTGTGCCACGGGCATCCAGGTTTCTGACTCCTGAGTCTAGACTCCCTGCTGAAATACACTGTCAGGCAATATTCCAACCGCTTTATTAGGCCTTCTGCATCTTTGCCACGCTATGAGGTGGGTCCAGTTACTCCCATTTGAAGGCTCAGAACACAAAGTACCATAGTCCTGAGTAGAAGAGCTAGAACTGACCTTTCAGCTGGGTCCAGACTGGGTGTGTCCCTCATTATCACACTCAAATACTCATCCTAGAGGCCTGACCCATCCCAAACATTCCCATTCTTCCGGAGACCTTGCCTCAGAGCCCACAGCACGGCTGGAACTTCAGAAAGCATTTGCTTTGACTCATTTATGCAACCCTCATTTACGTGCTTAGGGAAAAATAAAACTCGAACTCTACAGTGGGCCCTGTGTGAACCAGCCCTGTCCCTGCTTCCTCTCATGGCCCCCATTCCTGGCTCACTGGAGCAGTCACGCTGGCTCACCCTGGCAGGACCTGTGGCTGTGCTTTCTGTGATCATGGTGTTGTCTCCCCATGTTTTCCTGAGCACCAGGGTTTTTTTTTTTAATTCCCTCTGCAATCATAATTTTCATGTGTTTGCTGTTTATCTGTCTCCCATCTTCTCCACTACACTATAAACTTCACTAAAACAAGGATCTCCTCTGTCTTATTCTTACCTCGTAGCCTCACTATCTGGCAGAGACACTGTCACGTATCCACGACCTGGCACATAGCAAGTGTTAAATGATTACAGAATGAATGACCCAGATAATCTCTGCATTCCTGAAGGACAAGCACAGAGTGCCTCCTGGTCTGTGTTCCCTGCTCCTTGCACAGAGCCCAGCACCCTGGAAGCCTTCTAGGATATAGCTAAAGAACTGAATACCCTCGATCTACCCGGGAATGTTCTGGGATGTGGGTGGGACAGGCTTGGACAGAATGACTGCTTTCCCCTTGGCTTGGACAGTTTAGTGAGATGAAAATAATATACATAAATAACTAAATAGGCAAACCATCATGAGACCTTCAAGGTTGAAGCTAGGCTTCACGGACGCTGTGACATTTGACCTGGTCTACAGGGTGATCAGAATTCATCAGATGCTGAGAAGTCAAAGCAACTCCAGATGGGGAACAAACACACATGGAGAAACATAATCAGTGAATCCACAGTGCTGGAACCCAGATGTACAGCGGGAGTAAGGCTGGGGTGCTGGAAAGGGAACAACCCACATATTGTGCAAAACGAACTGAGACTCTGTTCTATGAATGACCAAGAGACTCCAGCAATTGTTGTAAGCACTAGCGATACAATTGGATTCGTGTTTGGAGACTCATGACTGAGGCAGGGAAAATGGGCTGGAGGGCAGCTACTAAATCAAGCCCAGGTGGAAGGTGCTAAGGAACATTTAGCGATTCCAGGGATGAAGATGTGGAGGAGGTTTCAGAGCGCTTAAGGGGCAGAATCAGCAGGCCCTGGGATCAAACTGGCTTTCAAGGTGAGGGATGAGAGTCCACACGAGTGGGGCACAGTGGCACAGAACTCTGGGAGGCTGAGGCAGAAAGATCACAAATTGGATCCCAGCCTACAAGTTAGTGACTTAATGAGACCCTGTTTCAAAAGGACAAACATTTTGACAGGGCTGGATGGGTAGCTCAGTGTGACGGCCCTGGGTTTGTCCTCAGTCCACCAAAAAGAAGTCAACATAAACACGTAGGTTCCTCACTGGAGCAGCAAGTTTAGCCAGCCAGAGGCAACACAGGATGCAGAACAAGGTTAGGTAAGCAGTTGAGTTCAGGAGGCTCTGCTGGGGTCAAGGAAACAGGAGACAAGCGTGGGGGTTCCACTGGAGGCTGGAGACACTGACCCGGAGATGAGGAAGCAGACCTGGGCCATCACAAAGAAGCTTGGTTCAGACCAAGAAGTGCCAGGCAATGAGGAAACAGAGCCGGGCCATGGCAGAGACCTCAGCCAGGAGCTGAGACCAACAAGGGCAGGAAGAGCTGGTGGGTGACCCTGGTGACAGGACACAGCCTCTTCCAGGGGTTCTGGAGGGCAGAAAGGAGCATTCCAGAAAGGAGGCTGAATGAGGAACTGTGCTGCTTGGGCTTTAGTGTGTGGCCTTCGGTTAACTGGCTGGGAATTAGTTTTTAAAAATCACTTAGTATTCCGACAGACACTTAGGTGCCTCAGTGTGCTAGATAAATCAAACACTGAACAATCTTTCGTTGCCGAATTATCATGGGCTCACATAAAATGTCCATTGGTGCTGGCCTGGAACTGACATTTCCCAGTGATAATGCAGTTCCAGGCTTTGGCCCACTCCAGCCTCCGCCCACTGAGCAAGACCCCTCAGCCGTGGCCACTGTGCAGGTCTCCAGGACACAGAGGATCCAGAGGACCACATCCCCTGGTCAAGCAGCATTGATGATTTCCAGCACAATTCCTAGCAGGTGGAAGGCGCTCTGGGAGGCGGGGCAGGGTTGGGGGAGTCACTTCTTTTGGCATCTCCATTTGCAGGGCAGACAGCCAAGTGAGTCTGCATGTTTTAACAAAATACAAATGTCAAGGAAATGATAAGGGGGCCGTCTCCCCCAGTAGGAAGCTGGATTCTAGCTCCTCCCCGTGAGCCTCTGATAAAGCCCAGGCCTGTCCCAGCTCCTGCCGTGACAGAGAGCACACAGATCTCTGTGCTTCAATGTGTCCTGATCTGGCCTGTGACCCATGCTCCACCCACAGGTTTTATTTTTAAAACACATGTTTTAATTCTGTTCAGAGTATAGAGTTTCACATACCAGCTCTTGCCAACAGAGTGTGAGTCGCTTCTTATCTAAGGTGGTTTGGTTGAGTGACTTGGGCTTTTTTTCTGCTTCAGAGATAAAGGCACTGTAAGAGAAGAATAATTTGAAGTCTTCTTGATGAAAATCCATTTATATGATTCCAGCACTTTGCAAAAACACTTTCCACAATACAGCAGAAAGCCAATGGGATCACAGGAAGACGATTTAAGTTTAAAATCAAACAACAATGCCTTTCCTAAGAGACAAAATGAGAACTGGAAATTGTACCCAGACTCCACCTCACTTTGAGGAAATGAATATTTGCCTATTTTCTTTCAGAATATATCTGCTGTGATAGCTATCAAGAATTTATAACAACAAGACACACAAAATAAAGCAGTTTTCCTTTTAAATTTATAAGGTCTTATAAATTTAAAACATACTACATTTTTCTTGGAAAGTTGTAAGCAAAGCAAATATTTCTGATTCAATACTGAGGTATGTCTCAGTCTTCTTGAGCAATGACATTTTTTTTTCCAGCAGTGAAGTTAAAAACATATTCAGTAGGAAAATAAAAAGATTATGAATGAGATTTAAGGAGAAATTTAAATGGCCCCGAAACTTGAAAAAAATAAGATGTTGTTCTCTTTAGTGATAATTTAAATGCTAATTAAAATCAGTACTGTTTCATCAAGAAATGAATGTCAGGATGGTGAGCTGTGGGAGGTAGGAGAGAGTGTGCTATTGTGGAACAGAGTGAGTTATTCCAGTGCTCTCAAAACTCTTTGGATGTACATTTAACACTTAACTGTGTGTATAACTTGACCAAAAATTACACTAGAATTCTTATCCTTCACCAACACCTGAATAATTTAACAAAATATGTTTACTCTGTGATATTTATGGCAGCACGTTTTAGAGGTGCAAAATAAATGTGTGCAACTTCCTGTCATCAGGGACCGGTTAAGTGTACTATGAAGCACCTGTGCAACTGAGCCCTGAGGCCGAGCCTGTGGGCTGCTGCAGGACAGTGCCTGCGACACTCATCAGGTGAAATGGAGACCTGCTGAGCAGAACAAGTGAAGAAACACTGCTTTAGGAGAGTGTTTAGGAGAGGGTGTGTTTGCAAACGGACACACATACAAAAGATCCCCTCTCTGCAAAGTGGGACTAGAGAAAGAATTGAGGAGAATCCTTCTGCTTCCTCTCCTTGTCCATCTTCCCGACCCATCCTGACTGCTGGGCATGAGTGCCTTGTGTTACCTCTGCACAGCCTATCACCTGTCCTTGCTGGGGGAGACCCCACAGTCCCAGCTGCTCAGCGATCAACAGCACAGGTGGGAAGAGTAGAAAGCCCAGCTGGCCTCTGACTTGAGCTGCTTTCTCAGATCTGGACCTCTGAAATACAAAACTCACATTCTGATCTTTGTGTCAGCCTCATGAATATTTTTTCAGTTGGTGGGAAACTTAAAGAGAAAGGGGAACAATTAACTATCACCTTTCAGTAATCTCTTAATGTAAAAACTATTGAGATATTAATTTGCTTGTAATCAGTTTCTAAAAATATGAGGTTACAAGGCTTTTTGAAGATGTTCAAAAGGAACCGTAGGTTGCCCTTAGCTCACAGCAGGAGTAGCACTAACATATATTGCTTTTATAGTTAAAAAGTGAAGAAAAAGTAATGATAAAAAAATTTATTTTTTGCTCCCTCCATCTCTTGGTCTCTGCATTTTGCAAAAGCTCTCTCTCTCTCCTTGTTTCCTATTACGTATATTTTATTTTGATCTTGAATTATTTATGCTTTTGGGAGGAGGGAAGGGAAGAGGATGAAAAAGAATAAAGATGTGTTTTGTTCATGTGCCAACTCCCCGTGAGAAGTGTGATCACTGGGGACGACAGACATGGACTGATAAATATACCAAGAAAAAGGAGGAGGAGGAGGAGGAGGAGGAGGAGGAAGAGGAGGAGGAGGAGGAGGAGGAGACCGAGGAGGTGCTTGAGAGATTAGGAGACAGATTACAGAGCAGAATATCAGGGTTAGCTGCTGCCTGTCTACTGGTTTTGCCTTTCATCAAATTAATCTCTACTCCTTTCTATTAGTGCCATTCAGGCAAATTCTCATTTTTGCTCAAGTTGTGATATAATTAACTGGAGTTGGTCTAAGTTGTTTTCACATGGGGCAGGCATCCTGTAAGATGGTCCTCACTGGATCCCCCTCCTGTAATTCGTGTCACCTGTGGCTCCCTTCCTCGGCATGCCACCTTGCTCCTAATAGAACGCATCGAGAGTGCTGCAGGGACACTTCCAGGTGATATCCGCTCACTTCCATCTTATAGGCAGGTTCTTTCTGCCTCTTCCTCCTGCTCATTCTGAGGAAGAATGCTGCCACACTGTGAGTGTGCCACACTGCGGTCCTCAGGGCAGTGGCCCATGAAGAACTGAGTTCTGTAAATCACCACATGACTGACCTTGGAAGTGACTCCCTCCCAACTGAGACTTCAACCCAAGTCAATGCTTTCACATTTGCACCCAGGAAGAGTCCTTACAAAAGGCTCCACTGTGCCTCTTGGATTCATGACACATAGAAACCATTGGATAATAGAATACTGTGTCAGTTCATTAGTACCATTGGGTAATTCGTTACTCAGTCATACACAACTATAAACTCTGTTATGGTTTGTGTCTAAATGTCTCCCCAAAGCCTCATGCAGTTTTAGATGGGGCTTTTTCAGGGGTGTCTGAATCTAGGATGTGTGACTGATTCATGGTTCAATGCTGGGATTAAGGGTGTTGGAATGAAGGGTGGGTGACTGCTGGATCAGTTCACTGATTGGGTTGGCACCATCCTACTTCTGGTAGACTCGATACAATATGAGGCACAGAAAGAGCTTTCTCTCTGTCTCTCTCTGTCTCTGTCTCTCTCTCTCTCTCTCTCTCTCTCTCTGCTTTTGCTGTCTTCCACCGCCATGAATTATTGCCCCTCTACCATGTGCCACCCTGCCTTGGAGCCAGCTGATTATGAACTGGAAAACTGTGAGCTGCATAAACCTTCCCTCTCTCAACTTTGGGTGTTGGCTATTTTGTCTCAGCAACAAAAAAAGTAACAAGACACATTCCATTTTTGATCTTTTATAATATTGTCTGACACCTAGAATAAGAGTCATTAAGTGCCATTTATTATTCAATTAGTGCTATATTCAATTAAGTAGTAGATGACATAATTATTTCACCTAATTGTCAAATATTTGCTGAATATCTACCCAAAACAAAGAAGCATGCAGGAATTTGCTTGTTTCATAGAGAAACCCTGCACTCAGCCTCTCTGTCTTTATCCCTCCCCTTTGGCTTATGTTTCAGTTCAAGAGTTCAGAAGCAGAAGTTACCCAAGAGTACCAGCTAAGTCACTGAAAAAGTAAGGAAGGACATAACACTACTGAAAGAATCTTGCCCTAGGCCCGACACTGTAGCTGATAAAAAGCCTTGGAAGGGCTCCATCTTCCCCGCCCCTAGGAATTTACCTGTGGCGCGAAATAAATACCAATGGGCTACCTGTGCATCAGTAATGTCCCTCAGGGTCCGCCCCAAACCTAAGCTACGCGTATGCCCCCACTCCACGTGTCCGATGGAGAGATTGCCAGACCCCAGAGAGAATGCCGGACCCCGGTGGGTCGGGGGGTCTCTCCCTGCATTCTTAAAATAAAGGTCATTTGTATTTCATACTTCTTATCTTTTCAGCAGTGCCACAATTCTATCAACTACGAAATGCCCATCTGAGTGCATGTAAAATAGGCTATTTTCTCAGGGTAATTTAAAGCCAATTCTGCTAAGCTCAGCTCTGTGTCTGCCAGCACCTGCTTTGACTGATGAAATCATTGAGCACAGCCTTCATTTTCTCTTCCGGTGCCTCCTCGGAAATCTTGATCAGTTCTCTCACTTCTTCTATACCTTCTTCCTGAAAACAGACCACAGGGAGGGAGGGACGAGCAGTGGGAATCAGGCTGAAATAGAGAGCCTGATTGAACAGCCCAGGATACGTGGCTGGGGCTTTCTGTCCTGTTGCTTGAGAAATGAAAGAAGAGGTTTTGTGCTTGAACTGGAAGTGTTGCTTCACACTAACTTTGTACTTTCCTTTTCTTGGAATTGTCCCAGAGTGTCTTCACCTGCACTATTCAAAATCATGGTTTCTGCCCAGAGTTATTCCCTAACTGGACTTATTTGTTCAGAGTCTACCCTGTAGGAAAACCTAATCTCATGGGAAGTCTAATAATGTAGATTAAATTAGATATAATTATCATATACACAGTGACAACAAACTTACATACTTAATAATTTCCCTTTTCCTTTGGGGCTTAAATTCTAGGATTCTTTTCAGTAGTCTTGGTGAAAATGATACCCAAAGGCAAAGGTACATATTGCCACTGCTTTGGTAGAATTTGCAAGAATTATACTTTCTATCATATGCCAGAGTCTGGTGCCAGGTTCATATGTTCTTCATTAGAGGAACAGGCACCATCATAAAGTATTAGAGATTTGGGAACTGGGGTCACACTTTCTGGTTCAAATCCGAATTCTGCTGCTTACCCCTTGTGGCCAGTTCCCTCGTCTGTAAGATAAGGTGAGTGTAACCCACCCACAGTACAGCGTGGAGGTGACCTGCATTCCCGCCAGCCGTGACTGAGACGGGATTAGAGAGGGATGCCACTGAAAGCCTTTGTGGTCTCCAGGAAAAAGTCTCAGCTGTTTTGCTGAAACCCAGAAATAACTTCTCTATTCTGTCTGAAGGAGAACCAAGCCCCACCCCAGCCCCACAAAGGTGGCCTTCGGCCCCTGCAGTGCCCCAGATCCAGGACACCCATGATCCTGTAGCCAGCGCACAGCTGCAGATGGCCCGGACTGCTGAGCAGATGGGAAGGAGAGATTCTTCCTCCCTCAGGACAGACTCTGGTGGAATGGGAGGGACAAGACAAGGACTACTAGTGAGGTGAGTGGACAGTGAGCGGAGGACGCTCTGCCTGGAACATGGAGCGGGAAGAATATGAACTGGTGGGAGACAAGGACCGGTTGAAGCCAGTGATTTTGTCAGAATGTTTTCAGGCTCCATCCTGGGAGATTAAGAAATCAGCCTGGTGCTAGATCTGTCACGGTGAAGAGCACAGAAGGAATCTGAATTCAGATAGTTTGACTAAAAGTCAGGGATTTTTCAAGATGGATTCTCATTTTCCTGGGTCCACATGGCAGGAGACATGTGTTCCCCAGAAACAGCAGCCTTGGCTCAGTGGCTTTGAAACAGAGACGGTGACCCTCAGGGTAGGCAGAAAGCTGCCTCGGCCTGTTCCCCGCTGCTGTGAAGCCCAGCTCCTGTCAGAGCCGCTTACCAGGAGGTCTGCCATCTTCTCCAGCATGTTAGACCGGTGCAGCCGGAAGATCTGGTCTCCCCAGGAACTGACAAAGGACACACAGGGCTTCTTGGCCTCCAATGGCAGGTAGTTGTAATTCCTATGAAAGCGCATTAGGCCTGGACGTGAGTTGGCGCTCAGGGATTTTGAGGCAACTCCAGCCATACATTCCCATTTTATATGCTCTGATAGGGCAGCAGAGGAGCAGAGACAAAACCATCAAACTAGCACACCACCTCGGGCTGTAAGTGGGGACAGGAATAACAAGCCCTGAAGAATTAGACAGCCACAATGAGAGGTGCCAACAGCCACCATCAGACCTGCGAAAAGCTTAGAAGTGATCACAAGGTGGCAGGTTCATCACGCAAGGCTTCTTCAAAGAGGTTTCAAATTGGGAGCAGAAAAAAGGGAGGGAAATCAACTTGCTTCAGCATCTACGTTCCAGGCTCATGTAAGGATCAACTGGGATAACAGATATCAACGCATTTTGTAAAAACATTATTAATGAGAGTGAAGACCAATGCCCAAACTAAATTGAAGTAGTCTGTGTCTTAGTAGCCACCCACTCATCCATCCCTGATCCACCCAGCCTTGTATCCATTCATTCATCCGTCCATCCGCGCAGTACTGCCGCTAGGCATTGGTGACTTGCTTGGCTAAGAAGGAACACAAGGGACAGCACATTGGCTGAAAGTGGCAGTGGTTTGTAGACTTGGTTCCCAAGGAAGAAGGGTGTGGGTGCAGAAGCAGGTAAGGCAGAAGAAAGTGTAGAAGTTCCCTCCCGAATGATGACTATTTTCTTTTTTTTACATCAGGGATTGAACTCATGACTGCACGCTTGCTAGGCAGGCACTTATGACACTGAGCTAAATCTCCAGCCCTAATGACTACTTTTTTTTTTTTTTTTTTTGTCTTTTTCCTTTTTATCGGTACCAGGGATCGAACTCACGACTGCCTGCTTGCAAGGCAAGCACTTATGCCGCTGAGCTAAATCCCCAGCCCCATGACTATTTTCTTGACCCTAAAAGTCCTTGCTGCTTTTTCCCACAGACAGGGGACTGTGTGAAGAGCGGTGCTTGGAGGGAGTATGGTGGCAGTGGGGACAGATGGCTGTAAAAATGTGGATGGCGTTTGGAACAATACCCTACAGTGGAGAAGCAGGGAGGGAGAGAAAGAGGGACAGAAAAAAGGCCTTACTTCCACTCCAAAAAGACAACTTCAGCCTGAAAGAGTGGGTGAGTGCTCTTTATAACTCTCCAACCCAAATTTCTCTTGCAGCAGATAATAGAATTAGCAAAGGGCCCCAGCCTGTTCCGAAGAAAATAAACCAACAGATGTCCATTCAGAAAAGAAGCCAAGTAAGTCCTTGGCAGAAATTGAGGCTGTCATTATGGCTCGAGAACAACAATAACAAAGATTAGAAACCAAACTGTTCTTTTTATTGTATCTCTTTTTAAACTATCACACTGAGCACCTGTAACTAAACACATTTCCATCCAATATTGTGCTCTGTCCCTAGGTTTCTTTGGTTGGGATCGTTTTGTGCTAACGCTGCTTAGGCCTTTGTTTCTGGTTCTCAGCTCTAACTCTACAAGGACCAGGAGGCTGTGGCTTCTTAGCACAGCACAGATGGAAGGTGGCAGATGGGAGGGCGCCTCTTGCCAGTGGAAGAGAAGACTGCCAGTTGGAGTGGTTGCCCTGACACAGGACCGGCCTTGTGCCTTTGGGCAACAGGAGGCCTGGAATCCTGAAGATACAGTGATGATCGGCCCTAGGGTGGCTGCAACTCCATTCTCACTCCTGAGCTCTGAGCCAGCACACAAACCATACGTGAACACACACTTTGTAAGCCTAGAAAGTCTAGGACATATAGATGGTGGTGTTTTATTGAGTGGTATTTTATTGACAAGTAAGTTGTATGTGCGTGCGCATGTATGTGAGTGTCTATTAAAAATATAGGCTCTTCTGTTTCACCTGCTGCTTCAATGGATCGCTGTCATAAGCAGGTCCAACACAACACCTGAGAAATGTAAAGAAAGTGCAACCGTACTGACAACACCAGCATGACTTACTTTGGTCTCCTTGCACCAGCCGAACAATACTTACATGGGCTCCAAACAGGAATGCCTTCAGGCTGCTCAGCTCCCCCTAAACCTTCCACATCACAGCCCCTGAAATCCCGCCAGGAGTCAATAATGGGCTGGGCCAACAAGGTAGGGAGGAGACATCCCAGGGTGCCTCCCAGACCTGCAGATCATCACTGGGTTAACTCCCTGATGTCTGCAGTCTTAAGGATGGAGTTAAAGGACAGGGGAGTTTGAGATTCTTTCACCTCAAAAGGAGGAGTGACACCAAAGGAGGCTACCAGGTTGTCAAAGAGACCAAGACCCATGGGAGGGGGTTGTGACCCTTGTTAGAAGCAGAGTTTGGAAAATGTAGAGAATGACAAAAAATGAGGGAAGAGCATCCAAGATTATTTTAGTTTACTTTACCCTGCTTTATCTCAAACACCCCTCCATCTCTTAAGTCCTCTCTCACCCTTTAGGACATCAGCTTCCCTGTGGCATTCCTCAACTCTTACTCCTCCCTCCACTCTTCCCTGGCTCACACCTCTCCTCCTCTCTGCTCCTGGAGTACCTTGTGTGAACCCAGCTACAGTGATTCCTTAAACCATTCAAAAATATTTATGAGGCCTTTCTGCGTGCCAGACATGAGCAGATTAAAAGTCAGTGATAGGGTGCTTGCCTTCAAAATGCCCAGAGTCTTCTAGGGACAACAGGAAAATCACCTTAAACCATGTGGTTAGTTCCTGTCGAAGGTGATTAGAGAATGCAAGCCAGATGTGGGGTTTCCTCTTGAAGGGCAGGGGGACAGCAACGAGGAGGGAGCTTGTTGAAAGGCAGAGGGAGGAGGGGTTCAAAGATGCAAAAGGGATAAAAAGTGGGGTATGGTTAGGGAATGGCCAGTGACCAGAGCAAAGGGGGAGTTCTGGGAGAGACCGGAGATCATGGAAGATGAGTAGACTTGGTCAACTCCACAAGCTCTGACCACTGAAATCAACCCTAAAACTCACAAACAGCCAATGAGCGACGTGAAACTGAGTCATTGGTTCAGCTCATCCAGGGAATGTTTTGAAGAAGAACCAAGCCAGGTAGGAGGCTCTAAAAATACTGCAGGTAGATGCTGATGGCCAGAACTAAAGAACTGATGGTAGAAATGAGGAATACTGATGAACTAGGATTGACCAGTCTTCAACCCTGATTGCATGTGGGTTAGAAGGACAAGGAAAACAGGTGACAACCTAGTTTCAGGGTGGAGGACACCAAGACCGGTGTGATCAGTCTATGAGGCCAGAGAGATAGGAAGGCTCAGAAAAGGGGAAGTTATCTGTGAGACAATGAGGCTGGTGAATAATTTACAATACACCAGGAAGCAGAGCTGTCTGGAGAAACAGATTTGGGAATCCAGGTTACCCCAACAGCATCCAGGAAGCCATGAGCCCTTCCCCAGCGAGTGCCTAGACTTTGAAAAGCAGAGATATGGATGAGCACATCTGGCCAGGTAGCAGCAGATTGTATCTGTGGGTTCAGTTTTCTTATATGTAAAGTGAGCAGTAGAGCTGGGCGCCACCATGAAAATGCAGTGAAATCAGAGATTCTTTTACTCCTAGCACAAGGTTCGGCAATAGGACACTCATATGATACATGGTTTCTGTCTGTCTCTCTTTGTCTCTGTCTCTCTCCCTGGCAAATTATTTGATTGGCACTCAACACTACTTTCTTTCAAAAGGGCTCTGTAACTTTACTTCCCTTTGCAGGTTGAAAATTTGCATGCATCATAGGAGGTCTGTGAGGGTGTCTATAGGTGCCCCTGCTGCTTTCTGGAATGGTCTTTCTGGTGTCTGGTAAGAATTCTTTATTTGAACATTACTATGGTAGAGATAAGATTAAACAGTACGCACCAATAATCCCACCAAATCTTTAAGGAATGGACAGAACTTGGGTGACTACAGTAACTGTTAATGGGGCTGGGGTTGAAATTTTGAATTTTACCTTCCTACTTTGCTCTGTGCCAGCGATATAGAGCAAAATGGGCTTCAGATATGATAACAATAGTGATCACTGTTCTCCCCTTAAGTAACTTACGTGTGTGCCATTTGCAGAGCTGTTACAGCGCTAAGGGTTTGTAGAGTGCTTTGTACCATGTAAACAGCCCCTGTTTGCAGGTGGTCCCCATAACTGAGATAAAAATTTATGTTTCTGATTTTAGAGAACTGAATTCAATAGTCCTGGGAGTTGGAGCAAACCCTCCCTCGGGAAAGTTAGCTGTTTTCACCTGTGTCCTACCTGTTCCCCTCTGTCACCAGAGGCTTCTCGGGGCGAGTGGTGGACATAGAGGCAGCAACATCGTGAGCGGCACCCGCTTCCCCTTCATCCAGCAGTGGAAGGGCATCTTCCTCAACTGCTTCCGCTGATTTCTTCTTCTTCCCATGATGGGACCCTCCATCGATCAGGTTCCCAAAATTACCTGCAGAGCAGCAGCATGGAGACAGGGGCTTGGTGTCGACAAGTAGAACAGTCGGCTTGGTACAAGGACATCTGATTCGATGTCCTGCCATGCTCAGGGGAGTTCGCGGTGAGGGGAGGTGAAAGAACGAACGGTGACAGTGAAAGGAGGAGGCACAGACAAGGAGCCATCCTGCCCATCCCTTACTTTCTGTTCTGTGAAACCTACACGAATTAAAACTTAGGAAACACTGTCAAGTAGAAGGAGAGTCACTGGAAGTGATAAAATCCAGCTATAAACATGTTTCATGTCTTAGTGTGCATCCTTCAAAACCGTCCATAGTGCTGTTGGTAACGAATCATTGCAGACATGTCATTTTATGTCACCTGGTTATCGTTATGATCTGGGTAAAAAAAAAAGTCCCCCAGCGGCTTCCTGTTTGGAGGGATCATGGGGATGCTACACTCGCTATACTTGAGCTGTTAGAATGAGCTGTTGGGGAGGGCTGGGTGGGTCACCAGGGGCCATGACCTGCAAAAATGGATTCTTGTCCCAGGCCTGTCCCTCCTCTCTGCTTCCTAGCCACTGGGGAATCAGGACCTTTCACTGTGTTTCTGCCTCAGCACCAGCCAGTTTGGGAATAAGTCCACTGGAACTGTGAGCTCAGCAAAGCACTCCTCCTAAGTTGCAGGTGTCAGTCAGTACTGTGCCCAGCAATGAAAGTGACTAGCACATCTGATCTTTGATTCAACAGCATCTCATGAATGTCTTGCTAAAACGTCTTCTCCTCTAAGATAAGCCTTCTTGTCTAAGTCCTCAATGCTAATACCATGATTCAGAAGACTAAGAAGAGGTTGGAGAGGAAGGAAGGGAGGGGAGAGGACCATGTGGGAGCAAACGGCAGCTTTTGCACCGAAGTTTTCTTTGTATGAGAATAGATCTCCTCCGCCAGGATATTGGTGTCTTTGAGTTTTATATTTTACAGCCTGCTTTCAAATGCTTGAAGAGACTGAGATGAATGTTTACCACTTTTGGAAGGAGCTCCAAAGCTGGCCAGATTACAGAGTTGGCCGACCATATTTCAGTGACGCTTGTGAGCACTGAGCCTCTTAACTTGGGAGGTTCCTCCTCCCCTGTTCACCTCTCCCCTATCTCTTCCTCACCCCAGCATCTCCACTCTGTGCTTCTGTTATAGAGGCTCTTGATGTCCCCACAGAGAGCCCTTTACTGAGAATGGATACACAAGTCCAGCTACTGAGAGGACTGTGGGCTGCTCATGAGACCACCACCTCCCCTGGAGAGCTTACTTCTGCTGATGGACACTGCCTGTCCCTGGGAGATTTTAAAGCTCCCTGCCTGAGCCTGGAGCCATTCTCTAAAGATAAAAAAGTCGGTCTCCTTGCTTCAAGATGGGGCCAATTCTGCAGGGCTCCTCACACTCCTGAGATGACCACAGCATCAGACAGTGGCTACTCTTCGTGCCCTAGGGGTGCCTCTGCTTCCCCTCCCTTCTCCTGAGAACATGCCACCAAAGCTTGACACACACCAGAGTCATCCCATGCCAGATGTTTCTGGGATCCTCGCCTGAGCAGGCCCCTGACATCACCTGCATATGCCATCATCCCTCTACAATGTTTTTGATAATTTACTCAAGTGTCTGTATACTTCTCGAGGATTGGAGTGGTCTCTTGAATTTTCATGTCTCCACTGTCCACCACTGGCCATGACACAAAAGGTCTTGATACATAATTAGTGAATCAGTAGCCTCAGTGTGTCTGTGTGTCCACAGCAGTGATCCTCCCTAGTCTCACACCAATTCTTTTTCCCCTTCACTATTTCACTTTAGAGGATCTGAGGGAGGCATCATGGCATTCTACAAAGAAGGGGAGACTCATACTAGTCTTCTTTATAGCATTCTCCAGCTGTGTAAATGAGATGCTTATCCAGCCTCTCTGAACATCCTCTCTGGATCATTCTCAGATGCTGCTGAAACCATGAATTTGTGGGAAATTGATCACAAAGCCACCACAAGAGAACAGAGAAGGAGGACAGGTAGGGAGAGGAAAGATTCAGGAGTTTTAATAGAATAAAAAAGATGAAAACTGAGGCAACTGGGAGGAGAGTGGCTGAAGGGATGAGCTGCAAATTCTGCTGGAGACAGAGATGCAGGTGAGAGGCAAGGACACAGAAGAGGAGCTGGATGTCTCCATGTTAGAAGGGAAGATGTCATGATGGAAGGTATGGAGCTGAGCATCAGAGAATGGGATATTAGGGAACAAGAATTCAGAGAAGGTGTGTGCCTGCGTGCAGATATCTGCCTCTTTGCATAACCCAGGCCAGAAGCAGACCTTCCTGTCTACAGCCAAGTTCTTCCTGGAGCCCTACAATACGAAGTTCTTTCCTCTGTTCCATGGCTCAGATGCCTGAAGCCAGCTCTCAAGATCTCTCTCAGTCTTCACCCCAAGAATCTCTTCCCAGAGCTAAGGCCTCCAGTCCCTCTGCCTTCCCAAAATATAGTGTCCCCCAAGTTCCTACACCTGTGGACATGCAGACATGGAGTTCTGTGAGGTCTCCAGCCGCATAGCTCAAAGGACTGAATCCCATCTCCACATTCTTCCTCCCTGTTACAGAAAAGCTACCTAAATGTGAATACAGACCTCCTCTATGAAATGCTCTTCCTCGGAGTAGTTTTCCCAGAAGCACAAGAGGCCAGGAAGTAGCTAGAAATTATAATAATAGCATCTACTGGATGTGATATTTTGCATATGCTAACTTACTAAGACCTACCAATGTGTTAGTTATTATTATTTTTTCTGATAGATGAAAAACTAAGACCCAGGAACTTAAGTGAGCCCAGGGTAATGGAACCAGGAGTAGTAATGTAATTATGTCGGAATCCAAAACTATACTCTTCATCTTTTTTAAAGAATGAAGATAAATCTATTCCTTATATAATGATATAAGGGTAGGAAGGAATTATTTATTTCTTTCTGAGATGAAAAAAAAAACCATTAATGAATGTTACCATCTCAGGGCACTAATTAGTTTAGTCAAGAGCTAGGCATTAGCCCTGCACTGGCCTGCACTTACCAATAGAAACTTCAAAGCTGATGGGTTTATCTCCAATCTTTCGGTCAATCATGGTAGCTTCAAAAAATGCTCCGAAGAGTAAAAATTCCTCATACTTTTCTGGTATAATCTAAGAAGAAAAAAGTTACTGTTCAGAATTAGCTTTCCTTTCCTACCAGGAAACTAAATTCATGACCCTGACTTATCCACCACCATTTATAAGCACTTGAACCTGTTCTCCCCTGAATTTCCACCCCTCCCCACTAATCAGACAAACAAGAATCACAGCCAGCAAACTGAATTCAGATTCAGCCATCTGTCTAGAATGAGGTAGGCGTGACCTTCAGAACTGCTCTATTTGGGTCAGGGCCAAAGAAAATGTACTTTCAGGTCAAAGGGTATGTTTGATGTGTGGATCTTTCTCAAATGCTGTTGGTGAAATACAGGCTTGGGACGACCTTCCACAGTCAGGCTTTCAGGAAACAGGAGATCCAAGTGGAGCTCCCCAGAGTCACGGGATTAAACCCTTACATTTGAGCTCGATGTTCTGCTTAGACTGCGCACTCACATTCAGTCAGTTATTTCTCTTAATAACTGAACAGTCAAAAGCTGGACCATTTCCATTTTACAGACAAGGAAACTGAAGCCTGAGGGTAACTTTCCCCAGTCTTCTGACCCCAGACCGCTGTACCCTTGCAGTTCTAACTGTGTTAACCCAGCGTCTTGGAGTTGATCCAAAGTCAAACTCTATTTCAGAGAATAATAAGCAAACCGAGATGAAAGGGCAAGAGGATTAGGGGCACACATCAGCGTCAGCCACTCAGATACATCCAGGCTGGGCTGACACACTCCGGGTGCCACTGCGAGGGATCCCTGGTCCCAGAATCATGAGTGCCTTACAGTTCATCTGCTGCAAGCTCTGCCTTTTACCTGAACAAACTAAAGCTCACATAGTAAGCTCAAGTCAGACGACAGTTGCCCGCCACCACATCTGCCTTGTCAAGGGGCTCCCAGCCTAGAGGACCTCACCGCCACAGGTCACCAGACTGCAGCCGCCAAAGGTAATGACTAATTATCTACACATGGCCTCACTGACCTAGAACACACTGATGCCTCAGAGGGCAGACGTCACCTGGGCACGGCGACCCAGCAGCACACTGCTAAGCCTGAGGGAGCTGAAGCCGCATACTCTGTGCTTCCGGGCCTTGTGCTTGGCTTTATTCAACTCTGCAGAAAAAGGCTGCGAGGTGAATCTAACGAAATAAGCAGTGGTGGGATCAAAAGTCCCATTTGGACAAGCACTTGACCCGGGTCCCTCAGAGTCAAAAGGACCCAGTTGTGCTCAGAGTGGGTTTCCTTTCCACAGGAGCCTCCAGTGGTATTGGCAAAGCCAGGAAATGTTCCCATTGTCCAGAAACCATGAAGCAGGCTTGAGGCTCGGCGCTAAATTTTAGCCACGCTGTACCCCTTGGCTCCGAGCTAGCCCCTCAGCCTGCCCTTGTGAGGCTCAGGTTTCTCTCTGGGAGGAGGTGAAAGCCACCAAGACACCCAGAGGAAAGTGGTTCTTGCAACCTGGAAGGGACAAGAGTGTCAAGTGACCCTGCCCCATGGGCCTTCAAATCCCAATTCTGCTGCCTCCTAGCGGTGGGTCAGGGCCATCATACGGCTGTCACTTTCCTTGTCTGTGACACAGCATTGTAACAGGGCCTACAGGCAGGAGAGGGGCAGATATGATATCAAAAATGGTAACTATGATGAGGGTCTCATCAAGTTTGAATCAATGTCCTACTTCTTTACATCCTTCACAGTCTAACTCAAATGCTTTCCTGTCCGGAAGCTTACCTTAATTTGCCAAGCTAAGAAGACAGAGAAGCATAATGTTCACTGAACTCTTACAATGTGCCAAACACAGTCCTAAGAACTTTCAATACATTGTCACGTCTAATTCAGACAACAACACACAAGAGAAGGATTTTTACATTGACTTCGAGAGGAGGACAGTGAGTTCAGTGAGACCTAAGGGAGCTATCCACAGCTACTGCTTTGGTTTCGACCTGGGGGTCTTCAAAGCCTGATGTGTTGGGAGGTGATTGGGTCATGGATCCACTGATGAGTCTGAAGCTGACTCACCTTGAGGAGGTGGGGTCACCAGGGGCGTGGCCTGGAAGGGGATCGTTCTCCCAGGTCCTCCTTCTCTCTGCTTCATGTGACAGGACACAAGTGGGTTTCCTCTCCCAGCCCTTCCACTATATTGTGTTTGAGCCTGCTGATCATGGACTGAAACTTCAGAAGCTGTATGTAAGCCAAAATGAACCTTTCCTCCTTTAAGTTATGGGTGTCAGCTACTTTGTACCAGCAACAAAAAAGTGACAAAGGCAGTTACTAACCAAAACTAATATTTATTGCAAGCCAGAGTCTGTACTGAGCATTTTACATATATTAGCTCATTACGTCCTCAGTAAGAAGCTATGAAGTAGGAGTTACCATAGAGATATGCATTTTTTCTTTCTCTTCAAAAAGGGGGGGGGGGGTGAAATGAAAACTGAGCTTTGTGAACAGGGAGGGGAAGGGGGCTTGAAAAGAGGAGGTGGGAAGGGCGAGTAACAGAGGAATCAAGATATATCATGTACAGATACAAATTCCCTATAATAAATGTGGTCATTGTGTATACCTAAACTGCACCAGTAAACTTAAATTTAAAACATACTCAGTTAAATCCTGAAAAACAAAAGGGAAATAAGCACAAGGAAATAAGGACAGGGGCTGGGGATTTAGCTCAGTGGCATAAGCACCTGCCTGGTAAGTGCAACGTCATGAGTTCAGTCCCAGATACAGAAAGAAAGAAAGAAACAAAGAAAGAAAGAAAGAAAGAAACAAAGAAAATAAGGACAGTGTGTCATATGGCCCAAGATTTGAGCAGACATAACATTCTTCTAGAGGGTCAGCAGTGACCACTGCACCACACTGCCACAGTGTAAACCCAGCCGTCCTACCTGGGGACCCAACATTTAATCACTGTACTTCAGTCGCCCCAGGAAACAGTAGTGTTTTATCTACACCCCTAATGCACTGGTCACTTTCCACTTCCTGTTCTATTTGTTTCCTAGGCCTCCTCCCCTTCCACACCAGAAGCTCCAGGGAATCAGGCTGTATTTTTTTCCTTCCCAGTGTTGGGGATGATATTTAAAGAAGAATTGATGTTCGCAGAATTTTAAAATGAACACATCTTATTCTAGGTTGGCTCTGCTCTGAGTTTGGTACATGAGAAACATTTTGATGGTGGTGATGGAGTGAGCCGGAAACACCAGCCCTGTGGGTGTCTCGATTATCCACATGTGTGACAACAGCAGGTGCAGCTGGTGACCCGGGAGCTTGAGGACTGTGGCAGCCAAAAGAGGGATGATGTGGCTGCTCAGGCTGTGGGGAAGGAGGAGGTCCAGTGCTGTGGTTTAACAGATGCCCAGGAATCCTTAGCTAGTGCTCCCCCTTAAACAAGCGAAGTCTAATTTCCTGCCCTTTGCACTGGGCTCGGCCAAATGGCTCCTGTCTAACAAGTAGAAATGACAGAACTGTTGGCGTGTGACCCCAGGCCAGGTCATGAGAGATGGCTTTGGCCTCGGTCCCTCTAGGGGAAGCCAGGTGCACCGCATGAGGATGCTCAACAGCCTGTGGAAGGGTCGCGAGGTGGGGTGCCATCTTGGCAGGGGATGCACCAGTGCCCAGGAAGCTGCAGGACGTGCACCCCCCCTACAAGATCGTTTTTCTGATGGATCCTTTATTAGCATATGTTAATTCTACAGAATATTTGTTTCAGTGTGGCACTTTCTTACATGTATATAACACACTTTGATCGGATTCTTTGTCCATTACCCTACCCCACCCTTTCCCCCAACCCGCTTTCTCTTGTCTAATGTTCTACCTTTCACTTTAAGTCATCTCTCTTTTTCTAGATTTCACACATGAAGGAAAACATTCTTCTCTTTCTGAATCTGATATATTTCCTTTAATATGATAATTTCTAGTTCCATCCATTTTTCTGTTAATGATATAACTTCATTCTTCTCCAGGACTGAGTAATACTCTGCTGTGTATAGGTGTTATGTTTTCTTTATCCATTATTTAGTTGACAGGCACTGAGGCTGATTTGATAACTTTTGTGAACTGTGCCACAATAAACATGGATATGCACATAACTCTATAGTACACTGACTTTCATTCCTTCCTTTCAAGTATATACCAAGGAACAGTACTGATAGATCAAATGCTATCTCTATGTTTAGGGTTTTCTTTAAAAAAGAAATGTCATCATGATTTCTATGATGGCTTTACTAATTTACATTACAAGATGCTCTTATACACCTCTTTTTTCCATGCATCTTTGTCAACATTTCTGATTTCTTATATTCTTGATGATAGCCGTTCTGATTGGTTTGAGGTGAAATCTAGTTTTGAGCCACACTTCCCTGGTGGCTAAGGATGTTGAGTATTTTTATATAATTATTCCCTGCCAAGATCTTGACTGAAACTTCATAAGAAACCCTGAAACCAGAACAGTGAGCTAAGCTATTCCCAAATTCCTCACCCACAAAAAGCATAAGCACTGATGTTTTAAATTGTTAAGCCTGGGGGTAAATTATGGGGTAATCAGTAACCAATAAACCCAACAAGAAACTGGCCACAATGAAGCCAAGACAAACAGAGGAGGGGAGGAAAATGAGAACTTGATGGATGTTTGAGTTTCCCCTTCTCTGCCACCTTCTACACAATAGCAAAATGGCCCTCGGCCTGCTGATAGATGTACAGTCTCCATCTTACATAAGTTCCCAACTTCCCTTGCTTTCTGCTAGAGTTACTTCTTCAAGTGCCGTTCTCAAAATACCTTAAAGTATTGACCTGGATTATGGAAATCTTTTCCTAGCTTCTTTAGGCTTAGAAAAGCAAACCCTCTTTAAAAAAAGAGTGTCCAACCTCAACGCACAGCACTAGGTTACAGTGTTCTCTGAGTGTGAGATCATGTAGGAGGGATGCGGAGGAGGAAGAGGAGGAGACAAATTGGGAAGTAAAAACTTGAGAACCCTGTTCCCCAGACTACCAAAGGGACAGATGGAGGGGTAAAGCTAAGGGAGCCTTGAAGCTACCTGTAATCCCTGGTAAAGTACAAAGTCAAGTTTCCAGTATCGGTATGTGTTTTGAACACACATGCACACGCAATCCCATAAAAACAATGCTGACAGTAAGCACAGCACAGTGACAGCACACATTTCCCGAGGATCTTTCCCAGCATGTGAGTTCAGAGGGAAGTGCTGCGGGAGGTTGCTAAAATATTGAAGTCACACACAAGCAGTGGAATGCTCTCAGTAGCTCACCAGTGATGAGTGCAAACCACAGACCCGTGATAATACCACATGCGTGGCCAGCTCGGCAGAGCACTTCACGTGGGGTCTCTCATTAGCCCCTAGGATTGCTCCCAGGTGGAGCCACTGTTCCTACCTAATTCTGAAGATGAACAGATGTCAACAGAGCAGCACCAGCATCAGAGCCACAAGTAGAACTAACCCCAAACTCTCCAGTCCCGGGCCCTAATTTCTGCCTCACAGTTTCTTAAGGGTTATTAGTAAGTGACACTTCCACAGCTAAGGTGACCCTCCCATTCCTCCCCAGAAATGGACAGCTCTGGAAGAACACTCTTCACTCCCAACCTGGGACCTGGGAGGCACTCCTAGAAGCAGAACGAGCCAAGCTGAGAGCTGGAATCTACCTCCTGCCACTGAAAACTCCTTCCCTGACCTAGCTACAAAATCCCGGGTCAGCTAAACTCCAAGAGGGCGTTCACAGCTGGCACTCTCTCAGTGCCGGAGACTGCTTGCCCCTAACACAGGAGCGAGCTGGGAAACTGCTCATATGCTTTATGGGGAGTAAAATATGGGTACAGGCTCTAACTGGAGTTGTAACTCCTTCACAAGTCTGGGGCCGGGGAATAGGGTCCCCAAGTTCCTAAATCTGTCTGTCTCCTCCTTTCTCCTCTTTGTGCCTTCCACAAGTCACACCCAGAGAACCCTGCAACCTAATGAAGCCAAACAAAACTGAGCCACAGACACAGCTTAGTCAGTCGCCCTACACCCACTCTCACCAACGCCCCAGAGTACCTTTCTGTCACTTTCCTTGGGTTCCCAAGGAATTCATGCTTGGGGATGGGGGGCAGTGAAGGAACAGGAAGGTGTCCTGAGCACATGGCTGGACGTGTGGTCAGGGCACTGCAGTTTTAAGAGGTGAGCAGACACCTTCCGAAGCCTGCTAGGTACTGTCTCTGCTCCAGGCTCCCCGGGTGAAACCTACCTCAGGGGGCACTTCGAAGGACTCCACCTCGACCTCGGTAGAGTTAGTTTTGTCCGAAGCCTGCTGGGCTTTTCCGTCATCAGCTTTGTCAGCCTTGTCCTTACTGGAGCCTTTGGATGACCTGGAGTCTTTGCCCTTGGAAGTCAACTTGAGGTCCTTCAGGGCCTTGGAGAATTTAGACTCCTGGACCCCTCCGGAGAGGATTTCCACAGCAATTTCTACCAGGATCCTGCCCCTGAATGACACTCCTTCCCCAGAGCCTTCGTTCAGCTCCTGGTAGTCGTCTATCAGACTGTGGTTCCTGGGGGAGCCGTACAGGTTGATCCAGGCAGGTCCAAAGGTCGGGAGGAAGCCTAGGAAGACCCCAGCTTTAGTCACCAGCTTGTGCCCTTGAGTTTCTCCTATGTTTGCTTTATGAAAGTTGCTCACAAGCACTTAAAAATGTAGACTGTACAGAAAGACCCAAGAAAAAAATACTTACTGGATAGCCTGTCACCAAAATGCATCTTGTTATATTTCCTCCTAGTCTTTTTTCCCATGAATGCTTATACCTGTTCACATCTGTAATCATTTTAGAAAGACCAGCACACATGCACAACCTTCCTTAATTCAACAAGTGTCGATCGACTCCTAACATGTGCCAGGAACCATGCTAGACAATAACCAGAACGTCCAGGAGAGGGTGGGCAGAAACAGACATTATAAATATTTACCTTATAGACGCTACAAAGGAGCTATGTTTTGTGCTACAAGAAGAAACAACAGACTGATGTAGCATGAAGAGGAGTTGGGGGCAGAAGGGAAAGAGAGAGAGAGAGAGAGAGAGAGAGATTCTGGGCAGAGGAAATGGCAGGTGTCCATTGAAAAGGAGCACAGAGCTAGAGACTGAGCTAAATAAGAAAACTGGAGGAGGATTTAGAGTTCTTGAAAAGGGCCTTGGTCTTTATCCTAAAACCTTTGTTTGAAAGAATTTAAACAAAGATGTAATCATCTCTCTTCAGACTTCTCTGGCTGCAGGGGGAGGGCAAACTGGGGATAACTCCATCTTCATAACTGAAGGCGCTGTGGCGTGGCCTGGTTACAGAGATTGAGAGAAGGAATGTTCGAAGTATGCTCTAAGCACGCTACTGAAAACCTGGTGGTCTTTAACTTATTCCTGGCATAAGTATTTCCCTTGCTAAATACACAGTATCTGAAGAAGGCACCGTGCCTCTGAAGACACCTGTTTGGCACCATGATGTTCCCTTCTGATTGGCAGGACACTGTGTGGGTCTGCAGGTGACTGCTTGGGTTCAAACCTCAGCTGGAACTGCCAAGCAGTGTGGCCTTGAACAAGTTTTTAACTTCCCTATGCCTCAGTTTCCGCATCTGGAGGAAATGTAATAGCACCTGTTTCATCTATCAAAATTAACAGTTAACATCCAGTAAGCACTCAATGGTATCATCTATTGATATGAGTATGAATAAATGCATCATTGTTTGTTTAACAATTATCCCAGTATTGACAATTAGGTATTTCTGTACATCTTACTGCTGAGAACAGTTTTGTGCGTTAATGTTTCTTTACTTCCAGCTCCATGGCTGCAGGCTGGATTTTATCTCTTCTTTGAGAAGACTTAAAGAAGCAGGGGGACTGTGTTAAAAGGGATGGAGAGATTCTATGGTCCCTGATGTCTGTTCTTTAAATATTCAAACACATCTTCCTGAACACCATCAAGAGCTTCTGAGAGAGGCAAAAAGAGAGAAAGAGAGAGAGAGAAAGAGAGAGAGAGAGAGAGAGAGAGAGCACTTTTGCTAACAGGAAGGTGGTCCATAGCAGGTGGGGGATGGAGAGGAGGGGAAGAAAAATAAAAAGAATTGAGAAATGTTAAGCACATGTACCAATTTTAATAGGCTAAGTACATCTTATCTACTAAGGCGAATGTACATATTATGAACTAAAACGTATACTAATAAATGAAAGTTTAAAAAAATGTTTCTAGAAAGTTATAAATAAAACATGTTCCGATCTGGTTAGGAAATCATGTAGATAGGTGAGTGAGTTTTGCGTGGAGTGATAAATACTTCCATGTATGAAGAAATGGAAAATAAATATGTATTGAGGTCTTTCTATGGTGTCACTCATAGAAAGGGCATAAAAATGTCTAAATCTTGTCCTTTACTAAAGCCAAGCCTTCAGTGCAATAGACAAAGAACAGTATATTAATTTCATATATGTGTGATTATATGTTTGCAACCCATTACACGTATGGTATGCAGTGATGTGTTTGAGCTTGCACATAGGTGTACATGTGAGGTATGTGTGTGTGTTAACCAGCATTAATTTCCAGTGCAGAAAAAGATTGCCTGTGGAGTTAAAGAAGGAGCTTTGTTGAGCCATTTAGAGATGATGCTAACTAATTTGGGTTTTGCAAATAGCCTCAAATAGAGAGCGTCCGCTCTTTCCCTGGCCTCCTCTCTTGCCTGGTGCATGGCCGGGACTCTTCCTTCCCTCCCTGGCTGGCTGAGTGCATGACTAGCCATGCTTCCTTGCCGTTTCCACGCTTTCGTGTTTCATCTACGATTAGGCACATAATTACTTGGGGTGGAGACTTTTAAACATGTAAAAGTTTCTCACGACCTACACGTCACACAACAATAATGCAGACAGTAGATTTAGCCTGTGGACCTCAGTTTATCAATCTCTGATCTGACCTCAGGAGAGAGAATAGTGACTTCCTCAAGGACACACAGTGGCATTCATGGAAGACCTGGGGCCAGGACCAAGCAAGCCATTTAGAAATCCTGTAGACAGGTGAGGGAGTCTGAGAAATCTACATGATTTCACTGCCCCAAATCTACATGACACACACCGCAGGCCACAGAGATGCCAAAGGTGCCTGACAGTGCTTGCACTGATCCTCTCTGGGTAAAGACCAGGGCTGTCATAGGATCACTTTGAGGCCTGTTTCCAAGCTGACATGCAGGAGTTTACCTTTATCTCCATCCTGCTCATTGCAGATTGTCTTCAGGTCGATAAAATGGGTTGCCAGCACCACGTCATTCATGCTGCCTTCATCCCACACCTGGATTTTCACCCTCCGACACAAGGGAGGGAACATTTCCTTGAAGACCACCTGTTCATGCCAAATTGGATCAGCACAGTTCTTCTGCACTGTGGTGCGACCCTAAAAACACAAGCGGGAGAATGTGAGCCGTGGAAGGAAGTGACAGTCTAAAGAAAACTCTTCAATCCAGCTGCAGATATAAAGTGAGTTGCTAAAAATAATGCAACTGCTTTCCCCAACACCTATGCAATCTGTGCACCCCATGAATGTTCCCGAGGGCCAATTTTGTCCTGGATGTTGACCCCAGGAACCTGGGGCAAAGAGAGTCATTGGCATAGGCAGGTTCTCATGGGCACATCAGAGCGAAACTAACACTTGTGCTATGAGCAAGAACTGCTCCAGGCATGTCCAGGAGTGCAGTGGCCACAGACCCAGAGCTTCTTGAAGGCTATGACCTTGGGTGAACCACAAATGCAGCCTGGCCCTTAAGTTTCTCAACGTAAAATGGAAGTGATGTTCTGCATGACATCCAAGCTTGACCCAAGTCAAAAATACACCAGTGTTCACCCCACCGAAAGGAGGGGTTCAGGTAGGCCCATATTTTGAAGGTAACGCATGTGCCAACCACGGTCAAGTTCTAGCCATAAACCCAGTTTTGATACTTGCAATGTCTCTGGTCCAGGGAAATGCAGGACAAGGGCTCACGTCCACTGTGGAACAGACTAGGAGACACTGCTTATGCCACCAGGCCTGGGGACTGGGGAGTGGTTTGGGGAAGTAGTGAGAGGCAAGTAAGGGTGTCTGCCTGCCTGTGACATAAGCCACCATCATGCAAGCTCTGGTCATCACCTATGGTTAACTCCCTGCACCTCCCTGCCGCCAGACACATGGCCTTCTTGGGACACGCTTCCTCTTTCAAAGCATTTTCTAGTTTTATTTAAACTTTATTTCATTTGACTGAAAATGCCCTGGATGTAGAGCAGGGATCTAGCCCAGGCTCGACAGCATGAGTGACAATGGCCCCTCACCGTCTGCCCGGCGAAGGAGACCTCCACAAAGGGATCCACCAGGTCCTTGCTGTCACCCATGAATGCTTTGGTGACATTTGCCATGATGCTGGAGTTCATTTTGGGCAATCCTTCTGCTCTGTAGAGTCTCACATAGAATCTGGCCCACGGTCTCTCGGATGGAAAACCTTGCGGGATCAGAAGGTTCCTTGGAGAGCAGAAAATTTTAAAAATTAAAAGCTCTCTCACTTGGAAGACTGTAAAGGGGAAATGTGAAAGCACTTTGGGAGCAGAAAGCAAGATCTGAAATGCAAGGAGACTGAGATTCACCACTGCAACACACTTTCTTCCGAGTATCCGTGACAGCAAAGGACATAAACAGAGGAAGCACAAACCCCATCGTTCTAGAATTAGAGGGGACCCCCCTCCCTCCCCACTTAAAGAGATGCATTTATGACTTTCACACACCAGTAGTGGAAACTATAACTCATTCAAAGAAAACTCAGCTACATTCGGATAAATTACATAAGCTCAGGGATAGCTTATCTACAACCGGCCATTAGAGACTGGAAAGCTGAATTTCCAAAGGCCAGCCATGCCTTGAGTGGATGCACCCTGCTGTCTCTGATGGAGCAGAAGCCAGGTGGCCAAGCGGCAGAGGTGGCTGCTCTTACACACCCATGAGGAAAGGGGTGGACAGCGGGGAAAGAGACAGACAGTGCTACACAGCATTTCTCCCAGACAGCCCCATAGACCTGTCTCACTTTTCTATTTGCTCCTCGGCGTTGGAGGTTTTGGGGTTGCTCTTTAGGGTGTCGCCTTTGCTGGTCACAATGATGTCACACTTCAGGTAGCCTTTGGTGCCAGTCCTGATGTCGCCAGGGTCTGTGAGCAGTGCCCACTTGTCACAGAACTGATGGCCTGTAAAAGCACTTGGACAGCTCATGTCTCCGCAGGTGGGTTGGTGGCAGCTCTCATCCTGTCCCTGCCTCCAAGGTCCCCCTGCACCCTCTTCCTCTGTTGCTCAAGGCAGTAGCTCTTCTCAGTTATTCCCAAGCCCCACGCTGCCCTCACCCTGCTATGTCCCACCCAGCCTATCACAGGTATTTGGGAAACTTTCTGCCTGGTGAATCACCTAGACAGAATCCCTGCAGTGACCAGCGAGGAGGACAGTAATGGAGCACAGAAATCACCAGTGTGGCTCATAGACCTTTCTGTTTGTCCTATGCTGTGAAAAACTTCAAAATTGCTTACAAAATCTAGACTTCATCTTCAAAAAAAAAAAAAAAAAAAAGTAAGATCGGGTGACACTAAGGTCCCATTTCCACAGGACAGCGAATGCTAAAGGAACTGGGTGGCCAGTGCTCTTTCCCTAAGGACTGTGACCTCTCGTTCCCTGAGATGCCCTCCTCCACCTCCCTCCCGAAGGTGCAGCACTCAGGTCACTGCTCCTAGTCACCCCACTGCCTGGCCCCTGTCATGGGACTTGGAATCACTGTAGGAGAGAAAGGGACATTCACGACAAGTTCTGTTCGCTGCTCACTCTATTACGAATCAGTTCTCATCCTTAGACAAATTGCCTATTGGCAGAATTTCACTTTCCTGAAAATCAGGGCTAATAATTATTATAGGAGCCCTGATATAAAATGCCATAGTTTGTATTATATGTTAGGCTCTCTACTAAGCATTTTATGTACATTGTGAGCTTAATGTTTCAAAAACTCTGACGGTGGTGTTAGAGAGAAAACTGAGGGACGGAAAAGTCAAATGCACCACCCGAAGCTGCACAGCTGGGAAGCAGCAGAGGGGAACTGGAATTCAAGGGTGCTGATCCCAGAGCCTGTGTTTCCCCCAGGGCTAGAGATTGAACCCAATACCTCACACTGAGCTACATTCCTAGCCCACTAATTTTTATCTTTTACTCTGAGACAGGGTTTCACTCAATCTTCAAGTTGGGCTCGGCTTCCCAGAGTTCTGCCATGACAGGCATCTGTCACCATGCCCAGAGCGTACTCTTAGCTTCTATGCTCTGTTACTTCTGGTCACGTCTCACCACTCTACATTAGACAGACTTTGTTTGAGAAGAAAGAATCTCCTCAGACATGGACATACAGTTCTATCATTAAGTTATAAAACATTTGAGGACACGAGCCACAGTGCATTCTTTTGGTGTAATCAGCCCTCAGTGTCACGGCGTGGATGGCCGAATGGCAGAGTGGAAAGTGAGAGGAACTCCGAGTGCTGTAAACCAAAGAACAGCGAAGCGGGAGAGGTGTTTCTTACCAGGCTGGCTATACACAGTCCCCAGGTCTACCTTGAAAGAGCCGATCAGAACGCTTCCTATCAGCTTGTGGTGGAAGACCTGACGAGAGATGGAGGGCAAGTCCAACACGGTTATCCCTGTGAAAAGTCTGAGAACTGGGTTCATCCGAGAGGCTTCTTGGCCTTGCTCTTTGCCTGGCTTTGAGCCTCATTTAGAGCACATGGAACACAGTGGAGTTTGGTCATCAAACCATAGGGCCATGAAGAACCCCCAGAAACTTCTCACTGCTACCTCATCCTCCAGAAAGCTTTCAGCCGTAAAAGTCACCCGAGAGTTTTCTTTAACCAGAATGAACACTAGAACAGTCTGCCCTTCCATACCCACTTCTGCCTGCTGAAACTCTCCCCATCCTTCAATCCTAGACCCTAGTCTTTCAAGAAACCTCCCCTGACACCTCTTCAACTCTTTCCTTTCTCCCTAACTCCCCAAACTCTTTGCTCCCAGCATTCTCCAAGAACCCATCTCCAAGGGCCATGAAACACTTGATAATAAGGGACAGAAGAAGATGGGCAGTCACCCTTGACATTTGCTGTGTTAAGAAGTCAACAGAGTGCCAAGCTCAGTTACAGAAGTAGATTTTAAGGTGAATCTTGCCAGGTGAATCCTTGAGGAAGTTCTAAAGGAAGCTGGCAGAACTGGTGCCCTTCCAGATGCTACACCGTAGGAAAAACTGGTAAAGAACCAAGAGTTGTTTCATTTTAACCCAGAGGAGAGAAAACTAGAGTGAGGGAGGTAGAGAAAGGACAATGGAGAGGCAAGTGTCCTGAAATTGTGGGAGCTCTGCTCTCCAGAATGGTACAGGTCCTCCTGTGTGGCTCTCAAACACCACATGAAAGATCTCAGCTCAAGATAGGGACAGTTTTTATACCACTCAGAGCCTCTAAGCAAGGGAAAGATTATTTCCCTGGAAATAATCATTCTGTCCAAGAACCCCCTACCCTGGAGAGAGGGAGCGCGATCCTGCACCAGGTGGGCATTAGACTACGTGGCCTCTGAACTTTTCTCTAACTATAAACCATCAGAGTTCCTTCCGTACAGGGCAGTTTTCTCCCATCTTCTACCTCCCATGTGGCTTTGTTCATAATGGTCAAGAAACATTCTGCGATTAACAAATGATTGAATGATGGTGATATGAGGATTTTTCAGTCTCTAAATATCTCCTTTTGGCAGAGGCAGAGAAAAACAATACATTCAACCAACCTCAAGAAATGATATCCCTGCCCATTTCTCTTTCCACTCTTTCTGTGGCCCAAAGTTTCCAGCAGTGCCAGAGAACTGAGGGGAAGTAAGGACAGCTTGGCCGACAAGATGAGTTATTTAAGGACACACAGAGGAAGCTCGGCCTGTAACTTGCCATGCTTGCTGTGGCAAATGTGGCTTCCCAGAGGACCAATAATGATCAGCTCACTTCATGGGAAAGGGTCCCTGTGGACAAGCTGGAGTATGTCTTCGAGTAATACAGGGACCTCCCCAAGTCATCCAGTTAATGTGTGAGTGACACGCAACCCTGGCGTGTCAATCGTGACAGTGGCAGAGTCTGGGGACGTCTCACACACAGAGGCCTGAGGCCCCGTGTGCCTTGGATCACTGCTGAGGGAAGATGATCTTGGCACCATCATCCCAGCCTAATTGTGCCAATAACATCTGCTTTCAGCTCTCTCTCTCTCTTCTTCCCCGATTTAAATTTGTTCCGGGCATGCTGAATTTCAGTTCATGAACTAGCAGAAAAGTCAAGTTATACATTTCACTCCAAAAGGAAATTTCTCTCTATGAGTCACTTAGGGACACCAAAGCATTATCTTCTTCCAAGTAAGAGGAAGAGAGACACGCACTACCTAAAATCCATGTGTTCCACAGTCATGACCTTGTCTACAATCCAGCACAAGAACTTAGCAATGACAAGGTGTGGTGGTCCAGATCTGGGTCCCAGCACCCTGCAGGCTGGGGCAGGGGGATCACAAGTTTGAGGCTGCCCTGGGCCACACAGTGAGATTGAGGTCAGTAAAAATCCGTCCTAAATAACAACAAAAACCTGCAGAGCCACTCTCATAAATAGACAGTCGCCTGAGTGATGGAACAAAGTCCTGGGCAATATTCCAGATCCCAAAATATCTTGTCGCCATGCCTGAAATTCAAACACTAAGAATGTTTGGCTCTTGATGGCTTTTCATTCCTCAAGAGTCACATTTTTCAAGTGCTCCTGGGAAGGAGAATATAACTCCTCTAGGACCTGGGCATTAGTGCAGGGCTTTGTTACTGTTCCTCGCTGGGATCTATTATACATGTTTCTCTGTTAAACTGAGTGGATGATAAAGACAGGCAAGGGAGACATAAATTGCCAAGTCAAGCCATGTCGTTTTCACCATCCCCGTGAGAGATGGTGTGACTGTGGGGGGACATGCCTGTTCTCTCACTCTTACACCCATGCATAAAGCAGGGCCCAGTCCACATGTGCTCTGGGGAGACAGCAGTCACTTCTCAGTCCACCTCACACTGCTCACACATTCACCCTGCACCTCACCTCCCCATGGGAGAAGCACCCCCACACACAGGATAGATGCCATCTGTGGTCCTTTGGTCTCTGTCCTTTTGCTGAATAGTGTGATGACCCCACTAAGCCTCCCTTCTCTGCCACTGAGACCCGAAGGACAGCTTTGACTCAGGTACTTCCCTTCCAAGTCCTGGCCTCCAGGGTAGGCAAAGCTGGACGGGGCATGATGTGCCAGGTCAGCAGCTCTCTGCTCTGATCGGTGGGACCAGCAGTTCCCCTTGGAGGACTTCAGAAGTATCTACGCAGCAGACCCAATCTTCCCTGGGCAGGTCTTAAAGTCCACACTCAGAAGCTACTTTTAAGCACCCCAGTGGCCAGAATTTGCTCCAAATTACATCCTCTGGACCAGCATTACTATTGATGAGACTGACATATTTGGTTGTTTCCCAAGTCTGCTCTGTTTCTCCCTCTGTGGCCCACAGGAAGGGAAAGGTTGTGATTAATGACCTTCAGTGTGTTTACCATCTACAGAGAGAAGCACTAACATTTGCCTGACTTAAAAAATCAACTACAAATGGCAGTCTATTAAGATGTCTTGAAGTGTGTTTCGCATCCCCACATATGATTAGTAACAACTTTACTATAGCTCACACTTGATTCCAATAAATATAGATCTTCTTGGGATGGTTTTCCTCCCCAAACTCCTCTCTACCAAGATCCAGTCGGCTAGCTTCAAACTCACCAACCCAGATGCACTTTCCTGAATGTATTCAGCCCTAAGATTGCTGAACTTCCCTGGAGAATCTCCAGCACCTAGAATCCCTGGGCCCGCATCTCCCCATGACCACCACCACCATTAGGTGTACTTACTGAGATTTTGATGATCTTGTCAAAAAGATGCACTTGGGGCCCAATGAAGTCAAAGACAAAGTACTGCAAACACAAAGTTCGTGCTGACCATCAGCTCCAGCTTTGTACTGAGGACCGTGGACCAAGAGTGAACGCAGAACCCAGCACCATCCCAAGCTGCTCCTGCACAGTCCTCAGTGCATGATCAGGTCATCACCCGATCGACTGACCATGCCCCACTGCAGGTCACTTAGGTGATTTTGAATTCTTTAATACAAAACAGAATGCCACCAACCGCATTCTTACATAGCATGTATGTGAGCGCTGCTCTAAAATGGGCAAAAGAAGTGGAATTGTTGGGTATAGATTGTATGAATATAAATCTTTAACATTAAACTATCTGTCCAAAGTGGGCACAGTCCCACCAGTAGCCTACGGGAGTATCTGTCTCTCCACACCCTTACCAATCCTCCATATCGCTGGTTATTTTCTTTATTTCTCTTAATGATAGGTGAAAATGACATCTTAGTATGAAATCATATAGGAATGAAATTGATCAAAATCTAGCTTTTTAAAATTCTTCAGTTTCAGACAGCTCTGTGAAATTACCCAGGAGATTGACCAAGGAGGAAATAATACAAAGAAGTTATGGATAAGGAGATTTTTAATCTTATAGAAGTGACTGAATTTCAAAGTTGGAGATAAGAAAACTGAAGACTAAAGAATTTAAAAGAGGTTGCTTAGTTTTCATTGCTAGTTACTTTTGGACCTGAAGCCAAACTAGGAGAGTATTTCTCCTAGTTATCATAAAAGAGGCTGGGCAGGTGCTGGATGTTTCATCTGACCTTTGATGTGGCCTCAAATGTGAGGTTGTGTGGCTCTCAGATGCAGAAAACCAGAGCACTGTCTGTGTGCGGTTGGTTGTGTGTTTTGGGAACCAAAAGAGTTTGGGGAGACAGGATTGGGAGGCTATCACCCCTCGAGCTCTTTTCCTCTTGGGCTTCAGGATTGAGGAATGGCACACTGGAGGTGGACATAGCAGTAAGAAAGGCATACCTGACCCTAACAGCTTTATTTCCAAAGGCAAAGTGGAAGAGCCAAAATATAGTATCAGGCACTTGGAATAGTGGCCCTTAAATATTAATGAAAAGTGACATTATATGCATTTTCTTCTGAGAAATAAGAAAATACGTATGCTATTTTAGAAAATATTCATATATAGTAGGAGTTTAAACTTTTTATGAGTCGTGGTGTTCAAATTCATGTGGAAAGTTAGCCTTTGTGGAAAGCCCTTCATTCTCTGATAGGGCTGAACACATACCACGTGGTGGCTTCCCTCCGGTGGATACATTGCTCTTAGTGGTGGCTGTTTCTGCTTAGCTTTGGGTGTTTCAATCTAATCCCTTCAAGCAGGTTCTTGAGACTTCTGGGCCAGGGTTCTTTAGACTAGTTGTGTCAGCATCTGGCAATACTTGGGCTTGAAAATTAGGTAAAAAACTACAACAAATATACTGAGTTCACCTTCCTGATTACACTTGAGCCCAATTTAACGTCATTTGGATCCAGGACTTGTATTCATAATTATAATAATAAATAACAAGCCTTAGGGCTTTGGAGCTTTAAAGCATTTTCAGAACACTATCTCATCTCACACGCATAGTAACAAATAATGCTTTTCAGGTGGGGAGTGGAGCATGAAGGAAAAACTTTTCAAGACTCAAGACTCAGGAGTAGAAACCATAAAGAGGAAAGGAATTAACAGCTCAAGTGGGATTTGGGTATTTTCTGTCAATGTCATTATCCACTTTCTCCCTGCCTTCCTTTTTAACTAACACTCCCATTAGGATAATAATTGAGAGTTTACTGCATTTTCTGTAATTTGTGGTGTCAAGCCACCTACAGGAAAACAGGAGCTCCTGTGCACTGTTAGTTAGAGTATAAATTTTTACCTCTTTAGGAAGTAATTTGGTGATATCAAAAATGTAAATGTACTGTGCATACACTGTGCCTCAATTATGCTGGTAAATACTACTGTAAGGACTAGCAAACAGGGGAAAAAATAACATGAGAGACTGACTTAGTACAGTATGATACACCAAAGCAGGGGCCACGAGGGGAACGTGAGATTGATGTGCGTGCCTGCTGCAGACTGACCCTCAAGGCTCTGTCTTGTGAAAAAGAACAGGGCCCAGCACAGCGTATACAGAACTGTTTGGGTATAATGCATATTTTATTCCTGGACATGCTTGGAATCTCTCTGGGAAATGGCCAGATGCCTGGAGGAATAGTCACCTCTAGGACAAGGTCTAGGACATTAGGGACCAAAGCCAGAGGAAAACAAAAATTTTCGTGTCATTTCCAACTCTGTCATTTTTTTCCATATAACATTCTGATTTTAAAAAGAGAATTAGTAGGTTTAACATTAGAAATGTCTCTCTTTAAGTTTTTCCTCTATAATTTCTGCACAGCTTAGGAAAACACAACCATTTTACCCTCCAACACAGTATACCTCATTGCAATCAATGGTTAAGTTTCCAACATCTCTGGCACGGAAAACAATGTGTAGGTCTGTGCTGACAGCAGTCAGTGTGTGTTGACTGCAAACTCAGAGCCTGTGGTGGGTGACGACGAGCTTATAAGAAATAAATAGCTCTGTTAATGTACCGATGCCCTTAAAACTGGAAGGCTTCTTTGCCTCTCCTCTCCATTATTTCTTGTAGAGAACGGTTCAGGGCTGTGTGTGAGGGGACTGAGAGGATCTGCCATGAGCCTGGGGGAGGACTGGGCAGGGGTGCTGAGGCACAGCTTTCCTGGTCCATGAAGACTCCCACAGGAGGCAGAGGAGAGGACGGATGCAGTGGGATGGCGCTGCCCACCCATGACTTACTTCATTATAAAAGGGGCTGTTGGTCCCCTCCTTCACTGTGCTTTGCTTCTTCTCATCCCCGATCTCGATGGTCACAACAGGGTCGATGTTCTCACCCACCAGCTGGCGGGCCTCAATGATGGTTACGGAAATCTGCAACACAAAGGACCATGCAGCCCACTCTGACCTCATTGCCCATCTATGTGGAGGACTGAGGCTGGGCAGGAAATGCTGATCACTTACTTGATAGGTTTGGGACTTGACCTCCCCATCGTGGATCTTAGTCTGCAGTTTTGATCTACCGGAAAAAGGGAACACGCTTCAGATCCACAGCCGTAACAGTATCTCCCAAAGCTAAGTGGCTTTATTGCACTGTGTCACATATTCTCGCCACTGCTCTGAAAGAGAAAGGTCTGGACAATTAACTTCTCTCTAACTGTTTCCCTACCTTAAAAACGCAGCTGAAAAGGGGAACTTACCATAGGAGGTGACTGCTAGAATTAAATGATGCAATGCTTATAAATTTAACCCAATGCCTGGCAAGAATAAATATTAGCAGTTTCTTAGGACAAGACTGCCCATACTGTATGATTTTAAGGACCAGAACCTGAGATACCTCAGAAAGTTAATGGCAAAACTGGGTTAAAACAAGGATTTCCCAGTCTTCTGCCTGAGCCTGTACATAAGATTGGTTCCTCATTTCTAGTAGATATAATAATTTGGAGTTTTGTGATTGCTTTTGAGAGGACTGAAAAAGGAGAAAATTGGAAGGAATGGTGAAGATGTCATCTCACAGAGACTACATGTTCCGGGCATTTCATTCATCTGGACTGTCACGGGTAATTGAAAAGAGACGTGAAACACCTGCACCCTTCATGACTGGATGGCAGTAGAAAGGCATGAAGGGTCCCTGTCACCCCAGGAGCAGCTGGCAGGAAAGGAGCCAAGCTTGAGTTCCTATTAAGTTTTGTTCTTCTGGCTTCTAACAATGCCATCTTGCATTTTACTTATTCCATTTCTGCTAAATGTAATGATTGAGTTCAGCGGGGAATAGAATATGCCAGTAAAAATCTCAAGGTTTTGGAGTCAGACTGCTCTGAGCTAGAATATTTGTTCTCCCAATATGGGACTTTAGCTTTAATTTCTTTACATGAAAGTAGACATAATAATTTGTATCTCATAGGATTTCCCTGAGGCCCAAAGGAGATAATGTATATAAGAAAAGACAGCTACCATTTAGTATGTTCATTAATAAAGTTGCAAATTCACACTGGTTGTTCATTATGTGAATCCAAGTGTTAGACTTCGAGAAAAGTAAAGATGAAGAAGTCACCATTTGGCCCTAACAATTTGTCCAGGGCAGAGAGAACAAAAGCATATATGGAAAAAACTAGCATAAAATGTGCCAGGGCTGGGAGGAAATATGTGATAGAAGAAATGAAGAGAAGAAATTCCCAAGGGCTCCATAAACAACAAAGACTTCACTGCAGAGGCTGGATCTTAACTGAGCAATGGTGGGTGGGTAGAATTTCCATTGCTGGAGACTGCTCCAACCAAATAGAAAAGACACTGCTACTCCTTATTTCTCTTTCCCCTGCCTTCCTCCATGAGTTCTGTCATCCTGGTGAAATAAATGACAAAGGAACATATTGAGAGATATTAAGGAATGACTGAAATCACTAGTCAGAGGCTGGGGCAAGGGGTGGTGGCTGCCAGGGCGCAGTGTAGGGGTTCGTAGTTCATATATGCACACAAATGTCATGAGCACTGACCAGATTTACTGATAGTAACACCTCTGAGAGGAAAAAGAAGTAAAGGGCATGGCACAGCACCGTAAGGAAGAGACTGGCATAAACAGATACGGTGGTGTGAAAGCCCTGATGGCCCCCGCTACTGGCTTCTCTGTGTCTGAGCTTGTCTGTCCTCTGCCTTACAATCTCTTCCCCTGGACACGGCTTGGCCTTGTAACTTGCACTTGGCTAGCACTGCATAGTGACTCCTCCCAGTTACAATCTGACTCCTCAAGAGATCTTGAGTGCTCTCCCTCTCTCTCTGAATGCTGCCATCGCCACCACGGGACCAAATCTGAACTGTCTTGCTGGACATCCTGATGCCGTGTGATAGAGAGCAAGTGGTCCAGCTGAAGGAATGTTAGACTGACCAAATGCTAGCCGATCCCAAAACTAAAATTAGCTGAGCCACCAAATAACCACAGACACCTGAGGAGTGCAGCTGACAGCTGTCGCAGGCGGTAAAACAATCCACTCAACCCAAAGACTCAAGAATAATACAGATGCCCAGTGTGTTAAGCCACTGATCGAGGAGTTAATTTTTACACGTCAATAGCTAACTGATAAAGCATGCAGAACGCAAGTTTGCTTTGAATTGTTGTTGGTAGTTTAAAAACCACTTTCTCATTTGGAACAAACATGAAGCCAAGAAAACAAGTATTTTGATGAATTCAAGAGGAAGAAAGTGGTGACTCCCGAGTCTGTTTTCTGCTGTCGCTGCCCTTCTGGCACCAGGAGGGACATGAGCACACCTTCCTCAGGAGGAGATTTAAGACCTGCAGCCAGTAGACTCGGGAATCGGCCTGCTGAAAGCTGTCCCTGACCCCTCTCAGGAGGCCAGTGCTTGGAGAGAATGCCGAGTGGACACAGCAGTCTGCCTCACTGCTTAGAATTGCGGACAGGTCTGCAGGAGTCCCTGACTCACAGGAGGTGCTCAGTAAACACACGACCACTGCCTCAACACTGTACCTCCTTTTTGGAAGCGCTGACAAGGCAGGAGTGCCGGACACATCCTCGTGTATCAGATCTCCTTCTGGTCCCTCCTGCTGAAAAGGTCTCTCCTGGGATGCTTCCGTGTCACTTTGACCATCTAGAGGAACAGACAAGGGAAGAAAACCCTGTTAAATGGTGACCCAAAAGTGATCAAGTCTTGACTCTGTGTCCGGCACCACGCCAGGCACCAGAGGGCACAAGCGGATTAGCAAATGCTCTGCCTCCATGAAGCTTCACAGCCTATTGGCAGAAAAATCAGACACACTTTTCAATTTTTCTCAAAATACATCTTCTATCTGTTTCAAAAACGCATAGATCTATATGGATGGTTGTAGGAAAAGAAAATTGCATGATGAAACTTAGGCTCTCAAGGCAGGACCACGCACAATGGAGACTGAGATAAGAGCTTTATCAGCACAGCTCAGAGATGCCTGGGGAGCTGTTAAATGCCCAGGCTCTGATTCAGTGGGGCAGGGTGGGGTGGGGGGAATCAGCATCTCTAACAGCAAAACTCCAGGCAAAGACAGTCCTGCTGTGTAGCCAGTTCTCTGAAAAGCTGGCAGGGCCTGATCCCTGGGGCCTAGAACGTTGGTTTATGCGGAGTAAAAGGTCTCTGCAGCCATGGTTAAGCTGGAAATTTTGAGATGAGGCAGTTTTCTTGAATTATCAGGCAGGCTGAAATTGCGACTGCATCTATCTTTACAAGACGGAGGCACAGGGGGATTTTACACAAAGCAAACAGTAGCGACATGAGCAAGAGGACGAAAGCTAGACTGATGCTGCCGCAGACCAAGGAATACCACAGCCCACGTTTATAGTTTGGGTCTTGACTGTCCCTCAGAGGCCGCATGCTCAGGGCTTGGTTGCAGCCTGCAGTGCAATTTAGAGAAGGTGGAACCTTTGAAAGGTGGGGCCTGGTGAAAGGAAGTCAGGTTTGGGGGGAGGGGGAGACCTTGAAGGGGATGTTGACATCCCAGCCTCTGCTTCTTTTTCTCTTTGTTTTCTGGCTGCCACAAGGCAAGGAAGCTGGCTTTCCCATGTGGTCCCTGCTTCACTGCAAGCCCCAAACGACAGAACAAGCCACCATGGACCAACACCTGCGAAACCATAAGCCAAAATCTGTCTCTCCTCCTCATAGCTGTTTGTCTTAGGGGTTTGGTCACTGTGATGGAAAGCCAACACCAGAAATGTGGAGGGGCAAAGAACGTCTGGAGGGAGAGGAGCCCTTGATTTTGAGCCTACCATGCTGATTTCAGGCATCTGGACTTCATCGCTGTGAAAAATTAAATCTGGTGGTTTAAGTGCTCCAGTTTCAATAATCGAAGTTATCTATCCTAGGGAGGGTAGGCTTCGTGGGAAGCTTTGGGAAACAAAGAGGCAAACACTTGGTCATCTTAGCCCACTGGCTGGCAATCACATCCTTTGGGTCCTTTCCGCCACCCCTGTATCCCAGGGAGCCCATCTGGAAGGCCGACTGATGCCAAGATTGTTTGAATTTCCCAGGTGACACTGATGTGCAGCAAGTTTGAGATCCACTTCTCATTCGGGTTTTGGCAGAGACAAGAGTGACTGGGCCTCCCTAGCACACCAAGAGACTCTGCGTGGTTCAGTCCGAAGACCTCAACCCAGAGATCTGGGCACGAATCCCAGCCCTTTCCCTTTCCAGTCTTATGATTTATTTCTCTCAGCTCTATTTTTCCTATCTGTAGAATAAAACAGAGTTAGTTCTATGTACACCACAGAGTTCTCCAGAAAATTAGTCAAAATACATAAATCCCTACACAGTGCCTGCCAGATATACTGGGTGTTGAAGATTATAGATTCTAAGTGGAGTGGCTTGCTCAAGCTCACACAAAATTGCTTGACATTATTTTTCCTTCCCTATAAAGTGAAAGCACAAGGTGAGAAAAGTGGTTTTGAACTTTATAAAGCCACACAGTCCTTTTATAAGTGTCATTTTATATTGAACCTCTATATAAAATAAAAATCCATTTTCGCCACAATGTTCCAAATGCCACGATCTGGAGTGGAGGCAAGAAACCTCCTACAAGCCCCTCACCAGTCTCTCCAGACACCCCTGAAACCATTTCTCAGAATCCTGGACTCCCTGGGACTCAGCTAAAAACACATTAATCATCTCTAAGATACTGTCCTTATTCCAGCATGTTTTGATTTCAGTTTTAATCAGCCTGCCATGCAAAGCAGCCCTAATCAGAAGACAGATGGGCCCAGGCCAAAGAGCTCCCACAACAGGCGTGGCCTCTGCAGATGCTCGGTAGCCACAGAAGGGATGGCTGAGGGATGGAGCGTACTTTCCCTGCTCTTTTGGCCAGGAGACTAAAGCCAAGCCCAGTACAACCAGGAGGCCAGAAGGAATCTAGTGTCGGGCTAAGCTCCTGGAAGCGGCACAACAAAATAAATACTTCCTCTCCTACTTGAGTACAAGGCCCCTGTGGATGGGGAGCTACTGTCACAGGCTCAAGTTGCCAGGGAAGATTCTAGACACTTGATGTATGCTAGGACCTGTGCTGGGTTAGGTGTTCAAGACATGTCTGGGTTTACATTCTGAGGGTGAGGACCCTGAGGTAGAAAAGCCATCAGCTGATGCTCTCGCTGGATTACCACGCTCTCTCCAATAGACTCACCATGAGAATGCAGGGTGGTCATGTCAGTCACTTTCCCAGACCCTCTGTCCTACCCTATGTGGCTGTCCATCGAACTTAGTGAGCCATCTACATTCCATCCGTCACTGACACCCTGCTCCACCTGGCTTCACCCCACTGCCCCCGTCTCTGTCCCCTGCCCCACTCCCAGCCCCACAGCCCTTCCAACCTGACCTGCTCACTCTTGATTACAGTTTGTCTTCACCACCAGGAGCTGCTGTGCCCAGGGGCTACTTCGCACCTCAAAGTTTCCCTTTGAATATTACTTCTTCCCTGACCCCACCAAGTCTCTACTTCAATGAGCTGAGAATCAGGAGAGACACACCCACAAGCTCCACTTCAGCCCACTGTGATTCTTAGAGTGTTTTCTCCACTTGTAATGTGGGTACCGAGTCAAGGTCCTAGCAACCAGCAGATGGCACAGCCAGAGTAGAATAGTTCGATGGCTTTTGACAAAGCTGTGAGTGAAGGAAAACCACAAAAGCTCATGCAGTTAGTTATGTGGGGCCGCCAGCAGCCAAATTAACTCCACTCCTAGCTTGGGAAGTGAGGGAGAAAGACAGAGACAGAGACAGACAGACAACCAGAGCCTAGAAGGAGTGGAAGTAAGCTTGAGTCAGACTCCCTTCAAGGAGCAGCCCCTCTCCTTCAGCTGGGGGACACAGGCATCTGGACCCCATGCTCTTTCTCCCCTCTCCTATGACCTCCTACCAGGCCCTTGCTGGCCAGACCACCTGAAGCCAGAGGCTCTGGCCCCCAGGTCCTGCCTCCGTAGAGGTCAGCCTGCTGGGACACAGAACAGGCAGAGAAGAATAGAAATTGGCCAGGCAGGCAAAGAGAAGAGCCCTGCACAGGGCTGTCCTCCCTCCAGAATATCCGGTGTCCACCCAGAACCTGAACCAGGGCCCACAGGATGATCAGGGGAGGTGTCCAGTAACTGCATGTTGGGTAACTACCTACTGGATGGGTTAGAGTAATGAGAATCTGAAGGGTGTGAGGCATATACACAGATAAAAGAGCCAGAGACGTTGAGAGTCTCCAAAGATTTCACACAGCAGCCCTAACTTTCCTGGCTGAGGCAAGAAGGAAAGACCAAAGTCTCCCTGCAATCACAGGCCTTAGTCTCCTACGGGGGGCTGGGCCCGCCCAGCAGGGTGGAATTCATTTATTTTCTAGGAGGAGCCTCAGCGCTCTCTGCCCTGTTTGCTTTCTGGGCTGAAGAGTGTGGTCAGAATGAGCCACAAGCCAGTTCCTCTGAAATGCCTGTGGTTGTCTGCTGCAAAGCTCCCCTCCACCCCCGCCCCAGCTTGCCAGGAAGGGTTCCTGGCTGGATGCCACCCTTGGGGCAGGAAAGTGCAGTCTCTGGGGCCAGGCTGACCTGGACTCATGACCCAGTTTCTATGCGTACCGGCTGTGGGACTCAAGGAGAAGCATTCACCCTGTCTGGATCACTATCGTAAAGTGGGGGCCGTGGAATGTGATGTATGTCAAGTAACAAAGACTTATTAAATGTGTCCCAGACACTACTTTTCATAAATTCTTTGAGAAAATAACTATGCCTTATTTAACCCATTTTAAAGGTTGACAGGAAAGCCCTTAAAACTTTTCCACCCTCTCTCTCCCTGATACCATCGATTTAATTGACTGAATAAGTATTTATATTAAGCTTTAAACCTAAAAAGCAATGTTCCCCCTTCCCACCCAAAGGTAATTCTTAGTCAGCAGCAGCAGCAGCAGCAGTACCTCAGGAGGAACACAAGCTGCAGTTAGACAGGGTGTGAGGACACTGAACCGCTGCAGTTGATGGGAGAAGAGATGGACAGAGACTCACCAGACCCAATGCACCATTTTGGTCTAGGAATGGTTCACAGCCGGCCTTGGCCTGGGCCACTCAGCAGAAGTCTCCAGGCCCACACTGACCTGTCTGTGGATCTGATGTGGCTGCACCGACACGGAGGGCCCAGCCCACCATCTGGCATCACTCACTCAGTCGTTCAAAGTTTTGTGCTGTCTACGAGGGAAGTAGCCTTGGGCAGAACATCTGGCCACCTGGTTTTGCAGCCCTATGAGCTGCTCCTCCTGCCTTGCTCGCTCCTGTCCTTGGCCTGGCCTCTGGAGCGGGCAGCCTGCAGACAGGGCCTCACATTCAAAAGAACCCGGCTAAGTTTAGTTTAAGCTCTGTTATAGCCATTTTGAAATTCTTAATGATCTCTTAGTGATGGCTTTGCATTTTCACTCTTCCCTGGGCCTCACCTATTCCACAGCCAGGCTTGTCTGCTATAAGAACTCTGCTTGCTCACTCTCCGCTTCTCCCTAAACTGGTTTGTGAAAGCAGGGTAACAAGGCTGACTGCTAAGACGCGGCGAGGTTAAGTGAGACGGCGTAGGGTCTCCCGCACAGTGGCTCATGGTAAGGCGGTCTCTGTCTTATTTTCAGAATCTCACTTGATCTTCCCCATAGCCGTAGGATCCCAGCAACCCACGTCATGCTCGTTTGATAGAGGAAGAAACTGAGGTTAAAGCCACCCAAACTCACAGGGCAAATTAGACCAGTACGTTTCAAACCCTGTCTCTGCCTCTTCATGGGGCTTCCTCCATGGCCCTGGAGGTGCCCGTCACAGCCCTACTTGGTGATGACCCAGGTCTTGGGACACTTCTCTTCACATCTGGGGTGGGCAGGACTGGGAGAGCCACCTCCTAGCATGGAGATGTCCCCCGTGAGACCCAGAGCAGTGGTCACCTTCCCACCTCGTCTCACCTTGCGCAGCCTTGTTGGCTACGATCAGCCCCTTCTCTGCTTTATTCTTTTTCTTCTTCTTCAGCTTCAGTCCAAACATCCCCTTTCTGAAGAGAAGACAAAGATAAACCAAATTAGGCTACACAACAATGGAAACGAAGTTGCTCGCACATGCTAGAGGGAAGCGAGCTGCCGGCCGAGTGGGCTCCTGGTCCATCCAGGAGGGGTCACGGGTCTGGACTGTTGCTGAAGCAGACAAAGCCTGCCTCAGACGAGGTGCACCGAGGATTCTAGCAGCTGCTGATTCTCCATCTCTCCTGACTTCCCATGCCAGGCACTGGGAGGCCCTCGGGAAGATGTCACATGAACGTCACAGCAACCCTCTCTGCCCATCGTACAAAGGGGGGCCCAGGGTCCTCAGAGCCCAGAGGCTGATCCTGAGCTCACACAGCTCCTGAGCATCGGAGCTCTTCCTGACATTAGAAGACAGAAATGTATAGAAGTCAGCACAGCATTGGGTCACACTGCTGCTTAGTGACTGCTCTTCCAAGGGCTAAGATAAAGACAAAAGTAGAATGAGGGAGGAGACAGATGCCCACTAAAGCCACTTGTTTATCTATTTATGTGCTGATTTGTTTATTCTTTGATCTAGATGAGGACTGAAGGGGCTCTCCACCACCTGGACACTGGGATGGACCACTTTGGGAGAGGGAGTCTTCTGTCCCTAGAGGTACGCAAGCAGAGGGCTGAAGGCTACCGCCAAAGGGTGTTGTCAAAGAGAAAGGCATCAAGAGGGGGCACTGATTAAGGGGTTCCTCGGGTCCCTCAAGATCCTGCTGTGCAGTAGGATGAAAAGAAAGCTCTCCAGAAGCAGCCAAACGTAGGCTATCATAGTTTTCTCATGCTGGGTTTCCTTGTGGACATGGTGGACAGAGGAACACAGTGCCTACTGTACGGTTCTGGGAACAAAATGAGGTAAATGGACCAAAGCACTAGCACAATGCCTGGGACACAGAAAGGGACAAAGCAAGAGTCTTTGAGGAGGAAGCAGTTTTCTCTGATTGCCATCGTCCTCGTTTTCCAGGGATCTCTGGAGAACATACTGGAGGGGGACTCCTCCTTTCTGATATTTCTAAGAGAAAACTTCTAACAGTAGTTCCCACTGCCCTGTTTTCAAAGTGTTTTCCTAACAGGGGAGTCAAAGGCTGGAACCTTTCACACCTGAGCTGCCACTCATGACTCCCCAGGGCTCCCTGCCCTGATCAGTTCATGCAGACGCAACCTGACCTTCCCCGGTTCAGGCCAATGGGCTCTGCAGACTGATGAGGCTGAGCTACTTCCACCTACAAATAGGAAACTTTTGCTAGCAAATGACAACATCCAGAGGGGTGCTGGCTGCTGTAAGGGCTGACACCCCAATCTGAGGCCTCAGCATTCCGGATTCCCCCAGAGACGTCACTGTCCGAGGCCCAGGGCCCTGGCTGAGGGTGCCATCACGGGTAGGGAGAGGAGGAGGCCGCTCCTCACAGAGGCAGGCACTGTCCTCTCCGTGGAACCCACAGCTCCTGACCCTGTTGGCCTTTAGATTCCCCTAAGGAAGTTGGGTTTTTTGGTTTTGGCTTTGATTTTGGTTTTTAAATTTTTTTTCAACACTGATGTCATGAACCACCTTCTGAAACATGTAATTGACCTAGGGCAGAGTCAGGGCTGAGAAGCCCTTGTGGAGGCACAGGCCCCTCAGAATGAGCCAAATAAACATTTCCCGAATGCCCAAGCCAACCAGCCCTCTGATGTTAGCTTCACAAACACAGACGTGTTTTCCTGAAACCGTGAGTCAGGCATCCAGGCCACGCCCAGCACAAAAAGTTTCTGATGTCTCCTTCTCAGGCCTGAGACACTTGGCAGCTGGGCAGACCCTCAGCTCTCCAACCTCGAGTGACAGTGCAGTGCAAAGCAAATCTGTGACACAGGACTCAACTCGGGGCCCTGTGTGGACCCAGCGCTAGAATTTGGGAGTAAGTACTTCTGCAGAGGAGCCTGTGTTCCCCCCATGTGATTCAAGGACATTTCTTATCCAGTGACTTTAGGAAACAATGTTTGTAAAGCATGAAGCATGCTACAAATGATTTCAGTACGGATGCCGAAGAAATGCAAGTTTAAACTGCTTTGAATTATGTACCAGAAACATCATTTTACACCTCTGATCTCCCAGATCCCACAATACAGCATGAGGTAGACACTATTACTGATCTTTCTTATGGAGGAGAGGATGCTGGGAGTTTCTAGCTCACATATTGGGATTGACCCCCAGTGAGGAAGTCTTACCTGGTAGGTCTCCAGCGGCTGCCATCACACCTGCCCTCTGCAGTCTGCTGACAATTCTCGTATGGGAACCCACAGTGGACGTGACTTTCTGTCCCCCCAGTGCAACCCCAAGGTAAACCAAGAGACCCATGGGCACACCCATACCAACCTGGTCTCCTCAGGGTGAAAGCTACCGTGACTCCGATATCTGTATCCAAACAAGAGCATTGAATAAGACTCAGTTAGATTCACTGCAGCCCGTCTGTCCAAGGCTACAGTGCCACTGAGCCACAGGGCCTGCACTGCCCGGAGCGAGCCAGCCTAGCACCTGGGAGGAGGCGCTGGCCCACAGCTGCGTGGGTCTCACAGCTGTCTCTCAATGGGGCTGGGCAATGGTCTGTCCCTGAGCACCAGGCTCTCCTGCTCTTCAGCTTCGGGAAGTGGCTGAGGTGACTCTGCCTTTTCTCTCAGGGATGTTGTACGAGTGGTCTCACTGAGCCTGACGCCCAGCTGATCAGAAAGCCCTACAGACAGCTAATACAATATCGCACCATCCGGCTCTCCCGAGCCAGGATTAGAACACTGAAAGTTAGAACTGCCATGTGCTCTCCCAGTCTGGGCACCAGACTTCTTTTCTGGAAATACGTTTTCTACCTCTGGGGCAGAAGACAAGCAGCTCAGGCCACACAGCCAAGCACTGAGTTAAAGTGTCAGTGGTGTGACTGTACCTTCCTCCTCCTACCCAGGTCACCCATGCCCTCCCCCTCCTAGCCCACAGCCCCAGCACTCACCATGGGAAAAAAAGAGGGGAAAGAATTAATTAAAAAACAAAGCTCTAGCTGAGCTGTCTACCTGGAAATGCTGACAAAATTTTTTAAAAACTATAATTTTATAGTTAATAAAACTCCTATATCAAAAGAGTGAATTTCTGTGTAATCAGGACTATTGTAAAAATAAAAAAATCGAATGTCTCTGCCACTCTAAGGTTATCCATACAGCCTTTGGTAAGTTCCCAGTTGCTTGCTAGAAAGTACTTCCTTAGGCATAGCCTGTTAGATATTCATCTTACTTTTAAGGCTGAGATGTGTCTGTTAAAGACAAACCACTAAATATAGAAACAGCTTTTAATGTGAGTTCATTAGAAGATGATTGGGATAATAGAAGTTTCTTCATGTTCTGTTTAATCAAGGATCTGTGATTCTCTCTCTCTCTCTCTCTCTCTCTCTCTCTCTCTCTCTCTCTCTCTCTCTCTCTGTGTGTGTGTGTTTCTGTGTCCCTCTCTTTGCCTCTCTGTGTCTCTGTCTGTCTTCTGTAATCTTTCTAGTGCAACTTTTCTGTTCAGTGTCCTATTTCTTTACAACAATGTTAATTTACTTGGGCCACATATCAAACTTATACACAGAGAGATTCTTAAAACTGTCCCCATACTCTGGCCATATCTACCCTAGACAGCCTGGAACCACTGGTCAGCCCGGATGCGGGAATTCATGACCCTCCCCAGCTGATCTCCTACGAGTTGCCCTGTGGCTAGATAATCGGTGCCAAGTTGCTGCTCGCTAAAAGAATAAGTGTATATTTTTTAAAGAAAGTTTGAAATACAATTTCACCTGAGGCAGGAGGATCATTGTGAGTTTGAGACCAGCGTGGGCTACAAAGTGAGCTCAAGGACAGCCTGAATGGCAGAGCAAGACCCTAATTCAGAAAGACAGACAGACAAATGAGCAATAAATAAATAAACAAATAATAAAACACAATTTCATAGATAAAAGGAACAATGAAATCTCTGACACTCCGAATCCCTGGATGGTATACTTGGGGAGGCTGCATTTTGTAACCCAACTCCCACACCTGGAACCCTCACTCATTTTAACCATTAGCACACAGAAGTGGCTGCCTTCTGCCCAGGCATGGAATCAGCCCACTCTGGAAGGAACAGGACCCTCAGGTTTGGGAGGAAACAGTTCTCTAAAGCATCAGAAAGGAGCCCGGCTCCACTCATGGCCGGAATGGACTGAGCTCCCTTCCAGGCCAGTAGAACCAATCTGCTGTTGCCTATGACAATTTGGCATCTCCCACTTCATTGTCAAGGGAAGTGGATGTCTCTGTTAGACCCTGATTTTAACACTCCAGCCCCACTGGCCCTCATTATGAGGTCCAAAGGCCACATCTTGACAGTCATTATGAACCCTGATACTTCACCCATGAGAAGCTGAATCTGGGAAACGAACCTCCCAGGATGCCAATTAATTTCTCCTCCTGTGATTTCTCCAAACTAAAGACAACGCAGGGTGATTTGGAGACACACTGTGCAAAGCCCAGGCAGGTGAAGCCAGCCTCCCACAGGCTGTATGAGATATTTGCCAGACACTCAAGGACAAAGTTGCAGAAGGTGTCACAAGGTCCACCCACCCTGGTGCACAAGAAGACAGCAGTGCTCACCCCTGAGGCCATCCCAAGGGCTGGGGTCCTTTCTCAGCCTGGGGTCATGGCCTCTTCCCCTCAGCTAAGCATCAGCACTTACGAGCATGCGCACACACGCGTACACACATGCACACATACGTGACTGGGCTGATTAGAGAAACCAAGAAAACAGAGCAACTGATCTTGGCACGTGATGTCAGTGACAGGAATCCTCCCCCAGCCTGAGTTTTCCTTTGCTGGGCCCCTGAAATGTAAGTGGTCTGTCTTTCATATTCCCCCCTCTCTCTACATCCAGGCTGATCAGATTCCTGCCGCCTGCTCTCTGACACCGAGTAACCAATCTCGAAGCCAAAAATAGAGGTCAGGTAGCCTCACAACACCT